CACTGCCTGTGGCACCATTTAAAATCTTGGCCGGCTCCCTTTGCAGCGACCTTCCTAACAGACCACTGCCATAAAACAATAATTACAAAATCATTTGGAACAAAGATCAGAAAACCAGGATTTAGTTTACCGATATAAAGTATCCTCAGAGAATAAAATGGAGAGTATTTAATATCAACTTAATATATAAAACATGTTAGCTGTACATTAAACAAATTACTTACTCCTGTTTACATTAGTATTGCCTTAAAGGGACATTATGCCACAACCCAATTATGACAGACTGTTCCCTTTCTAAATGTTTGTCAATATTCATACCATAATACAATCATCAGGAAATATAGTTGTGCACCTGGCAAGTATATATCAATAGGGAAATTATCAAAAGAATTGTGGAACCTTAAAAAGCTTTGGCATTTGTAATCGTGATATTTGTATATGAATTCAAAGTCGCAAATTTCAGAAGAAAAGTTGTTTTAGTAAGAGGTCAAACGCACCCGACAGAGAGTTGTTTTAATAAGAGGTTAAACACATCAGTATCATTATGATCTGTCTTAATATGGTGAGGCATCTTTGTATAAAATGGCATTTCCCTAGGTCAATACAGAATTGTTTTAGCTCAAACAAATTTCATCAGTCATATATATAATATGACCACATTAAATTGAATTAAAGATGGAAATCGGCTGTATTGTGTCTCTTTAACTATTTCACTAAATTTTTCTTCTATCAAAGGGTTTTATCCCCAGATGATCAAACCAAACTTAGATGAGAGTTGGCTGCCCATAAAAACTTTCTTGATTTGATAGACAACCATTAAGCTAATTGAATGGTTTGACTTGGGTCCTTTCCTCTAAACTTTGGTCACAGAAAGAGAGGAGGTGGTTTAGTTTGATTCTATGGTGTTCTAGGTGACTACATACATGGAACTAGCTCAGATGTTTCCGGTACCCGTGTGATAATCATTCTTAATCAAGACTTTAAAAACACATGGGGTTTGAAACTGGATTTGATTCAAAAACACATGGTAACATTCTCTGATACAAATTCAGCAATAATTATCTTCAAAGGTCTGTATTCACTATTCCATCCAAGTAATATAGTAACACTCTAGAATCAATATTTTACACAATCTCATCCATAATTTGAATTTTGAAACTAATCACCTTTTTTTTTTATCTTAGCAAATGATCATAAGCTATGTTCATGTTAAAAAAGAAAATCAAATCAAATAGAATTAATATCCTACTTATAAAGACAGGAGCATGCCATGCAGTCTGCTTTAAGGGAAATTTTGCCCAGACAGCAGCATTTTTGCATACTGTTCCTCAAGGGTTCTTTTCAGTACTTACCAATTCAATGAATAAACAGTTTGAAGTTAGAAAGACTAAAATTGTTTTTTCTTGCCAGGATCTTCCTTTCTGGTAAAACTGACAAGAAAAAACCAGGCTAGAAAATTGTGAGGAAATTAAGTCAGCTAACAGTGGGACCAAACCCGAAAGAGCAATTGTTATACTCTCTCAGTCACATATTCAAAAAGAGGGCACTCTTCATCTCATACATGTTTCATAAAGTAAATGACCATAATTGGCACCAAGGAAGATCAAGTATTATCCAAATATTACATCCCAAAGGAGTTGACTAATGGCTAATCGTCAATCTAGTCTCAATAACAGTTATAATTTGTTCATTACTTTAATCATATTTACCATCTTTACTTCAAGGCTGACACAGGAATAAGTCTGATTATTTATCTTAAGGAATGGATGTGTTATACAATATTCAAATGTCCTGTAATACCAATAGAACTGTAGATCATTCTTTATGCATACTCCTATACCACCCAAGGGAAGCAGTGAGGCAGTAGGTCTTCTAGTATACAATTATGACCCACTTGTAGCTTGGTGGGCAACCTTTGCAAAAGCTCTACCCCCCGAAATAAAACAAGTATGTATTATATCATCAAATCAGTTTGAATTTTGAAGAAAAGGTTGTTCGTAAGTTGTGTTAATAAAACAGACATCTAGCTATTTGTCAGTTATTCCCAAAGCGGACATCGTTCGAAATACACTTGAATCTTGCCGGTCTGAATCTAAATGTAACAAGACATGAGAATTTTTTAAAACACACAAAAATGGAATTTTTCAAAAAGTGATTGTTGAAAATCATTGGCCAATCCTTTCCAGCAAACAGGGTCCACCAGAGTTTGACCAGGGTCTAGGCTGCAACTTGTGACAATGCCTCCACAAGACCGATTCATTATCTGACATCTTTCCATAGTACAGCTACTGTGAGGGGTCTACAAGGGTTCATTAGTGTGTAGAACAAAAAGCCTGGCAATGAACATTGTCTAGTTGGTAGAACTGGATGTAAAACTGAGGTCCTGTGTTATCTTAACAAATCGAATTCGATTAAGAGTAGGCACAATTTGTCCATGCAAAAATTCTCTTATAGTACACTGAATGTCTTTATTAGATCGGATGGTGTAGAGAAGTATGACATTAAACCCCATTTCATTTCAATTTCACACTCTGCAGGAATGCATTTCAGGCAGCCTTATATTTGACCATTTCTGAAAATGAAAATGAAATGAAATGGGGTTTAACATCTACTGTTCTGCTCCGAACTGGGCTAATGAAGACAGGCACACGCCATACAGTGTGCTATGAGGGAAATTTTGCCCAGACAGCGGCACTACGACCTACTCTTATATCCAATTCCTGTCAAGGTATCTTTTACGTGCACACCAATGTGTACACGGGACCTCGTCTTTTTGTCCCGAATGACTAGACAGCTGTCCATGTCAGGCTATCCGTCCTGCATCACTGACAAGGGAGAACCACGCCGGAAAATCTAGATGAACTTTTCTCGCCCAATGCAGGGATCGAACATCCGACCTCCAGGCTAGCGAGCCAGCGTCTTACCCGCTTAGCCACCGTGACTCCCCTTGACCATTTCTGATTCAATGCCCGTTACTGATGTTTTATTTTTACACCTTGTGCTTAACTTTCACTGTAAACTTCTTGTGTTGGTAAATTTCCATAATACAATCATGCCAAAAAGCAATTCCAGTTCAATCAATGGTGCATTTTTATTGCTTCTCAGTAGATATTACTGCATCTATAGAATAATTAGGGTTATGAAAATAAATATGACTAAAATGAAGTGTTACTCGTTTTATGATCAAAGTCTTTTGAATTTAATAGTCTGATATATGTTTCCTTAAATTATACTCCTATTAAGATGTCACAGATCACATATGAACTAGAATTAAATCTAGTTAGTGATTCTACTTTGGTTTCAAGTAAGTACCTGATTAGTAATGGTGTGCCTGCATTTTTCAACACCAATTTACTGCTATTTCAAGTTTAAAATTCATTAGACATTTGTGAAATAAAAAATTAAATTGACACTATTGTGTCCATTTAAATTTAATTCAACAATATCGTAAACCCCCTAATGTATTTACCAGTTACCTGTTGCAAAATTATAATTAAGAAAAGTTGGAGAAGTTGGGTTATTTGTTGTGCTAATATATCTTGTGTGTTGTAATTGAAAACAGCCCATATACAAGGGAAAAGAACCTATTACAACTTTCTGAATGGATTACATTTTCTACAAGATTTTCCATGATCAATTTAGTAAATTCAATCATAAAAACAGCAATGTCTATTTTGCAGTGGGACAATTCATTCTTGGTTAACATAAAATAAAATTTCAACCCTTGACAACAATTGGCTCTCAGACAATTCATATACAATCCCATGTCCACGACATAAATTTCAGTCCCCAAAGAATAGTGTATTGGCTAGCCAACATTAAGAAATCGGAATTAGTCTATAGAGGATTTACTAGGTGTGATATTAGTATTTAAGCAGTGAATATTTCAGGGAGCAAGTATGAAGTATGATATGTAGTTTGAGTACTACTGTTTGTAAGTTTAAATCTGGTACACCAAGGAGATCTATCGGTACTTTAGAATGTAATGAGTATTGTTTGTCAATCAGGTACATGTGAGGAGATCTACTTTAGATAATCAAAATGTTCAAAGCAGCCTGTTGTGTCAATGTTCAAAGTTTCCTTTAAATTGTAAATATTATGGGAAATGACATCTTGACATAGATAATCATGTATAAAAATGAGTTATCCTTCAGTTGTCAACCGGCCATTATACAAGCATGAAAGACTGAGGTGTGTAAGTAATCAATAGAAATTAATGTGAACTTTCAAAATGTACATTAGGATTGCTCTACTTTAATACATTTTGAAGCAATAAGCTATTTATGCTTTGTTTATAACAGTTTACCGAAATCTTTTCAACAAGCTTTGTATTTTATATTAGTTGTAATTATCACTCCACTTAGCCATTAGTTTTGACAGATGTCGTACACAAGGAAGGGTATGTATGTTCAGTCTATCAAAGGCACATGATACCACTAACATATTTTTTTGTGCCTTTCATATTATCAAAAATGACTAAAAAGATCAATATGGGAAGGACGTTTTGAATGCAAATTTATGAAAAATTACATAAATAAAGTATGTGAAGTGTGATATCTATAAGATAAGTGCTTTGATATGATATAGCTAAGAAATTTGAGATAACTCAATCAGTTTCTGGGCACCTCAGATAGCAATTATAAAATTATAAGATTTGAAGAAATATAAGAGACGAAAGAAATTAGATCAGTTCTCTCCCTAAATGAATTCGTTCCTATTAGTGAATTATAACCAGTAAAAAAATGAGTTTGAGAAAAAGCAGTTAACCAAAAACATTTACCAATTCACCAACAACGGAGAATGTATATAGAGGGAGAAGAAAAAATGAGTCGGAAATGACAGAAACATTGAACGTCTGTCTTGTGAATAATCTTGTGTTACCCCAAACTGGAGGAAATAGCATGCTTGACATGTCAACCTAGTTCCTAGAGGAATGAAACATAACAGATAAGGTTGTTAGCAACATGTTCATGGCTTAATACATTGTGTAGACCCTTCAATACTCCATCACAGTCCGACTATAGGAACAAAACATGTTGAAGATTGGAAGTCGCTCTTCTGTAAGGCTTCTTTGTTTGTTTAAGAAACATATGAGGCTATTTCCAGTTTTAAAAAAAAGAGACTACAAAAATGTATTTTGAGACTAAAGTCAACAGAATAAAGTGAGGTCATTTACCTAACCAGAAATTATAGATGAGGAATGTGATCAGGGAGAAAAAATGTGAGATGCCACTTAGACTATGAAAATATCAGACTGGTATCAGGATAATCCAGGGAATAAATCACATGAATTTTTATCAGAAAGAACATGTTTGCATCGTCAACTGATAAAACCTACGAAGCTTTTACCTGCTAACAATATTAAAAAGTGCTCTAGAGGATTGAAACTTTTTACAAATGAACTAGATGTTTTATCATATACAGTTATTAATCAAAGCGCATGTTTCTGCAGCAAGGTTTTCTGAATGTTCTGTTTGATGAAGTGATTAGTACTGATTAGGTAAAGCAGACATAGAACAAGATCCTGACAGGCGGACAGTTGTAAAAATTGGCAGGAGTTTATGTTGTTTAAAACTGGTAAAATCATTTTGGTCAGTTGTTGTAGACATTCTATACCTAGATCTACAATAATCACATATTATATACATAGTGTTATTACCTACAGAATGTAAATGGCAATCTAATAAGTAACTGGTATTATTAGTACTTGCTACAGTTTATTATAGAGACCTTCTAGCCCTGCCTTACCATCAGTCTTCGAAGAAAATTATATTAGTGATGGAACCCAATATTATAGAGGATACTAATGGTTTTTATATGGGTAAGTTCTTAGTTTTAAGTCTCTATATTAAACACAGTAAATATAAAACATAACTCTATATTTATTGCACATTAATCAATACCAAGGATTCCCTCAAGAATTCTTACTCTTTATCTCACAATTTATCTTACAAACTGACGTCAAATAAGGCAATGTCAATATAAACTATGGCAATAGATATAAAAATTGGATAATTGAAAACCAAAAAGTAACTATTAGTCAGTATTCCAAAGATTTTAATATATTGAGGGCTTCCAATACCTAAGAAATAAATTAAAGATTAGACTTAAAGATTAGACTATAACAAATATTAGCTTTTCAAAAAGGTGCAATAGATCATGTCAAGGATTTGATTGCAATTTCAAATGGACTTCACCAGTATATATGAATATATGAACCAGTGAAGAACTTATTACTAAGCACTTATTTTTTCATATGGATCAAAATGAAAATTTCAATGTTTGCCATAAAAATTAGCAACTGCTTTTGACAGAGTAGTATGTGTAAATGCCACAGGGTAAATATAGATATTATTATTCTATATAAATAATAGGATATCATCCTGGCCAGCAGAAAAATCCTTGATATAACCCTAGGAATATAAATAACAGCGCCAGTATATTTATTAAAAACACATATATATACTGTCTAGATACAAAACAGGAGCCCTGTGGGTGTTCAATATGTCATAATCATAGGGAATAATCTTACAAAACATTGATAGTATCTAATTCTTCTCTGCAAACAAAATATTCTAAAACATTGATGCATCTGACCGTAAGCTCTAACAATAAAACCAAGACAATTTTACCCTACAAAAATAGAATGGTATACCTGGAACCAAAATGCTATACCAGGAGTTCTTAATTGTAGTCTTATACTGGCCCAATGAAGGAACATGGTCTGCACCGAGAAGAATTCAAGCACAAAAGTATAAATAGGAATAACTTCTTGAATTTTATCAGCCTCAGATCCAGCTCCATTCAGCCCATATAAATGGGGCAATTTTGAGGATATATCAGCATGGAACACAAATAACAGAGTATATTTTAACACCGATTAAGACAACAAGATGAATGTGTTTTCTTCAATAGACAAAAGTAAATAACAAATGGTTCTTTTCAAACTTGTTAACAAACAGGTTTTTTTTCTCAAGTTTCATACGAAACTAGAAACCGATCTATGTAAATGAAATACTTTTCTCATATTTTATAGAAGCACTCCCAGATGTATATTAGTGAATAAATTGTTTAATTAGAGAAAAAAGACTCCTGCAAAAATTTATCCAAGTCCTGAATAACCAAAATTCCACACAGCTACATACGTGCCTGGATAACCATGTCTGTATAATTGCCCAAAGTTAATTTAAGTGATGGTTGCAGATATCAATTCACTCATGTACTTAAGAAATCAAATTTCTTAAAAGAGTTAAAGGACAAGTCTTTAACGCAATCCACAGTCTTCGACATTGCAAACATGACTTATTGGTCAATTTAATTCAACATTGATGTTGCTCTGAGCAGCTAAATATTTCAGATAAAGTAGCCTAAATTGTGACAATTGAGTGTTTGATTTGCATACTTTTATTTACACCTAGAAGTGGAGCAAACTTATGTTTGGAATGGTATTATAAATTACCACTTAGTTTAGCAAAATAAAACTAGAAATAGTAATAGTATCAAGTCATCTGAAAAAAACATTGATTCAAGTTATCTTGACTAGTACGACACCATAATTGAAAATAGCATCAACTCATCTAGAAAATATTTATTCAATTTAACTTGTCCAGTATGACACCCTAATTTGCTACACCATGTCATCAATGTACTGGTATAAATAAGTTGTCTTCTCTGTAAACTCCATATTAAGTGCTCTTTGATCTTTTTGAGTTTCCGAGACATTTCTCAAACTAATGGTGGACTTTAGTAGAGAAACTGTGCTTAGACAACATAAACTGGCTATTAACAATAGATATAGACCTAACGCTTACAGCAGAATTCCTTTTTACTTTCATGACTGATCATGTTTAATATGGTGGAGATAAGCCTCTGAATGGTAGCTTTTCCGATCCTTTTCCACTCTCATTGCAATTAAAATGCAATGGTGCTTTAAATGGATCTGTTAAGTTTATACTCTGATTTTACATTAACTATAATTTACTTTTCTACTACACCAGCTACTGTGTGATAATACAAGCTGTATTAATTATAGTCATTAATACAATTGAATATAAACTAAGCAATCCATGAAGCTATATTAATTAATTCAAAACTTGATTAATAAATTGATTTTTCAAATCATAACAATTAAATACTGATTGCCTGTATAGCAGATGTTATAAGAACTATTTCCAATTTCCAATGAAATCTCTGGGTTATTGGAATGGCAATTATATATGTAAATATAACATTAGGTCTTGTATTATATACTAGAAATAGACTGTAAGTAGAGTTCTAATGTCAGAGATTATATACTACATACCAATATTTTTATCTGAACATCTCTATACTTGTGTGGTATCAGTCTGGGGAGAAACCCCACAGTAGTAACAATTCTACTTTTAATGACAAGTTAATTGATTTATAATTAGAAGCAGTGTTGTTTTCTCCAACTTTTTGCTAATATTTAACATTATAGTGAGCATTATGCTGTCTTTGAAGTAAGATTATTGTGCGTTCAAATGGTTGGGTAGTTATGGTTGACAAATTAGAATACTTAGGTCATCTATTCAACAATCTCAAATTATTTATATCTATTACAGAGTGTAAACTACTGTTTTGGGCTGTTGTCTGTTCATTTAATGACTTAATTATCTTTGTCATACCATCATATGAAATTTATCACACTAGAATGACACAATGCCATATGTTACATTATTTGTTATACAATAAAACATGTTATAAGTTTGCTAATAAACAACGATAATTAAATTGATAATACTTGGTTGTATCAAATTTGAAGTAACATGATGAGACGACAAAGTCATATAAAATCCATGAATTTTGTAAAAGATCTCTTCAAATGTACACAGATATCCAAAGTTAATATTTGGTGTTGTCTTGAATGCTCTGTCAGTCTCTTGTTAAAATCAATAAAACAACGTCCAATCGACATAAACCAGGTCATTTTGGGACTAACATTGTAGCACTATGCGTCGCTATGCACAGTTCGGCAACCAAATCAAATATCTCATACGATTCAGTTCTATGAGTCGCTGGCTATATGTGGAAAGCACAACTGTCAAAAGCTTCCCACATCCAACGTGTGACACATACTCTCTTCTCTTTATTAGCTTTGTGATCGTATAGTATTGCCTCTGGTTTAATTGATCTATTTCTTTTTCTCTTGGTTTGGATCCTTTAAATGTTTCTTTAACATCTCACATTGTGTATATCTTTTTATCAGTTCCAAAATATTGTACGATGAACAACAACAAGATGACAGGAACAAAAGTATGGTTTCTACAGTTTATATCAAGCTGGATACATAGGTTACAAACATAGATCAAAAATAAAGTTATCCTCTTTATCTCTCATCCCAGATGCTGTCACTTGAACCTCAACAGTCTCTCCCAACGATATGATGTTTGCTCTCTCAAATCTACCTGGTGTCTAAAATCGTGCACATCTTGAGTGTTTTTATATCTATTATTTAATTGGCCAAATATGATGTAATTAATTATGAAGAGTGGTTACTAAGCCTAATGACCACATGACTAAGTCAAATATGGAATGGAATATTCTTCACATAAGTGTAATGGACAATAGAATTTACCCTTTGCCTTAGACCCCAATGTCCTGTTATTGTCACAATATTTCATAAACAATTTAATTTGTGTTTTAAAATAAACTCATACCATAGCTAATATACTGTCAATGGAGAAGACAAGTAAAACATGTATTTATTAAATTATAAATCATGTCCTCTGGTGCACTTACATTCGCATAATGCAATTTCACATAAATTACCAAACAGAATTACAACATATGCATGGTTCAACTTCATTTCTTTAGCAGTGGGAGGAAACCAGAGGACCTGAAGAAAACCCATGAGGCTGGACAGACAACCCTACTCCTTGTCATGTACAAGCAGGGAATCGAAACCACACCACTTGACTCAATGACAGGCCACCCAACCCCTTGGAGAGTAATAGTGTTTAATGATATTTGATATTTTGTTAAAAAAAATTTCATCTTCTATGGTCATGTGAATTTTGCCTAGACAGTGGACTACTCTTATTTGAATTCCAACTGGCTTTTTTTTTTATGTGCACATCAATCAGTACATATTTTTTGTGTCCCATTATCTTGGTTATACTCATCTACATGAATTATCTAAAGATACACTTTTACTCATCTATGTGAATTAATCTAAAGATACCCTCTGAATATCTCGGTTATAATACTCATCTATGGGAATTAATCATTTTTATAGAATAAGTTCACTTTCCACATTAAGAAAGAACAAACTTTGACTGGTTTTAAACTTGTATTGATTTTAGTCCTATGGGCGTTATACATTCGGAGTTGGATGCTGCAAAAATGTAATATTACTCCTTACTTTGAAAGATTAATATTTTTATATTTTTTGTCATTTCAGGCACAAATGAGACCGTTATGACAAATGAGTATTACGACTATTATGAAAATGCTTACGCAAGTTTATGTACAGAAACAGTTGATGGAAAAACAGAAGATGCTGTCAACAGTTTTCTACAAACTTATGTGTTTCCTATTTTACTACTGGTTGGAACTATCGGTAACCTGATATCATTACGCTGTTTACATCAACTTAGCATCAATGTGTGGTCATCTTGTTTATATTTAAATGTTCTGTGTGTGGTAGATTTGTTTGTTCTATTTGTGGATTGTGGTAATCGTTGGTTTGTGAAAGTCACAGAACAAAATCTCAGTGATCAAATCATGAAGACATCTGCAGCCATATGTAAGGTTTATCCTTTCGTTTTTCAATTCATTCTCCATATTGGTCCATGGATATTAGTGGCCTCTTCTGTTGAGATGATGATTGCTGCACGCTATCCGCTGCTCATATATAAGATGTGTACACGAGAGCGAGCTAAAGCTGTAATGTTGTTAATGACAGTGCTTCTTATGTGTCTTAACATGCACTACTTCTGGACACATGGCTTGGTGACCTATAATGAAGGGCCAACCCATTCGCAAACACAATGCATTTACATCGAGGAATTTTCAGAATATTTCCGAGACACTGTTTGGCCATTCTTGAGTCTAGCAGTAGGTGATGTTATTCCACTGATTGTTGTGTCAGCTCTTTTTTTCACAACAACAGCTGCCATGATGCGAGGGCGACACAAACAAAATGATTTAAAGAAAACTTTGGAGAAATATTTTATGGATATCCACTCACTAAATGAACTAAAGACAACATTTGTTCTCATTAGTTTGTTTTATATAATAGTTATAACTTTAAGAGTGATACTCGTCACTGTGGAATACCTTATTCAGCTCAGAGCTGTAGAAATCCCCTGTGAAGTAGCATCGAAAGTGTATGCAGTCATTGGATTACTACATACAATAATAGACATTTTGTTCTACTGTTATATCAGTTTTAAGATTGTGATTTACCTAGCAACAAGCAGACGCTTTCGTAAAGAATTAGTTAACATGGTTGTCAGTGTAATATCAGTGTGTCAAAGAAAAGACCGAATCAATTTATCAACAAACAATCTAGCAGCTAAACCGTTAATGGAAGTTGATCATATCACACCATCAAATCAAACTGAGGCTGGACCATCAAATATCAGTACCAACGTCTGAATTTTCTGCAAGGAAACCTAGTTAAAATTATATTATAAAAGTAGTCTAATAATATTAGTTCCATAATTAGACTTTATCAAGTTTAGTTCAACTACTGCACTGTCACATATATTTTAAAACTAGAGAAAGTAAAAATAAAACACCAGATAACAAACAGTAGAAACTGCTGTCATATATTTTATAAAACTACAATACATTGTAATATTGATTTGATCAAGTGACATTTATCTATGTACAAAAGAAATGAAATGAAATGGGGTTTAATGTCTCACTTTTCTACACAGAATATCTAAATACAAGTCTGTACTGCTAGGGCAAACATATTTATATACCTAGTACATGTAATAGGGAAGCATTTTAAAATATAAATGGTGTAATCAAATCTCAAATAACATTTGTCTGTAGGAAATATTGAGATAAATAACAATTTATATTACTGAATTTTCCTATTTTAAAAATACACTACTTCATTTATATCAGACTACATTCAAAACATGATTCAATTTATTCAGAAATAGATCTACATTTAAGCCTACTGTCTAAATAATTTACAATCTGATTAACTATAAACAATACATTTCGGTTTTTTCCATACACACTAAACTGAATTTTATATTATATAAATGATGGTGGTGTACATTTAATAACTGTTATGGAATATCAACATCAACACAATTTACAAAAATGTCCCTTTGGTATTTTATAACGGGAAAGTTGGCTCCCCTGCCAGAGAAAATATAACATTACAGACTTTAATCCTGTGAGACAGCAACTAAATCTGAACTAAAGCTACCAGTCTACAGCTAAATCTAACCTATAGCTATCAGGCATTCAATAATCTTACAGATAAAGAGTACACATCTTATATGATACATAGTTCTGATTAAACCTTTTTAACAATATTCACCAAATCTACATCTCTAATATATATTGTAACATGGACGGGATAGCTTCCTTTGTTTTTTTCTTTGAATAAGAAGATTGTTTGAAAACGTTGAGAGAATACTCTTCGAAACGTCGCCCAAATAAATCAGTAATTGTTCTTCCATAAGTATGTGTTATAGTTTATTGCTCTATCCAGTTACTAAATGCCTCTAAAAGATCATTGTTTTTCCTCTAGTAGATTGAGTGGAGCTTAACCGTGCAATAACTAGACATGTTCAATGTCATTGCACTCTTTTGCTGGTTTACACTAGTTTTTAATAGAAATCATATAGAGAAATGGGGTGGGTTTTCTGTGCAATAACAACAAGCATGTTGAGCAGGTGTCAATGTTACAAGTCATTTATAGCACGTTTCATTCGTCAACAGGTTTAACATTTCGACCTATGGTCTCGATGTTTAAACCTGTCGAGATGTTAAACCTGTTAACGAATGAAAGCTGTGCTATAAATATAACTTGTGAGGACAGTATCACACATAACAAATACAGCATTAGGACAAATTAATCCACAATAGAGGCTAGACAAAATACAGATACTGAAAGCTATAAGAAAACTAATGAGTCAAGCAAATGTATCTGATGCCTCACCATATGATGCACATTTGATAAAATATTTTCAGTATTTCTATGTAATGTTCTATTGTGGAATGTTTTATAATGTCTTGTAGAAGTAACAGAATAATATGTACATTTGTAAACATTATATTGTAAGCTTATATAACACAATAAACTATACTGTTTTTTGATGATTTGAACATCATCTTTCATGAAGGTATAGAAATAGCCTCTTACACCAAAGCATTTCTGATCCAATGTGAAATCCTCTTACTGACTCATTGTTTATACTACCATTTGAATCAATTAAACACATCCCTGACAACGTTTCCTAAAAAATCCTGATGGTTTCCACTGAGTACCTTGTAGAAATGGGATTAATGATTAGTTTCTTTCTTTCAATAACACAGATAACCAATATAAAATTCAGAAAGATAGTTTAATAATTGCAATTATCACAGACTGACTACAAACAATGGATTCTATAACAAAAGAGCGAACTATGGAAGTTATCATTGAAAATCACAGAAAATCAATAGGATTCTTCCATTGAATGAGTTACTTTTAAAACAAACTGGCTTGAATAAAATTGTAGCTAAATGTATTATATACTTCATTAAAATAATTGTTAAGCACTTGTTAAAGATGTTCAGCAAAATTAAAATGATAATTAAACATACATTATGCAAGAGCTAAATCTGTCTATTGCAGGTCTTTCTTTAGGCCTGAAATCTTATCTAAATTATTAATTAGACCTTAATTAAAGGGACAATAACACTCTTGCTGGCTTGAAAGCTCCAGAAAATAAATAATATCTCTATCTAAGTACTAGATGTTTAAGTGTCCTACCTGTTGTGTAAATTATCCATTACATCCTATTTTACTTGTCCAGAGGGTTCGAAAATATTTTTAAATCAAAGTTTTCATTTGAAAAGGTTTACGTTAGACGTTTCAAACCATTATGTTGAATTTTTCAATTTTTTTAAATAAGGTGTGTTAAGATGAAATTTGTATCATCAATTAATTGAAATATTCTAAATAAGTACAATTTGTTGACCAGAATAAAGATTGGGACATATTATTCAGTTACAACAAGAGTGGTATTGAGCCTTTAACCTATCCAGACCATAATCAACTCTCAATGGCATCGCTAGCCTGCGATCTTTAGTGGATTATGAGCCGATTTACTGAATAACTTTCCTTCACGATTTAATGATTAAATGGATAATCGAGACTATGCTGTTTATCGTTCTGACTTTAGTAATGATGATCGAGGCTAGCGGAAATTTCAATCGCTTAATTCTCAGTTCATAGTGGCTCAATTTGAATGAAATTTTCAGCAAATTGCCTTTACATTATCTAGTTTTTAACTATTAGTATTATAGTGAGAACTGCCAACTCGTTATCTAATCTCTCATAATGTATCTTTCAGTTGTATAGATAACAAAAAGGTGATATGCGGGTTGCTGCTGATTTGATTGTGTCTGTAAATGGGCTGGTAGGAGAACTTCACATGAGCTGTGTAAAAAAAATCCCGAACAAATTCACCTTTTCTCACATTTTTTGGTATATTTTGTGCATCACAAATGCTTTTCTGCTATTAGACCAGATTTGAGTAAATTCCCATGTTGGGAAATTCTGCTCAAACTATTCATCCTTGTGAAAAGCCACCAAACCTAAGAACCATGATGATTATATCACCAGTATTCAGAAGAGACTGTGCCAGTTAGCACCAGGAGGTAAATTCGACTATCTTACGACACCAAATCTGTAACATCATCTCCAACCCCCAAAACAGAACATGAAGCCCTGAAAGAACTTAGGGAAGACAGAACCATCACCTGTGGACAAAGGGAAGGCAGCTGTAATAATGATTCAATGAATACACCCAACTACATCAGCACTGTAAAGATTCTTCAAGACCAAACAACCTACATATGAGTAAGGACAGACCCCATTCCTGCTCTTCAAACCAAACACCCAACACACCTATTTCCCTTCACTTGTCTGCCTTATGAAAGTGCCACCATCAAAACAAACCCAAAGCCAGGTTATATGTGTGCTCCTGAGACTCAAGCTGATAATCAACACCACAATTAATTGAACAATACCGTCCTGAAACTCTACCACAAAGTCAACAAAAACTTGTCCATCACACATCCGCATACCATTCAATGGCAGTTCATCCTACCAAATCAGATGAATATGGTCCATCTAAATAGTTGCGTGAATAATATTATGCAATAAATATATTAAAAATTATGGTGTTGAGTGTGTTTATGCTCACTTATAATTTGGTAATTTAGGTTGAGCAAAGTTGAGAAGAACTTAAACATACATTAAATCTTCCCATTGAATATCTTTCTTTAGGCCTGAAATATTATCTAAATTATTAATTAGACATTCCAGACCATAATCAACCCTCGAAGCCATCAATAGCCTGTCATATTTTGTGGAATTGAATAAATTTTGTGATGGATAATTTAATGTAAAAATGGATAATTGAGACTTTGTTTATTATCTTACCAACGTTAGTAATGACGTTCAGGGCTAGTCTAAAATTAAATCACTATTATCTTGGTTCAGAATGGAGCAATTTGAAATTTTCAGCATATCAAGTTTTCATTACCTATTTTGTAAATATTATAGTGAGAACTGTCAGCTCTTTATCTAATCTTACCTAATGCCCCTTTAAATAAGGCGATTTTACAAGCATCATTCATATGGAGGTAGGATACCAAAACTAAATCATACATAAAAAACCAAGGTCGATTGCAGTGGATTTTTTTGTTTGATTACTATATATGTACATACCCCCTCACAAACAAGCAATAAGCATTTGTTTCTGATTTTTTTCCACAGGTTGGAGGGTCTCCTACCTGCCTATAATGTGCAGCCTACAATCTCGGCTGAATTATGCATTTCATTCACTTCCAACTAAATTAGTGGTTAAGTTTTCATTGTGTCTCGGTATAGATATCAAGATGTAATAAAACAATAGTACTTACATTCTTCACGGAACTTGGGTTCTGTATTAGCACCTACTCTAGCTAAAGTTCGTATCAATTCAACCTGCATATCATGTTGATCACGATACATAGGATCATCAAAAAATGTTTGAAGCTGCATATACACTCTATCCAATACCTACAAATCAAAATACAGTTAAAATAAACTTGTTCATTACAAATAAAATGAAAAGATGTAATAACAGAATATTATATGCAGATACAATCTCAAAATTTAAAATGGCAGTTTTATATTTTACATCTTACATGTGTAAATAGTCTACATCTTACCCTTCTATTTGTGATATTTTCTAATATAGCACCAACTGATGGTATAGTTGAGATTCTAACAGGGCTAAAATATAACAATTATATACTTTTATTACTAAAGAACACATTTCACTTAGTAAAATGCAGATGTAGTTTGATGTCTGGCTGGTACAATAAAACCTTTTTCTATATATTAATCATTTATAAACACATTAAAGGCACAATATTCCAGACTAAAAGGTAAATACTGACTTTTAGGACATACACTACAGAAAGTAATCCTACTAAAAGTCATATCAGTCCAAAAATTATCAATCTGATTAAAATACAGATCGATATTTCATTTTTTTTTTTTATACTTTTGATGGCCTACACTACATGATGATCTGAACGGTTGTAGCGATAGGTCGCGTCAGAGGTCATACAAGCGGCTTTTGACCCTATGACGTCAGACATTTGGTTAACCGATCAGCATTTATGTTACTAGTGGATTACCCACAGTTCCGTGAAAAACACGTTAAAGCTCGCTGTAACAGATCGTTTCATTGGCTAATAGCTCACTTCATTCAGAACACATCAATGATAACAACTCTTCCAGATCCTAGTGTAGTAAAGACAAGTAAAATGAAATTTTGAACTATAAAAACGAAACAAAATAGGATCTGTGTTTTAATCATATTGAAAATTTATTTGAATCATTCAATCGAACGGTTAGTGTGGCCATCTGAAATGAAATGAAATGGGGTTTAACATTCAACTGTTCTGCTCCTAAACTGGGTTTATGAAGACAGGCATACGCCATACAGTGTGCTAATGAAGGGAAATTTTGCCCGGGCAGCGGCGCTACTGCCTACTCGTATATTGAATTTCAACTGGCAAGGGATCTTTTACGTGCACGCCAATATGTACACGGGACCTCGGTTTTTCATCCCATCCAAACAACTAGACAACTGTCCTTGTCAGGCCCTCTGTCCTGCATCACTGACAAGGGGGAACCACGCCGGAAAATCTGGATGTACTTTCTCGGCCAATGCAGGGATCGAACACCCAATCTCCAGGCTGTTGTGTGGCCATCTAAAGTGGCCATCTTGGTAGTTAGACTGTGTCTGAACAATATTTCATTTTAATCCATGAACACTTAGCTCAAGATGTTATCTAACCTACATGTTAGATCTCGATAGACAGTCAACAATACATCGCTGCTAATTTGGTTAATCTTAATTCCCATTTATTGTAGTTTAAATCCAAAATAGCACAACCCGAGGCAATTTTTTTTCAAAACTGTTTCCAAATTAAACAAGATGACTAGTCATCACCATCCCGCGCCCTTGCACTTGTTTAGAAGGCATAAGAAAAAACAACTTATTGGAATATCAATGGGACTAGTCAGAAGATTTATACTCTGATCACAGTAACTCAGCAAGGCAGGGTCTCTACTCCCTGTAAGGTTTGCACAACAAGCTTTGCCTACCTCAATCAACTGCTGTATGTTAAACAATAAGCTTATACATCAGAAAATAAAATACTGGTACTATAATAGGTTGATGTTTGTACAAAGTTTAAAACCAGCGGCTGCCAGGCAGGATACGCCCACATTTTCGAGAGATGGATAGAAAACAAGCTAAAACGAAAGTGATTTTTCCTACAATCAAGGGCCATACTTCAGGAAATTACAATTTGATATGCGCCAATATCGAAAGGAACCGAAATCTTTGGGTTATAAACTTACACTTGAAGTTTCAACAAAATCGGATAGAAATTGTGACCTCTATAGGGCCCATAACCTTGATATACCATATTTTTATGCTATTTGAGAACGAAGGGCGACCATTTTGTCTGTCAGTTTTGGGCGGATTTTCACGAAATTCAAACTCAGTCGTCCGTGGGGTGTAACGGTGATATAATAATACGTTTTTTTAAATCGGATAAAAATAATGACCTCTATAGGGTCCACAAGCTAAAAACGCAATTTTTCGTACAATCAGGGACCATAATTCAGGAAGTTATGTTCCGATATGCGCGAATATCGATAGGAACCGAGATCTTTGGGTTATAAACTTACATTTCAAGTTTCAACAAAATCGGATAAAAATTGTAACCTCTATAGGGTTCACAACCTTGATATACCATATTTTTACGTTATTTGAGAACGAACGGCGGCTATTTTGTCTGTCAGTTTTGGGCCGATTTTCACGAAATTCAAACTCAGTCGTCCTTAGGGTTAAACAGTGATATATTAATACGGTTTTTTAAATCGGATAAAAATTATGACCTCTATAGGGTCCACAAGCTAAAAACACTTTTTTCTCGTACAATCAGGGGCCATAATTCAGGAAGTTACATTCCGATATGCACGAATATCGAAAGGAACCGAGATATTTGGGTTATAAGCATACATTTCAAGTTTAAACCAAATCGGATAAAAACTGTGACCTCTACAGTGTTGACAAGCTAAAAACATGATTTTTCGTACAATCAGGGGCCATAATCCATGAAGTTACGGTCCGATACATGCCAATATCGAAAGGGTGATAAACCTATATTTCAAGTTTTATTGAAATCAGATAAAAATTGTGACCTGTAGACTGTTCACAAACAATTGTGGACGGATGGACTGGGGCGACGACAATATACGTCCACATGAAAATGTGGGCGTATAAAAAATGTCTTGAAATATGCTCCGGAAATGAAATCGGGACAGATAGACTTTCAGTAGAAAATAAAATAATAGGTTGATGAATGTAAAAGTGTTATAACGGTATCTTGAACAGTTTCTGAGATATGCTCTGGAATAATAATAATAATATGCTCGAACTCAGTCGTCCTTAGGGTGTAACGGTGATATAATAAAACGTTTTTTTAAATCGGATAAAAATTATAATCTCTATAGGGTCCACAAGCTAAAAACGTGATTTTTCGTACAATCAGGGGCCATAATTCAGGAAGTTAAGGTCCGGTATGCGAGAATATCGAAAGGAACCGAAATCTTTGGGTTATAAACTTACATTTCAAGTTTCAACAAAATCGGATAAAAATTGTGACCTCTATAGTGTCCACAACCTTGATATACCATATTTTTACGCTATTTGAGAACGAACGGCGGCCATTTTGTCTGTCAATTTTGGGCCGATTTTCATGAAATTCGATTAAGGTCATCCTTACGGTGTAACAGTGATATAATAATACGTTTTTTTAAATCAGATAAAAATTAAGACCTCTATAGGGTCCACAAGCTAAAAACGCGATTTTTGGTACAATCAGGGGCCATAATTCAGGAAGTTACGGTCCGATATGCGCTAATATCTAAAGGAACCGAGATCTTTGGATTATCAACTTAGATTTCAAGTTTCAACAAAATCGGATAAAAATTGTGACCTCTATAGTGTCCACAACCTTGATATACCATATTTTTACGCTATTTGAGAACGAACGACGGCCATTTTGTCTGTCAATTTTGGGCCGATTTTCACGAAATTCGAATTCAGCCATCCTTAGGGTGTAACGGTGATATAATTGAACGTTTTTTTAAATCGGATAAAAATTATGACCTCTATAGGGTCCACAAGCTAAAAACACGATTTTTGGTACAATCAGGGGCCATAATTCAGGAAGTTACGGTCCAATATGCGCGAATATCGAAAGGAACCGAGATCTTTGGATTATCAACTTAGATTTCAAGTTTCAAGAAAATCGGATAAAAATTGTGACCTCTATAGTGTGCACAACATTGATATACCATATTTTTACGCTATTTGAGAACGAACGACGGCCATTTTGTCTGTCAATTTCGGGCCGATTTTCACAAAATTCGAACCCAGCCATCCTTGGGGTGTAACGGTGATATAATTGAACGGTTTTTTAAATCGGATAAAAATTATGACCTCTATAGGGTCCACAAGCTAAAAACACGATTTTTGGTACAATCAGGGGCCATAATTCAGGAAGTTACAGTCCGATATGCGCGAATATCGAAAGGAACTGAGATCTTTGGATTATCAACTTAGATTTCAAGTTTCAACAAAATCGGATAAAAATTGTGACCTCTATAGTGTCCACAAGCTAAAAACGTGATTTTTCGTACAAACAGAGGGCAAAATCGGATAAGAATTGTGACCTATAGAGTGTCCACAAACAAATTGTGGACGGACGGACAGGGGCGACGGCATAATACGTCCACATGAAAATGTGGGCGTATAAAAACTAAATCAAATGTGTAGTAAAAATTCATAAATCATTCAAACTAAGTCAAATGTGTAGTAAAAATTCATAAATCATTCAACAGAGAAATTTGTTTCCATGGAAATACAAAAATTATTAAATCCGAGAAATTTCTAATTAGTAAAAGGCACAACTACTATCACAGGTTGATGTTTGTACAAAGTTTTATAAGATATTGTAAATGGTTTATGGGATATGCTTGGAAACAAAATTGTACACCAAAAACTAAGCCAAATTTGTTTCCATGGAAACACAAAAAATATAAATCCAAGAAATTCCTAATTAGCAAAAGGCCCAACTAATGTAATTGGTTGATGTGTGTGCAAAGTTTCAAAAAGATATCTTGAACAGTTTAAGACATATGCTGCGGAAACAAAATTGTACACCAAAAACTAAGTCAAATTTATTTCCATGGAAACACAAAAATGATTAAATCCTAGAAATTCCAAATTAGGAAAAGGCACAACTACTATAATAGGTTCATATTTATACAAAGTGTCATGAAGATATGAAAGGTTTATATATGCTCTGGAAATAAAACTAAGTCAAATTTGTTTTCATGGAAACACAAAAAATATAAATCCAAGAAATTCCTGAATAGCAAAAGGCACAACTAAAGTAATAGGTTGATGTGTGTACAAAGTTTCAAAAAGATATCTTAAACGGTTTATGAGATATGGTCCAGGAATGAAATCGGGACAAAGGTTTGGACGTACGGACAGCCATTTCAATATCCCTTCCTAACTTTGTTTGGCGTGGGATAAAAATACATGCTTTCAGAAGTCACAAATTGGATATTTAAGAAAACAAGTGGGTTTTCTTTTGGAGATAACATGGAATCACAAAATAACAATATTTGCCTGTGTGCTAATTATCTGAGGTGTCAATCATTAAAGGACCATACCAATCAAGATTAACAACTCTAGTGAAATGCATTGGCCCCACTTTGATTATACCCTATAGTTGTACACATACAATATCTGACTGTCCATATTTAGATGATCATGCTACCAAGGACATAATTTATCAAATCCTGAGATGATTAAACCAAACAGCAATCTCATTGGCTCAACATATAGTTTTATATACCCTTGAAAAAAAAGTAGGGGATATTGAAATGCAAATACCTACCATATGCAGGTTGTGATATGATAAATAGTCATGGACACTTGACATGCTTTGAGAGTATGTTCATAGATGAAGAACTTATCCCCCCAACAGAACCACTGTGCTGCACATGCGACACGCAATAGCGCCATACACGTGGGAGGGGTTCATTGTCAAATTTGACACTTCAGGGAAGGGTTAATGAAAACTGCCGTGTGCTGATGTATCTATCCATGTTTGCTTTCCTATTGGTTCTTGCATAAGATTTACTGTTTAGCGTATCTTTGCTTTAGTGTGTTACGTTTAATTTGATCGGGAGATGTGTTCGTCAACGTCAGACATCATTGCAAGAATTGGCCGTGGCACTGCAAGAGAAGTAAGTCAGATTGCCCCAAATCGTGATTGGACGGTTGATTAGGAGCATGCCACGACGAATTGCTGAATGTCTGAGGATTGGTGGAGCAATTACTCATTATTAAGACAAAAATCAAAAACGTCCATTTTCACTTTTGACAGTGTATCTTTTTGCGAGTGAAATGGGGCCGTCAGATAAGCGACCCATATGAATTGGCCTGTTATTAACATACACTGGTTACCTCTAATAAAAACAGCAGTGCATATCCGCAGGTTTGTATTGTTTCTGAATATCCCCTACTTTTTTTGAAGAGTATATGTCAGTTGTTTATAAATCCACATTATGGTAAAAAAAAAAAATAAAGTATGGATATTTCCCATAACAGATAATAAATAAAAGCACTTACATTTCTGGATCATTAGCTAACGTAACTAAAGCTGGTACTACACGTGTTGATATTAATGTATCATCAATACCTTTGATTAAAAGCTGAAATAAATTTAAATACCGTTATGTGTAAATTAGTTTATATTGGGTTGGGTTTAAAATTTAAACTTAACAATAGTAAAAGCAAGTACAGTTCAAATATCCCCACATGTGGTATGTAGAATAGGTATAGAGTTTGGTAACTTTCAGATTAAAACCACTGATCATCATTTGCATTTTTAGGAGAATGCCTAATTTTTGACAGCTTAATGCATGCTACAGAAATTGTACAGAAATTGATTATTTAATTGAGAAAAGAAAACCAAAATATCACAAATTTGGATTAAAAGATAGGTTGCCAGGCAATGAAACATACGCCCTCGGCAGCTAAATCGTCTGGGCAGTCAACAAGAGTTGTCGCATATTTTTACTTTTTTCGGTAATGAAACATTTATAATACATTCAAATCTGATTAAGAGTAACAACTCATTAAGTAATTATCAGAAAACCATTAGAATTTGTTTGGTTTTTATAAAGTTCTGCCCCATGCTAATGTTTAGTATACAAAACTTTTAACATCGTGGATTTAGCTGTTCAAGTCATAAAGATTCAATGAAAATCAATATACTTGTTCGTCTCAAGACCTTAAACACTGTGTATAAATTTAAAGTCAATCGGATATTAACTTTAGCCTCTAGAGCATCCACAAGATTTTTCAAAGTGATCAAGGGCCATAACTCTGGCAAAAATTATCGGAAATTGCTGAAAATCAATAGGCTTCTTCGTCTCATGGTCTTCAACACTGTATATAAATCTAAAGTCAATCGGATATTAACTTTAGCCTCTAGAGCGTCCACAAGCAATTGTGGAAGCCGGACCGACGGACGGGGGCGACAACAATATACGAGCACATTTCAATGTGGGCGTATAAAAAAGTCCATCAAAAGATTTTATTCAACACTTATAAGTAGCACTTGATTGTTTCTTAAAAAAACGAGAGCATCTGCAATATACGTCCACATATGGTACTTTTTAGAATAAAAAAGGCTAGGCGTTTGTTTTGCCAAATTTACAGACTAAATTTAACAAAACGTGGGTGTGACACCGCTCCTGGGGGTTGGGACATGCACCAAAATAAATGGTTGCTATTCTTACGGTATAAGGAATAAATATGCCAAGTTCTAAGATGATCCATTCAGATTCAGAATTCCAGCTTGTATACATGGAGGTGGGTGGACATGGACCAATATAAATAGGTACAGCCCTATGATCGATCATACTGAATAGGATCTAAATATATTAATAATTGCAACCTGTAGATTATTTACAGACAAAATATTAACAAAAAGTGGGTGTGGCACCAACCAAGGGGAGCAGACCATGTACCAAAATCAATAGTTGCTGTCCTTGGGCCAAGGGGGATGGACCATGTACCGAAATCATTAGATGCCGTCCTTGGTGGTATAAGGAATAAGTATACTAAGTTCCAAGATAATCCATTCATAATCGTGGCCTCCAGACGCTAAAAACAAAAAAAAATAGGCGTAGCTCTGCCCCTGGGGTCGGGACATGCACTAAAATCAATATAGTTGCCGCCCTTAGGCTATAAGCAATACATATGCCAAGTTTGACTATGATCCATTCAGAATTGCGGCCAGTATACGACAAACACAAAAATTGGGCGTCGCTCGGCCCCTAGGAGTCTGGACATGCACCAAAATCAATAGTTGCCATCCTTAGGCTATAAGGAATACTCATATCAAGTTCCAAGACAATCCATTAAAAATTGTGGCCTGTAGGCAACACACAGACAAAAAAAAATGGGTGTGGCTCAGCCCTGGGGGTCAGGCATTCACCAGAAACAATAGGATCATCTTTAGGGTATAAGGAACAGGCATGCAAAGTTTCAAAAGGATCTGTCAAGAATTGCAGTCTGTAGGCGACCAAAGACACGCACAAAAATTCGGCTTAGCTGTCCCAGGAGGTCGGGCATGCACCAAATATACTTAGGGTATAAGGAATCAGTATGAAAAGGTTTCAAGACGATCCATTAAGAACTGTGGCCTGTAGGCAACACACAGACTAACAAAGAGAAAATGGGCATGGCTCTGCCCCTGGGGGTTGGGCATGCACTTCCAGTGGCGTGGAAGCGTTGTCTGAGGCGAGCAATGGTCGATGGGTGGACATTAAAGTGTCTGCCGAAGGCTACCTGTGAAGCCCGCCGATCCAGCATGAGAATAGCTCTGTTCCTGTTTTCTTGAGTAAGGCGTTGCATTTTTCTGAAGTGATGAATGGTTAAATTTTGATCTGTATTTAAAGGGCCAGAGTGCAGGGAATGCACATGCAAAGCGTGTGACATGGGACTGCTTAAAATCGTGAAAAAAGACAAGTGTTGCGTTTGCACGAACAAAGTTTATTATCGAGAACTGGTATTGGATTCAAACCAAGAATTCCACAAAACGAGACCCATCACAAGTTTCACCTATGTGCCATAAGATAGGAAAGCCCAAGAAAACGTTTACCGGAAATATTTCACAAATTAGGCATTGCGTTTTTAATGGCTTTGAGTGTACATACACACACACATTATTGTTATTGATTTCGTCTCTATCAGATAAAAATAATTGACTAGCAAACAAAAATTGAGTCTAAGAGAAAGTTATTTGAATGGCTATAGATAACAATAATTTGTGTACAGGTTTAAATGTTCATTATCACTGTTCCATGAAAATAATATCAAAGTTTTACCTCAAACATAGAAGCTGCTGTTGCTCTGACTAGTGGTGAAGTATGTACCACTCCCTCCCATAATACTACTAATAATAATTCATGATTGTTTGGGTTAGATCTGTAAATAAAACAAGATAAGAATCCAGTCTATCATATGTGTAATTATGTAATTAAACCAAATTAAACATTCTAAGCTCTTGACTTAATTGGGATCCTGGGTCCTTACTACAGTGGAGGAACTATATTATCAACAAAGACAAGTATTTTCTAAGTTTATCAATATCCATTCCTGGAAGTAAAGCTATATTTTTTAAAAGAATCAAGCACAAATTAAAGGCTCAATACCACTCTTGTTGTAACTGAATAATATGTCCCAATCTTTATTCTGGTCAACAAATTGTACTATTTTACAATATTCCAATTAATTGATGATACAAATTTCAACTTAACACACCTAATATAAAAAATTGAAAAAATTCAACTAAATGATTTGAAAAGCCTGACGTAAAGCTTTTCAAATGTTACTTGGATTTTAAAATATTTTTGAACCCTCTGGATAAGTAAAATAGGATTTAATGGATAATTTACAAAACAGGTAGGACACTAACACATCTAGTACTTAGAATAAGGCTATTTTTTATTTTCTGGAGCTGTCAAGCCAGCAAGAGTGTTATTGTCCCTTTAATGAAATATACACTGATTGATGATGATGTTCAAAGGAATGAATGAAATTGAGTTTAATGGCACGTCCGCTCCAACATGGCTAATCAAATTTATGTTAGAGATCATGATAATGAAAGTAACGACTGTCAAAATAAAGATATATTCCAATTTTAATCAAAAACCAATGCCTAAAGTTAAAGTTATTGCATTTCAAGAGCAACCAGTCACATGACATGAGTGTAATCAAATATGTACAGATTGTGTTCATGTTTGGATTTAGACGAGCTACTGTGATATCAAAGGTATATTTCAATTTAATCAAATTCCATTCACAGATTGCATAGATAGTTCTACTAGCAAGAGTTAGCCTGCAATTAACATGGGCACAGCATTAAAATTAGTAGCAAAAAAGTTAAATGTTTCGAGATTGCAGATCAAAAAGTGACAGGCCTTTTCACTTTAAACAAAATAAAGTGTTAATTTGGCATTTGTGTCCATTTCTAGGTGCCAAAGAATAGGGATTATGGTCCTTTAAAACATGAACATTTTTTATTGAGAAATGGAGTGAGTATCATTTTATTAGAACTACTGGTAATAATAATTTACTGTCTTTTTGTTAAAACTTGCTTCATAAACTGAGCTTAACCTTTAACTCAATATTTTAAATAAAATTTGCAAATAAAATCACGAATTAGAATTCAATATTGGTCTATATCAATCAATATTTATTGTTACTATCTTGCCGTGAAAATATGTGACCCAAATTTCAAATGGACTAAGCCGGCATAAATGACTGTTGTTCAATTTGGACTGTTCACATATTTCTCCAAACATAATTGATTAGAAATTACAATATTAAAAAAAACACATTTATAATACATTAATATGCACTTTTAGACACATTTTCATCTATTTCAATGTTCCAAAAATAGAGCCATACGCCCCTTAACCATGCATATGGAACTTAAAGTTTTTATGACACAGTTTAACACTTCAGCTTGCAAACCTTTGACCATTATCACATAGTTAAATTGGCTTGTAGTATGAACTAATCCCATTGTTAATAAAAGCAGATTACCCTAACTTAATTATCTTCATTTATTAGTTCTAATCAACCAGACTTCTCATCTTTATTATAGTTTCAATATTTAAAAAAAACCTGTCATTTTCTAATAATTAATCTAAAATTAGTCAAAATGTACAGTTCAGTTTTTTAAAAATCTGTATATATGTAGTTTTTTTAATCCCACCTGGGTGAAATAAATGTTGTTTAGACAAAAAATACCTGAAAGGTTTTTATTGGACTTAACTGTGTGAAACAATCCATTTGAGATTATGGTTTTATTTGTTTTCCCACATTTCCTTAACTTCCTGATCTAATAATACTATATCTACCTACCCTAATTCAACAAAAGCTGCCTTCAATCCATCTAGTGGTGCTCGACAAAATGATAATGTAAACAATACATTTTTTAAAAACTGGCCTAAATATTCTCGTTCTTTTTCCTGAAATATTTTAAAAAGTATCTTCCAGTAAAATATCATAAGAAACAAAACATTTTACAGTCAACTGACCCATTATGATTCAAAGGTTGAACTTATAATAGGTAATAATTTCTGAAGTGGATATAGGAAGATCTGGACTAAAAGCCAGAATTATTTAATTAACTTTAAGCTGTTACTTCAGGAAAAACCTGAATAGATTAATTATTACCTTACAACTTGATCGAGGAAAGGAATTGGTAATTAGTAGTTGGGCTTAAAGGACTTTGTAATTTGCAGTTGGGCTCAAGAATAATATATAGTCATACCCTGCGGGTCAAATAATTGTTGCCAAACACATTGATTTAATAATCTACAAATAATAACCTAGCTCCCACTGTAGGATAAGTGTGATACAATGAATGTATGAGCAACAACAGTAACACCTAAGTGGCTGACATGTGTAATAATTAACACTTATTTAATTCATTGTGGATGATGTAATTATGCCCAAGGGGACATATCTTAAACACAGCCTAAAACTGTTATCTTTGAATAAACATTTAGCAAGAGCAATGATATATAGTGGGAGTACACTAGCCAATTTGAAGGCCCTGAAAAGACTATTGTTTCAAATGGAGTTTATTACGTTTTGGAAAAGAGCCCTTATATTCGTATATCACTTAATCTTAATAGATTACTCAATGTATCAAACATTAATAGATTTCCTAATGTATCAACCATCAATAGATTACTTTACTGTATGTAGCAAATATTAATAGATTACTTAATGTATCAAACATCAGTAGATTACTTAATGTATCAAACATCAATAAATTACTTTACTGTATATCACATATTAATAGATTACCTTACTGTATGTATCAAACATTAACAGATTACTTAATCTATCAAACATCAATAAATTACCTTATTGTATGTATCAAATATTAATATATTACCCTACTGTATGTATCAAAAATTAATAGATTACTTAATTATGTCAAACATTAATAGATTACCTTACTGTATGTATGAAACATTAATAGATTACTTAATGTGTCAAACATTAATAGATTACTTAATGTGTCAAACATTAATAGATTACTTAATGTATCAAACATTAATAGATTACTTTACTGTATGTATCACACTTTAATGATAGATTGCTTGATGCATCAAACATTAATAGATTACTTAATGTAGCAGATATTAATAGATTACTTATTGTCTTAATATCATTAACATATTACTTACTGTATTAAAACATGTTAATACACCTGCTGAATATACTGGTATAATACACGTTGTTAAAGCTGTATGACCTAAATTTACTTGATGATCTACAAAAAATATTCAAATGAAAACACTTCTTAAAGCTGTTCTCAATTTATTCATCAAAGTAACAGACATAATTATTTGCCATCCCTTGAAGTCTTTATTTCAAATAAGCAAGAAGTTTCAAGATAAGAATTTCCTTTCATTTCAAGTTCAAACAATACATAATTTTATTTACAAACTACAAGAAGTAACCTAATTAATGTATCCAAGTGGGTTGTCTCCTTAAATTCTCTAAACAATTTCAGGAATCTGAATACTCTGAACATGTTCATTGAAAAAGAACACATGACATTACCAACCCAATAAAAAGATGTGGGTAATGTTTAAAGCAAGTCACAGCAAGACATGGGTTTAATCCCACGATTGTAAATAACAAAACATGAAATAAACCACCTAACCACACTAATTGTTCCCCATGTGCTCTAGTTTCCAGGGATGTTTAGAGGGCCATACAAATGATCAAAATCAAAAATGTCAGTCCTGAAATAACTGATTTGTGCTGAGTAGCATAGAGCCCAACTTCTATTTCCACAATCCAATGCCAATTAAATAATTGCAGTTACATCAGATTGTGAATCTTTCACACATCCTTTCAAGAAGAATATATTTATTTTTAATTTATAAATTCATTTATTATCTTACCTAAAAAATTGTCCGGTAAATTGACTAATTCTTCAAACTTAGGTTTAATCTAAAAAATAAATATTAAACTTCATTATAGGGACATAATGACAAAATCTGTTATATATATTAGGATATGTCAGCAAGATAGGGGAAAATAGTCATTTTGATGTTTTAACAGGTCATTCAATATGTTGCACTTCAATTGTGGGTCACCTTTTTTATTTAAAATTGCATTCATCTCGGCATCAACTAATCTGGTCAAATTAAACCAAATAATAAAATTCACTAGAAATAAGAGTATATCCCTTTAAAAACTGATATTTTAATTATATCCATACTTTCTCAAAAAAAACAGCCAAAAATACTGTCAGCTGAAAATTATCCAGAGTCTTATTGCATTATGAATGCTGCTCTTACTGATAATAATAGTTTGCCATAATGCTGTAGATTCTTGACACACTGTTGCTTGAATTGTCAAATTTTTGTCTGCTGCTCAGTTGGGCTTCTCTACATGTTATTTATCTATATACAATTGGCGGCAGTTTTTACTTTGATGTCCATAGCAGTTATATCTCATAACAACCCGTCATGACATCATCATAGGTTGATATATTCGTTCATATCAACCGCTGATGACGTCATGACAGGTTGATATTTCATATCAACCGGTAATGACGTCATCTCAGGTCAATATATTCGGCTCATATCAACCGCTGATGACGTAGATGATTGAAATAATATAAAAAAACACAGAAATAAATTTTTATTCTTTTGAAAATTAAAATTTGTTATGGTACAGTTTCTAACATTCAGGACCGAAATAGACGGTGTACTTATCGACATACATGTATTTAGATCGGTTATCCATGTCTAAGACATCTTTCAGAATTTTCTTTTCGTCCACATTGCGATTATTTCTCCACACACTACAAGACTTGAAAGTATTTATCGCCCAAGAGTTGCTTTGTAAAGTATTTTTGGGTACAGTCCACTTAAAACAGTCGGTCAAATCCTTCTCTGAACATACTGAAAACCTTCAATCATGGTTCACTGTCAGAATTCTTGGAAAAGAATGCCTTTTGGTCCAAATTTTCTGCAGGCTTTGGATAAATCCTCGTCAATATTTGCATTCACATCTATTCCATCGTCAATATATTGGCTAAAAAGGATTGATTATTCGTCTGACTTCGTATTACTATCCATTTTGTTTTTGTTTTCAATTCAATAGTCCAAAATGGCGATGTATAAACAAAAACATGCACGTAATTGCACGTGATTACTTCGGTAATTTTCGCTATTTGGCGGAAACTATCGACCAATTATCCAATCGTTGTTGCCTTTTAATCGAAGAGCCCATTAAATTTAAGGGTGAAATGGTGTTGTATATGTCGGATATAAACCTACTCTCCCTTGGATTGATATGGTAGAGAATGCTTGGGCTTCGCCCGCTCGTTCTCTACCATATCAACCTCGGGTAGGTTAATATCCTATACATACAAAATAATTTTAACTGAAGAAGTTTAATTCAATATTGACATGAAGTAGACACAGAGAGAGTAATGGGGTTTAACGTCCACTTGACACAATCTAGGTCATTTCAGGACCATGCCACTTTACTCAGAGACAAACCTTATGATCCAACGCGTACATGTTAACCATTCAGCTACCCAACCCCCTGTGACATAAAGTAAATTCTTACCTTATTTTGAGTAAATGACTGACCAAATGTTTTACATATTCTCTGAATTAATTTACATAATGCACCAACTACTTTATTAAATGAAAGACCAACACCTTCGGTTATTTCTAATAATCGAGGTATTCTGTAATAAAAACACATAATTGTGATAAACAAAATATCAAATATGTACATGTATTAAACATACATTATGCAAGATCTAAATCTGTCTATTGCAGGTCTTTCTTTAGGTCTGAAATGTTATCTAAATTATTAATTAGACATTAATTAACCTATCCAGGCCATAATCAACTCTAGATGGCATCGCTAACCTGCGATCTTTACTGGATTATGAGTCGATTTACTGCATAACTTCACTTCAGGATTTAACAATTAAAGGGACAATAACACTCTTGCTGGCTTGACAGCTCCAGAAAATAAAAATAGCCTTATTCTAAGTACTAGATGTGTTAGTGTCCTACCTGTTGTGTAAATTATCCATTAAATCCTATTTTACTTGTCCAGAGGGTTCAAAAATATTTTTAAATCCAAGTCACATTTGAAAAGCTATACGTCAGGCTTTTCAAATCATTTAGTTGAATTTTTCCAATTTTTTAAATTAGGTGTGTTAAGATGAAATTTGTAGCATCAATTAATTGGAATATTGTAAAATAGTGCAATTTGTTGACCAGAATAAAGATTGGGACATATTATTGAGTTACAATTGAGTGGTATTGAGCCTTTAAGTGGATAATCGAGACTATGCTGTTTATCATACTGACGCTGGAAATTTCAACCGCTTGGTTCTCGGTTCATAGTGGATCAATTTGAATGAAATTTTCTGCATATTGCCTTTACATTATCTAGTTTTTAACTATTTCTAGTGAGAACTGCCAACTCGTTATCGAATCTCCCATAATGTATCTTTAAGAAAAATATTAAATGGAAGTGTGAGCGAGGTGTGTTTTTTTTTCTGTTTGCAATGAAACATAACCAGCTACATACAGACATGAATTTCTTCAATGACTCTATATTGATTTATTAGTATTATTCAAGTCAAACTTGAAAAACAAAATATCAAGTTAGTATTAAGAAATATATTAAATGGCAGTGTAAGGGATCTGATTATGGGACAAAAAAGTTTTTTTTTCTGTTAGCAATTAAACTAAACCAGCTGCATACAGTAGAGTGGTTCAATGGTCAATTATTTGTCCTTATATAAACATGCACAGGTATCTGCCTGATTGCACCGCCCGTGAGATTTTCTGAAGTGAGCGGAATGTAGTCTCGCGCACGTGAGTTTCGATGTCGCAGCAAATATACGTCATAAATAGCATTCCACATGGTATTATACAAACATGAATTGGTATATAAAGCCAAGTAAAAATACCTGTTTCAGTTTTACGGCTACCAAGGGACATAACTCTTAATCTCACCAAGAGTTATCTGCCTTCATTATGGAAGCCGGGTAGATTTTGAAGCATTTATAACATTATTTCTAAACGGTTATATCCTCAAAAATCAAATGTGGTCAGACTTCCATTGTTGATGAATGAAGTTTTTATGGTAAGTCTTATCATATAATGTTAAAATAATCCCGAAATAGTGTCTGTTTGTTGTTAAAAAAATTGAGTATGAACCACTCTACATACAGACATGAACTTCTTCAATGACTACATATTGAATTAGAATTATTCAAGTCAAACTTCTCACCACTGGAGTCGTCACAGTAAAAAGTTCAAATGATTATAATAAACAAAGCAAGAGATTTTAAGTTCATTTAATTAAAAAACAAAAGGTCACTTACAAATTATTAACAACCCAGTTCAACTGATCCCATGATTCAAACCATTCCTGAGATATATAATCTTCATACAGATATACTAGATTTGACAGATGTCTATCATCACCAATAATAATAAATATATCTGATAAACGACAACTTGCATCAGGAAATCTGCATACTATAAATACACCAATAACAAAATGGTAATCAAATATGACTGTTTAAAGAAATATCATTTTCAAAAAGAAAATAAACATTATTAATTTTTCATATAGATATTGTATCTAAAAAAAACCTGACCAACTTAGACAAAGCATTTTACACAAGTAAAAATTACTGAACTACTTGAAAAATAGGCCTACATATAGGCTATATGTCTTGCAAAGAATCTTAAAACATCTGCATTGCAAATTTGCCTTCTAATTTGAAAGCCTCCTGAACAGTAAAGTAACTAAACAGTCAAATCACAACAATAGAGCTAATTCCTCTGGTAAAACTTTTATCATATCATTCAAATCTATGACAAAACCAAATGCACATACCACCCAGCCACCCCAAACAAATCCTGGTTTGATAAAATTTTGATAACTACCATCTAATTCCTGATTATGTTCAACTGTTGCCAAACTGTCACAATAAGGACCTGTTTCTAGGACGGAGAGAAAAAGGAATGGAACCAGTTCTTGTAATTGTGAAAGTAAAAGTAGAAATCTATGTTCATCTAATGGAAGATTGGTATAGGTTGAAGATCTTTGTGCTGCTATAATTCCCTGTAAAAAGTTAATTATTTTATCATTCATATAGTCATATATCTAATTTAACAAAGAGGGGGGGGGGGGGTGTACTCAAAAGAGTCACTTTGGGTGAAAAATAAATGTGTTGATTTGATTAAATTTGATCATTTGTTTTAAACAAGATGAATTTTTTAGTTTTTAGATTTTACACACAGATTAGGCCTATATATAATAGAAAAAAAAAAGACAAAACTTAATCTTGCATTGTGAATAATGCATTTTGCTTAATCTGCTGTACAGAAATCATATCAAAATAACACATTAGATCAACCCAATTTAACTCTTTATTTTAATTAAAACAAAGAGGTAATGCTCCTTTAATTTTGAACTTAATAAATAACAACCCCTCGAATCCGAATACATGTAATCCCATCAGGTTGACAAACAGTAAAATAGAATATAGGCTTTTTGAATTCAGAGAAATACATGTTACACAATTACTTACATGTATTGATCTATGGTGGAAACCAAAATATTGGGAGCAGTACATTCAGAGGGTTAATAATGTATCAAAATCAACTACATTAGTCAAAGTATATTCACCATACATTTACAAATATAGAAAACAATATCCTTTGTTATAGAAGAAGACTAGCACTAAATATATATTATGTCTATTAAATACCTTTGAATATAAAAAGAATAAAGTGATATGAATGGGTAACTTACAGGATTATTACTGCTATATTTGTTAGTACAGCATGATAAACAACCTTCCTGTTAATATTAGTATATAGGTATGTATGTATAGTGTCATATATTCTATTAGTAGATTACCTTAATTTCTTACATTAAAACTATGAATAATATATTAATCTTTATTGAGTGAGTATGTACCATAACTTCTTTAAGAGTTTAAGTATCTAAAATCTTATGCAATTTATACTCCCAGATATTAGTTAATTATAAATATTTAGAACTAATTTATCAATTTATCAACAGTATGACAGTTAATATAAAAAATTGGAAATGCCATCCACAGGTAACAATTAAAGCCCTTCATTAACAGTTGTAGGTGATTGAACTATGGTTATGTTTTAGTCATGTTTAATATCAGATAATATTTTTGATCTTATACTGGTAATGGTATTTGAAAATTCCAGATGTGTATCTCATTTTCAATCATAAAAGAACAAAATAAATTTAAAAGTTTGTTCAAAATTCTATTTTTATCTGAATGATATAACAAGTCTCCAAGACAGTGACAGACACAGATTTTATGAAAGATATATTATTATTGTAGAACAAATCTGTTTTAAATGAGATTTTAATTACATAAATTCATGAACTGATGAGGGAATCCATTACGGGGAATTCAACATCATGAAAATGTAGAGTTTAAGTATTTTATCCGATTAAAACACAACCATAGATAAAGGAGTGAATGTGAGTATGGTGAGTGTTAATGTAAAAGATATTACACCCATAAGTGTGTTGACTTTAGAAGATGTATATAGTTTACACCACACGGATTATAAAACAGAATTTAGCTTGTACTCTTACATAAATAAAACAAAGATAGAAAAAAGTTACCTCTTACAAAAACTTCCTATGGGGCAGATGGGCAAAAATAGACTAACATAATTGATTGTGAAAAAAACCCAAAGACTAAATTCTATAGAATTATTGAAAAGATCCTCCGGCACTGTTCATAAAGGCCTTTTTGTTTTATACTCATTAAAGGTTACCCATGTGTATATCACAGCACGAATATTCGTAACTGAGCCCTGGAAAAATGAGTACAAATAGCTGTATTTAGACATCCAAACCTAAAGAGGTAACATGTTTTGTGGATTAATAATTTGAAATAACTGTATTTATTCTGAATAGGAAGAGGATACAATGATGAGTCCAGGGGAAGAACGATCTAAGTGACATTTTTGTTTTTTCTCATAAAAGGCAAAATAGACTTTTGGACGAGAATGCTAGGCGTGAACAGAACAATGAGTTGGTTTAATTACAACTTCAAAATGATGTTTAATACGAATCAAAATTACCAGTACAACAACTGACTTCCACTTTTCAGCCAAATTAAGGTCAAATAAAGGGTACGATGGACGTATTGGGCCGGGAGGCCATTTCAGAAGGGCCTTGGTTCGCGTTCCACAGAAAGCTTATACAATTTGCTACCTGATGGTGGCATTAACTGAGGTTTGTTGAAAAAGTAACTTAGATCGTTCTTCCCTGGAGCTTTTCAAATACATTTTCATAAATAAGAGTACATGCTAAATTCCAGTTTGTAGTTCACGTGATGGAAACAGCAATTAGTGCAATAGCAGATGACTACATATATTACATTATATATAAAATCAGATTAGTCTATATATCATATATATATATATATATACATATATAGAACACAGGAAATAAGACACAAAATAAGAGATATTTGGTTATCTTGTCAATAGTTCTTTTTTAACTGATTTCTTTACTGCTGTATCAAAATTGAATAATTAATATTTCATTTTAAATTTACATTTGATCAACAGTCATCATAAAGGAGTATTCCCATTGTAACAAATAAGTTTAAGTATGAAACTAAAACTCCACAATGTAACATTATATGAAAAATTCAAGTAAAAATATTGTGCAGATCGGAAATGATTGCCAAAACTGCATAACATTTGATAATGTAATTCAGATCAAGAATATTGTCACTGCTGCAAGTTTATAAATAATCTTATTCAGACATTCCTACAAGTGTCAGATTTAGATACTTGTTGCCAATCTCATGATAATATAAAATAAATTGAAGTTAGGACTACAATAAATGTTTATAAAAGTTTTATACACAGTATAAACCAGTTGTAATAAATAGGATAACTCCTATAATGTTTTCGTATACTAATTTCATCTCATTTCAAAAACATATTTTAAAAAACGAATATCATTTGTTCTAAGATAACCGCCAGACATATAATAAAATTAAAAATAGAGGAAAGATTAAACAAATTAACACATTTAAAAGAATGTCCACTGGTTTAAGATTATTTCTAACATTCAAAACCAATTAATGTTTTTTGTTTTGGTTATTCTAATTATCTGAAATAAACAGGATTTCTCTTTTTTTTTTTAATTTTCAAAAAAACTTAACTGGAATTAGTCATAGATCTACATGGGCTTTCGGCTTGCTTGGTTAAATTAAAAGTATTTTCTTAGTTGAGATTATAATAAAATTATTTTATACAGATTAACATTGATAAAGATACTTCTCTTTTAACCAACCAACCTATAATCTACATTAACATATAAATAAAAAGATGTGACATCATTTATTCAACTCATTTATACTTATATCAGAACTTTCAATTTCAAAACTATTTATTCTTGATCTGTAAAATAAGCTTGTAGTGGATTAGGACTGAGGAACACACTACATTATCAGGGATTATATGTAAAACTGTGAATGTGTGTCATATGGAAATTTCGATCACTGATTCAATTCTAGTATATTTGTGCATCAGTAGTCATGCATTATAGAATCACATTTACAACTACTTTAACTACCCTATATTTATCATGTTTCTTGAAGAAAATGGTATTTGAATTTAGTGAGCAAAAGTGTGAATTTATTGAGTAACAGTTTGAAGCTCATGAGTGATACTTGATTCTATTAAATAATAGTGTAAATTGTTTGAGTTCGAGTTATAATTATTCCAATGAATTTGTATTTGAATCTATTGAGTAATAGTGTACATTCTTTGAGTAAAGGTGGAAATTCAATGAGAGCTAATTTGAATTTACCGAGTAATAGTTTGAATTATCTAATAGTTTGAATGAGTATTATTTGATTATATTGAGTAATAATTTGAATTCAGTGAGTGATATATGACTTCAGTGCATAACAGGGTGAATTTAGTAAGAAATAATTTAAATCTTGTTTATGCTATATTGAATCTAGTGAGTAATTACCTGAATGCAATTAGTAATAGTTTGAATCCAGAAAGTTACAGTGTGCATCCAGCGAATAATTTTGTGAATTTAGTGATTATTATAAACTTGAAATTATTGTATATAAACTTTAACTTAAACTTTATTTTAAGGTATCTAGATTGACTAATTCCATGGATAAATCTTTAACCAGTAGAGCATACAGCAGAGAGAAAAATGAGCCCACAAAGAAAAAAAAATTGGAAGTGCCTTAACTATGTCCTCAAGTTCTCGTAGTATAGTATGTAGTAGATGATGTTCTAGTTTACCCAGTTCATATGACCAGGTAGCAAATGATGGAAGTAAAACATGTAGAGCTGCTGATAAAACTTTCTCAGATCCATCTTTTAACGACTTGTGTAATAATTCAAAACCCTGAAACAGAACATTTGTAATTTTTAGCTTCCAAACATAGGTTTTCAGGCAATGGATTATGTACCCAACAGTATCAATCCATTTTATAAAAATATCTGCCACAAACTTATGTTTTATCATTTGATACAGGTGTGACAAGGAGATCTCTCTCCTCTCTCTCTCTCTCTCCTCTCTCTCTCTCTCCTCTCTCTCTCTCTTTCTCCTCTCTCTCTCTCTCTCTCTCTCTCTCTCACGCGTGCAAATTAAAGTGAGTAACATAGTCAATTTCAAACTGTTCTAACATATTATTGTCCTAATACGATAAAATCTCAGCACTCAAATGATGTGGCACCACCATTTTGACTCCCGACAAACTGAAAGTAGATCTATATATCACTGCTACAGTTGACATCATGACCTGTTTATAAATTGTGATACTTTCGCATAGTGACTGCCATCTTGAAACCCAGTCCATGTGTATTACTAATCAATCACGGTATTTCTGAACAGCACATTTCAATATAATGTAATATTTACCTGGCTGTATTTATCATTATCACAGATAAAACCTATTAATAAACCTAAACTACGAACAACTGATTCTCGTACATCTTCATCTTTATCTTCATGTAACATCTGTGTTAACATTGATAATAATAATGAACTTCGTATCTCACTCTAAAATATAATATAATTATACTGTATGAGACAAAGGTAAAACTTTCATAATAAATATCAGCTGATATATCACAAATACAGAAATATGTGAACAGTGCAGGCAAATTGAGTTGCAATGACGAGCCTGGAAATAAGGCACCTGTCACTGACAATGTCAGGCACAGATGCAGGCTTTTTCAGGCATTCAACCTCTGTGAGCGATTAGCTAATGAAACGGTCTGCTACGGTGAGTGCTTGGCCTTTTGATGCACGGAACTGTGGGAAAACCTCTGCAAATGTCAACGCTGATTGATTAATTTTGATTAATCAATGTCTGATGTCATTGGGTCAAAAGCCACTCATTTGACCCCTGACATGACCTCCCAGTACAACTGGTCAGATCTTCTTGTAGTGTAGGCCATCAAAAGTATAAAAAAATGAAACGAAATATAGATCTGCATTTTAATCAGATTATGCTAAATACGAAATGAAATGAAATGAAATTTAACATCCTATTGTTCTGCTCCTAAACTGGGCTAATGAAGACGGGCATACACCATACAGTGTGATATGAGGGAAATTTTGCCCGGGAAGCAACGCTACGGCCTACTCTTATATCGAATTCCAACTGCCAAGGGATCTTTTACGTGCACCCCAATATGTACACTGGGACCTCGGTTTTTCGTCCATATCCGAACGACTAGACAGCTGTTCTTGTCAGGCCCTCTGTCCTGCATCACTGACAAGGGGAAACCACGCCAGAAAATCTGGATGAACTTTCTCAGCCAGTGCAGGGATCGAACACCCGACCTCCAGGCTAGCGAGCGTCTCACCCACTTAGCCATGTAATCCCCTTATGCTAAATACACAAGATTAAATGATACCCGGGTTACAGTGTTAGTGCTCCGGATATTAAGATTGTTGATTGGGTAATCAAGTTTAGTTTTATTTCATGCATATCAAAGACATTGCCACAGCTATATGTATGTTGTGTTAACTTTGTCACACGACTCAATTAAAATAAGGTTTTGCGTGTACAATAGGTCGACTGTTATTTTCAGGTACCGTAAAGGTATCAGAATCTGAATCCCAGATAGAATGATGAACGCAACCATGATAAAACAATGCACCTCGTGGGGTGTCTGGGCCGAGAATTTTTACATATTGTAGGGTTTTAAAACTTGTTCGTATTTGTTAAATTTGGGATTATCATATTTATAAACTATACGGCTTCACAACGATGCCAAGTATTAGATAAGGAGATTGGCAAGTCATCCCGCTGTGTGAGTCGGAAAATAACTAATTTCCCTGAGAATTTTAAGAAAAAAGAAAGATTTAAGAATACGGTACTCTTACAAAATGTACAAATAAAAGTGTTTTAAGATGTTTTATTGCTATTTCAATCTTTTGGGTCAATAGAAAGTATTTTTATAGATTCATTTTTGTGAAAATCTCAATTTTGATCAAAATCAATATTTTCACTTGTTTTGTCTGTAGCTCATTATTAGACTCTGCCCATTCCGACTCATTTTGCCATCCAGGGTCACATATAGTTGAAAAACAATTAATCCTGAGACAAAGTTTTTCAACCATACCCTTGCTATTATTTGAAGTTACATTATATATATTATAAAGATTTTACTAAATGAAGAATTGACTGGCAGTGAAAGGATTAATGACATATCTAGAGATCTGTTTTCTATGGTTAGGAATGCCAAAGAAGGTGTGAAATTTTAACTCTCAATTGACATGAGAACTTTTATAAGCACCACCAATCTTGTGACCCTCTTAATCAATATAAAGAGGAGTATATACTAACTTGTAAATATGAATATCAAGAGTAGAATACTATTCGGTAAATATGAAGATTAAGAGCAATATACTAACTAGTAAATATAAAGATTAAGAGTAAATTACTAACTGGTAAATATGAAGATAAAGAGGAGTATTTACTAACCGGTAAATATGAAGAGTAAGCAAAGTATACTAACTGATAAATATGAAGATTAAGAGGAGTAGGCTAACCAATAAATATGAGGCTTATGAGTAGTATACTAACCGGCAAATAAGAAGATAAAGCACCACAAGCTTCAGCTACAAGTAATCTTCTTTCTACATACTTATGATTAATCTTAAAAATAGAAATATATCACATGTCAATGGTTAACAATAAAAGAACAAAAGCAAATTTTATGTGGCACTAATTCGTTGTAGGATAATGCTATGTACAAAGGTTATTATGTCCCTTTCTTAATACAAAAGAGCAATTTCTATAAGAAATTTGTGGGAGCCACAGTGGCTCAGCATGTTCAACCCTGGTGTTGGCTGACAAAGTTCCTCTACAATAAAACTGATCTCCCATCCATGTACACCTTACTGTGCAGATGAAAAATCATAGCACACTACATGGCTTATGTCTGTCTTCATGTGTTCTGGTGGAGCAGAAAAGTAGGACATTAAACCCTATTTCAGTCACTCATTCATTAATTTACCAGAAGGTCCATACAAACCATGAAATATTCCATATGAAGAAGGTAAGCTAAGTGTAAAATCTACTATACCTGTTCCCAACACTGTGGTAGTAACTCTGCTTCCAATCTTGTTGGACCCACATGTTCTGCAAAGGCTATACACCCAGTTAAAATCATTTGTCTGTGAAAAATAATAAAATATATGTTAAATTACCAAATGTCCTTTAATGTTGTGTGTGTTTGACATGCACAGGGATATTTTGGATTAAATACTGCACAGATAGTTTTCTTTTTTCAAGGTTGTCTGTCTGTAGATTATCTGATTTCTTTATGATATAAAGAAAATAGAGATGTTATGGTCATGAATTATAGTTATTGTTTTATTTTTCAATTCATGGAAAAACAGTAGATAATTATGTTATATGTACCTTTGATCTTCATCTGGTTTTTTAATAAGATTGAATAAAATATTTAATAATTGATCTCTTTCTTTGGAATCAGGATGCAACATGGCAGTACAGATTATCAATGGAATTAATTCCTGTAAATAGACAAAAACAACCCTTGAACCTAGAATAAAACTGAATAAACTGTAATCAGCATACAATCAAGAGGAATATGTCTGCTTTTACAGCAATGGATTGTTAGCAAATATATATTTATATTTTATAAGAAGTTAAATTTTGGTACCTCTCTTTTTGCTAGTAAAACATTTGGAACAATATGAGGTAGACATCTTCCTAACATTGTTACCACACTTTCTCCACCAGAATGACCAATCTTTGACACTTCTGCAGCTATTCTATTATCATGTGAAACATGGAATGCAACTTCTTGTAATGCCTGTCTGAAAGTAGCTGTCATTTTCCTGTTAAAATTCAACATTTTATTATAAGAAATTAAATATAGCAACCACTAGTCACTGTTTTATTTGTTCTATACTGCATGAGGTTGTTTGTCGCCTTTGATTTTTATGATATCTATTTAAATCATGACATATTCTTGTAATTAGGATGCAGTAATTTAATCAAAACAACTGGTCGATGGACAGCAACCGACGTTCAAATTAAATGTTAGTGTATAAAAAAAAGAAGAAAATATCAATTCACTAATACCAATTACAATGTTGCTGAAATTGTTCTTTTGAAAATGGAGCTGCCATGGCTTATTGAGTAAGATGTTAGAGGTCCTCTGTTCGATCCCAGTGTTGACCGAAAAAGTATATCTGGATTGTCATTGATGCAGGACAAAGGGTTTGGTAAGGGACAACGTATAGTCATTTGGTTGGGACGGAAACCCAAGGTCCTGTGTACACATCGCTGTACACGTAAAACAACCCTTGGCAGTATTAATTTGATATAAAAATAAGCCATAGTGTCGCTGTCCAGGCAAAATTTCCATCATGCCACAGCTACACTGTATGGCATATATTCGCCTTCAGTAGCCCAGTCAGGGCAGAGCAATAGGAAGTTAAACCCCATTTCATTTCATTTCTTTTGAACATAAAATCATTAGGATTATTTATTGGAAAGTTGAAAATCTGATAGCTAGTATAAAGGGAGATCACTCATACAGAGCACAATTTTGTAGCATTTCTGGTATTAATATTAGCAAATGAAAATAAACTAAAATCACATTTAGATCTTCAAAATAAATGTACCTATCATGAGAATTATCAACAACTGTTCTATCCTCTAAGATACTATGACCCCCTCCTGCATCATCAACAACATCTGTTTTAAAATCATCATCCAATCGTAAACTATCATCCATATTTCCATTGGTAACTATGGTAATATCCTCATCTGCACCATTGACATCACTTTGAGGAGAAGTTGCTTCGCTATCTGTGATTGGTTGATAACTAGCCTCTGAATCTGTAATGGTTGCAGTCTCAGATATATTAGAGAAACTGATGGAGCTGGTGACGGATTCTGAGCGATCTTGTTTTACAGCAAGAGGTGTGGAATGGTTGGGAATGTTTCTATTCGGCCCACTGAAGAAAAAATATGAAATGATTGAAAGGTGTCTTTTTTGGTAGTTAATTGCTCGCACAATTAATTTTGCAAAGGTGAGATCCCAAATGGTAAACAACAATAAATTTCTGAAAACTTTTACTGCAGTAAATCCTTCTGGTAATAGAAAATTCATCCAAGTTGATCTTGGCAAAATCGTAAGAATATGAATTTCTTATCACTGTCAATAACTAAAATATACCAAGATTTATCTTTCTAGCAATGTACAGGTTTAATATTACATAAACATTTTTATAAAATTGTTTATTTCAAATTGAATTATTGCTAATACTGATGACCATCTATAGAAACCCACTCGTCTTCAGTGAACTTTTACTCATCAGGATGATCGACAGAGTGGATACAAGAAAACTCGCTGTTAATCAAAAGACAAAGGGCTATCAACATGTCATATTCTGTTTATTTTTTATTTAATGTCTTGAAGTTTGTAAAATACCTACATTTTGAGTATTTTCACTTGTTCAGCTAAAACATCTCTTTCTTGCATATATAGCTGAAGTTCTTCGTCTAAATCACTTATTCTATGTTCCTAGTAAAAATATAAAATGTACATGTTAGTATGATTGTAAAATACTAAAAGTGTCAAATTTATGAATTTGAAACATATTGTTTTAAAAATTAGGATTCTTCAGGTTTCTGTGATATCAGTTTACAGTACATAATTCTATTGGATACAAGTACTACTTATTACAGAAAGACATTTTGATTAGACTTTTCTAGTGTTTACCAAGCAATGATAAAATTTTGAATATATGTTATATACATGTAAAAACAAGGCTTTTTTTGTTAGATCAGTAATAAATGGTATTCCATAAAATGATGTCCTGTATTGTCAAATTTTTTTCTAGAGATTAGAACTTACAAGTTGTTTTTTTGTATCCGTCCAATCCATCTCCATTTCTTCTAAATGTTCATCAATAATATCAGTTTCACATGATACATTATGTGTTTCTTTAATAGGCATAACATGATTACCAAAATCACGGAATAAAGACAGTAAATCAGGTGGTCTAGCTACATTTAATCCTACGTCATCCCAATCTTCAAAATCCTACAATAAATATAGGGTAGTTTAAGAATAATGTGTTAATAACCTTATCATCTATTTTTACACTTTTCTACATAGACTTGAGCACTTTGTAGGATGTACTTCAACATTTGTAACATTACTCAGTATGGACAATATGGTAGTTATTAGAAACGAAATAACTTCTGAATTAACTACTGTCTGTCCAACCCAAATTAAGGTACACTAGAACTACAACAAAGTTAACATTTCCGATGTTTTGTTCACGATCAATTAATCCTCTGGGAATAGTCTGTCAAAAATCATGATTATTCAAGAGAAATTGACATATTTTAAAAAGGAAACAGAACTGAATATGCAAAACCAGCGGAACTCTTTTTCAGTGTTTTGGTTTTGGACCCTATTTATAAAAAATGATTCCTTTGTATTAGAATGAACAATGGGCATGCTGAAAGCCGCAGGACAATATGTTTGTATATTTTTTCATCTTCTAAGCAAACTTTTATACTTAACAATAACTTGAACACCAACCTGTTGTTCATTCTCTTCTGAGAAAGTAACTGATGTGAGCTTATAATTATTGAGCAAGAGATATTCATTAACAAGAAAATTAAGGGCTCGACTTTCCATTGGCCTCATCACATCATCTGTAGCCATCCCTTGACTTGTGTCTGTAAATTCTGGAGTTGTCATTTCCTTTTCTGTATAAAAGAATGAATTGATAATAAAAACATACTTTCTAAAAAAAAATATTTGGCACAGTAAACAAAAATATTATGAATTAATTCTAACATCAAAGAACTCAGAAGATGAACAAGATAATGTGTGTGAAATAGTTTTATTTAATAGACAAAAAAGGCACAAACATTCACTTTAAAAACTACCACCACCACAATATATATAAATAAAAGGAACTAGATGATTGATTAAAACTGAAAAATACAAAATATCTTTACCAGCCTCCATAGTTAAAGTTGCTCTCAGAGATCGAACGGTTTCGTGAGCTTTTCGTAATTCAAATTCCAAAACTGAAATCAAAAATCACCTATGCTTAAAGATACATTATGGGAGATAAGATAAAGAGATGGCAGTTCTCGCTATAATAGTTAAAAACTAGATAGTGTAAAGGTGATTTGCTGAAAATTTCAGTCAAATTGATCCACTATGAGCCGAGAAAGAAGCGGTGAAATTTTTGCATAATCTCGGTTATCATTACTAAAATCATTAATATAAACAGCATAGTCTCGATTATCCACTTTTTCTGATTTAATTATCTTTGGCCGTTAGCGGCATATAGGAATCTAATCCAGCCTACATCGAAGGCTAGCCTTGACATCGAGAGTTTATTATGGTCTGGATAAGTTAATTAATGTCTAATTGATAATTAAGATAACATTTCAGGCCTAAAGAAAGACTTGTAATAAGCAGATTTTGCTCTTGCATAATGCAAGTTTAAAGGAGCTAAATCGCTAATATTTGGGACCTAGAAATTGACACAAATGGGTCGCAACGCATATAATAATGTAATATGAATGTATATAAACTGATTTACATTCAATCGTTTCTGTTTTGATTGTAATTTCTAATCATTTATGTTCGGCGAAATATGCCAGAAGTCTCAATTGAATGACAATCTTTAACGTCTGGTTATTCCAGTCTACACCAATGGTATTTATTGCGCATGCTCTCCAGATAAGAATATAGCGTCACCATTTGACATTACTTGTGGCATATGTCTAGCCTCGTTCTTTGAGTCCCTTGTTCCAAATGGCGCTGATCGCAAAATGTTTATTTTATCTCGAATATTGGATATCAGAAGCCCATCTTTTCCCTGTAAGATCACAAGACCAATGTTGATTTGAACTGACAAATAATTTGTATTTTCAATGTCGAAGATTTTTGATGATATTGAGTTAGAGACTTAGCTACTTTAAACTAAGAAAACAGGCATAATTTTAATGTGCAGTACACTGTGACAGTTTAGGGCATTTATCAAAAAATGTAAAATAAAATATTGTAACAAAGTTAAATACCTGCCACTCTTTCATCCACTTGTCTCTCACCATCATCAGAATATCTTGCAAAATCCAGAGAATCAAATGTTTGGACACTGGAAGTACGGGCTGAAGGGAAAAAAAGAAGAATGTACTTTTGAGTAATTTTATTTAACTTTAAAGTCGCCATTTTTGCATTCATAAGTATACAGCAGAATTTAAATGAAAAGAAATCTAAGCTCAGAATTACAGACTCTTATTTCTTTAATTTTCTAGTTGTAAACATTGTCCTCATGATTAAGCTACTTGTCATTTATTATGAAAAATTATTTAGCATTTCTATTTGAAAAAGATATGATAAACCAACATACAACAAGAGCATAAACTCAAAACTGATCATATCAATATATATATGAAGTGCTGCAGCAAAAAAATTGAAAGATGTGCATTTATTATTGTTTTTACTGGTACATAAAGCAATTGTTTTTTGTTTTTTTTAAAGTTTTGGTGTTTAATCCCTTTAATACTAAAGATAGCCATCCAAGCTGTCCATAAAGGTGTTTGCACCAGCATTTATTCTTTGTAGGTAATGGGAGAATTTACCAGATAATATAAAATGAACATGAATAACAACCTAGTAATTTAATCAGAAATAATCAAACTTTGATTAGCTATTAGTTTTTTCCAGTGCTAAAATTAATTGTACAAAAATTGTATCTGTAATCAGATGATAATATTGGCTGTTTGAGTTAAACAGTGAAACAACATATAAAAATCAAGTCAATCGGATAATAACTTTACCTTCTAGAGCAAGAGTTTCCGAAGTGATCAAGAGCAATAAATCTGACTATAATTATCAGATATCATCATTGTGTATCAATTTCAGGTCAGTCGAATGTTAACTTGAGCCTCTAAAGTAACCACAAAAGTTTTTTTTAAGTTACTCTAACAGTAATTACTGAAATTTGTTGAAAATCTATTGGCTTCTTCATCTCATGACCATAAAAATGAGTAGGGTGTCCACAAGATTTGTCAAAGTGATCAACGGCCATAACTAACACTTAATTAAACAATGTGTATACATTACAACTTCAAGTCAATCTGTAGAGTGTCCAAAATATTTTACAAATTGATCAAGGGTCATAACTCTGACAGTAATTATTAGAAATCTGCTGTGAAAATCTGTAGGCTTTTTCGGAAGACGAACATAAACACAGACGGTCAGCCAGCGTGATGACAATATATGGCCACATTTCAATGTGGATATATAAAAAGTGAAACAAGAGTCTTGCATTGGGTCATTTAGTGATTTAAATTAGAATGGACAGTTGGATTAGATGGCATTTTAGTAACTGGTTTTCATCAAAGCTTAATCAAATTTATCACTTTTTACATTTAAAAATATTTTACAGTGCATATTTTACATGTATGTGGGTATGGTATGGGAATGTATTATCTGGTATTTAAACATTCAAATATTTTTTACCACGGCCATTAATTTTTTCCCTTGAAGCTGAAACATACCAAAATACAGAAATACAAAAAATTCAAGAATGCTAAAAGCACTGTATTACGACTAGTCTACTTTACTGATTATTAACCTAATAAATATTTCAATAATATTCTTGTATGTTGTTGTTTTCTACATTATATAACACTTAAATTTAAAGGTGCATTTTGTTAGTGCTAAATCTGGCTATGACAGGTCTTTTTTCTAGCTTCCAATAATATTATATAAATTATTTTTTAGACATTTATTCACATGACAAGACCATAATCAACTCTCTAGACCATTGAAATATTAAAATGAAAAATCAAATAGTGCTCGACAATTAAGACTATTTACGATATTTTTTGTCAAAACTTCAAGCATTCAAACTTTGCTCAGAATAAAATAATTTGACTGAAATTTTTGATATATTCATCATTCATTTTTTTAAATTATTGTAGCAAGAATGGCCAGATCTTTTTCCAAATATAACATAATGCATCTGTAAATGACTAAGCTTGAAAAAAAAATGTTATAAAAAGAAAAGAAATGTGCAGTATATGTATCAAATATTTTCATACTATTCATCCCTTAAATATGTTTTTCCTAAATACATACATGTAGGGCAATAAAAATCTAACAGTGTTAAAGGGACTATCCCGATTTGAACAGAGTCTCAGAAATAAAAGTCTGATTACATATGAAATTTAAGCGCCAAAATATAGAGGAATGGCGTATTTACATTGTATGAAAATTTCAGCTCAGAATATTGAATCGTTTGGACGTGAATGTCAAAACTGCTTATCCGGACATGTAACCCTTTTAAGATTTCAGTTCAGTTTTTTCGTTTGGTGACCTGATAATTGATTCCCATTCCTTTAGAGGTCTATACAATGAATGACTCATGTGCTGTACTTGATAACGAAAGGTAAATTTCACTTACACATTATTTTTATAAAATAAAAGTCTAGTTTTATCAAGACACCGCATTATACAGCTTGGGCAACCGGTCTCCATTTCCAGATGAAGACTGATGGGTTTAAGCTGTTTGAAAACGTATCACATATATTGAGTTAGTTGCTCGGGCATAGGGTAGAGGATTTTAAGGGATTTTAACACAAAATTAGGCAATTTTATTCTTGAAAATATTATCGGGATTAGCCCTTTAAACAATTTGAAACACTAAATATTTTCTCATTTTTAACATACTGTAGTGTCTTGAAATATACAACAGACTTGTGGATGTGAATTATAACCAAGCTAACAGTTGAAATCATCACCCAGATATTCAGTGGCTAATGATAATATCATCTCAAAATCACAGATCAAATTCTGATTATTTTGTTTTTCAAAGAAGGCTTTAATGATATGATATGTTTAAGTAAAATTATATTCCAGCAACTATTTATAAACAGCTGTATTGCAACAAGTGAATTTCTATTGTCATTATTCGTCATGTAGCCTACTAAATGTCTACAATATCAAAAATCAATATACTTTGTGAAATCATAACTCTTAGCCTTGGGGGTGGTTTTTAACAATAAGCATGTCATTAAGCAAGTGTAAATATCAATAATGGAGTCATATGTACATATGATTAGAAAATATTGTAAATTAAACAGGTCGTCTGTAGGTTTGTCCATTGTTTTAAGAATTAAATAAATTTTGATTAGTCTCAAAAAACAATACCATATTAAGAATGTTGCCTGTTTATAAGCATCAATTTATGATGATCTAGCACTTTGTTAAAGATGGGTTCCCACGTACAAACTGGGTGATTTAATGGTATATATGGACTAAAAACATATTCAAACTAATTAATTTGTCATAACTTTGCTTCAAATCCTTCTCAAACATTGTAATTGCGAAGGAATGTCCTGCTATAAAAATTTGATCAAACCAGGTCATGTTTACGTCACATGAATTACCTCTCTTGGAATTCGGAGGAGAATTCATTGCATACATAAGACGATGTTGTCTTTAATCGCTTACTATTTATTACAAATATTGAATCCTAATTAAATTCTCGGATTATCCACTACCTGCATCTTTTTCCGTCATTTTTATCTCAGAAATTGTTGTACATCTAACTCTTCATAAAGTTTATCAACTTGTACATCAAGCGCTCAATATTCGCATGTGACCTTTGACACCACGCGTGCAGAAATTCCTAATCGTCGAGATGTTGATTAGGGGAACCCTTACATTTTTGTCCTGTATTAGCTCCATAAGCGTTTTTCGGGGAATCCAGTATTTTTCTAGTAAGATTGGATATCTCTACTTTCCATATATACCAAAATTACCATAATTTTATTGGAAATAACCACCTGATAAATACTTTTCTGGGAACCCATCTTTAAGACCATTAGGCAATAATATTTTGTATTTACTTTGACATTCTGGTTAAAGGAGCTAAATCGCTAATATTTTGGATCTAGAAATTGACACAAATGGGTCGCAACGCATATAATAATGTAATGTGAATGTATATAAACTGATTTACATTCAGTCGTTTCTGTTTTTACTGCAATTTCTAATCAGTTATGTTCGGCGAAATACGCCAGAAGTCTCAATGGAATGGCAATCTCTAGCGCCTGGTTATTCCACTCTATACCGATAGTATTTATTGCGCATGCTCTCCAGATAAGAATATGGCGTCACCGATTGACATGACTTGTGGAATATATCTAGCCTCTTTCTACGAGTCCCTTGTTAAAAACGGCGCTGAAATGCACCATGGTACACGATTCGTGTACCAACGGTAAAATGTTTATTTTGTGTTAATTATTGGATATCAGAAGCCCATCTTTTCCCCGTAAGGTCACAACATCAATGTTGATTTAAATTGACAATTCGTGTTTTCAATGTCGAAAATTTTGGATGATATTGAGTTAGAGACTTAGCTACTTTAAAGACAAATATGACCACTTTTGACATGTATTAACATTTCTTAGATATATCTGAAAGATTTTTAAAATCAAAAAAAAATTTGACATCTAGCGGGTCCACAAGCTAAAAATGTGGTTTTCTGTACAAGCAGGGGCAATAATCCATGAAGTTACGGTCCAATACATTTACATGCCAAACTCATCCGAGATCTATGGGATAAAAACATATATTTCAAGTTTCATTAAAATTGGATAAAAAATTCTGACCTGTAGTGTCCACAAACAAAATGTGAATGTCTGGACAGCCGATTGAACAGTGGCATTGACATTCTACATGTACTTTCAAATGTAGGCGCATAAAGACAGAATTTACTGTATTAATTTGCTTGTTTGTTACATATTAATTTCTTCAAATATCACGATAAAAATAAAGCCATACAGGCTCATATGCATGTAATATGGTAAAACTTACATTTAGATTTTAGTAGAAATTGTAACAAAAGTTCATTATTTTTTTATGGTTTTGAGGATGCTATTAAATTTCAATCACACTATTTTATTCTGTAAGATTCTTTCTATACCGATATTCAACTAAATCCCGGGGCGCCGGAATGGCGCGAGGGTCAGGGTACCAAAAGTTAGTAGGGGAGGCTGGGGGGGGGGGGGAATGTGCCCCTGGCCTCTAGAAAATTTTGAAATTTGTCAATTCCGAGAACACTGTTTAGAGCGCCTCTAGCATTCCAAATTCCAACATACTTTCCATATATACTAAAATTACCATAATTTTATTGGAAATAACCACCTGATAAATACTTTTCTGGGAACCCATCTTTAAGACCATTAGGCAATAATATTTTGTATTTACTTTGACATTCTGGTTAAAGGAGCTAAATCGCTAATATTTTGGATCTAGAAATTGACACAAATGGGTCGCAACGCATATAATAATGTAATGTGAATGTATATAAACTGATTTACATTCAGTCGTTTCTGTTTTTACTGCAATTTCTAATCAGTTATGTTCGGCGAAATACGCCAGAAGTCTCAATGGAATGGCAATCTCTAGCGCCTGGTTATTCCACTCTATACCGATAGTATTTATTGCGCATGCTCTCCAGATAAGAATATGGCGTCACCGATTGACATGACTTGTGGAATATATCTAGCCTCTTTCTACGAGTCCCTTGTTAAAAAGGGCGCTGAAATGCACCATGGTACACGATTCGTGTACCAACGGTAAAATGTTTATTTTGTGTTAATTATTGGATATCAGAAGCCCATCTTTTCCCCGTAAGGTCACAACATCAATGTTGATTTAAATTGACAATTCGTGTTTTCAATGTCGAAAATTTTGGATGATATTGAGTTAGAGACTTAGCTACTTTAAAGACAAATATGACCACTTTTGACATGTATTAACATTTCTTAGATATATCTGAAAGATTTTTAAAATCAAAAAAAAATTTGACATCTAGCGGGTCCACAAGCTAAAAATGTGGTTTTCTGTACAAGCAGGGGCAATAATCCATGAAGTTACGGTCCAATACATTTACATGCCAAACTCATCCGAGATCTATGGGATAAAAACATATATTTCAAGTTTCATTAAAATTGGATAAAAAATTCTGACCTGTAGTGTCCACAAACAAAATGTGAATGTCTGGACAGCCGATTGAACAGTGGCATTGACATTCTACATGTACTTTCAAATGTAGGCGCATAAAGACAGAATTTACTGTATTAATTTGCTTGTTTGTTACATATTAATTTCTTCAAATATCACGATAAAAATAAAGCCATACAGGCTCATATGCATGTAATATGGTAAAACTTACATTTAGATTTTAGTAGAAATTGTAACAAAAGTTCATTATTTTTTTATGGTTTTGAGGATGCTATTAAATTTCAATCACACTATTTTATTCTGTAAGATTCTTTCTATACCGATATTCAACTAAATCCCGGGGCGCCGGAATGGCGCGAGGGTCAGGGTACCAAAAGTTAGTAGGGGAGGCTGGGGGGGGGGGGGAATGTGCCCCTGGCCTCTAGAAAATTTTGAAATTTGTCAATTCCGAGAACACTGTTTAGAGCGCCTCTAGCATTCCAAATTCCAACATAAAATTCTTTAAAATACATGATAATGAAAGAGACAAAAGCCTGATTATTCACAATTTTTGTATCATGAGCAATTCATCTGGCCAAGGCATGCACTGATAGCTGATAATGAGAGTGCGAGAGCCGGTTCGCAACCGACCAGAGAGCAATTACATATCTATCATTTAAATATGAATAGACTAGTAAAAAGGTTGAAAACTTTCATCATTAGGGCATGGGTATACATGTATACCCCTGAAAAGGACAGGGTACCATTTGTATACCCTGGTACCTGGGTTCCGGCGTCCCTGACTATATAAATACATCTTATTAATCTGTAAGATAGCTTCACAATTTCATCACTCTGAAGTAAACTTAACTTTGAGAAGAGTCATGTGGGTGCAGGGGCTAAAACCCATTTTCCAACATCATACAAAAGTGTATAAACTCCAGTAAAATATCTATTTTCTATTATTCATACTGATTCGACTAACAGATATTGAGCATGTGTTTCATAATTACATTCTATCATTGTTCATCCCAATTCTTATTTTAATAGCTTGTGTAGTAGAAATCTGAAGTGTTATTCAAGGAGATATGAGCTACTAAGGGGTGTGGTATGATTTTGCTATATGCAGAACCATCTTCAAACTAATAGTAGAGGGGGTCTAAAGGCTTCTGTCTGTTCTACAATTCAGTTTCTGTGAATAGATATTGTGTAAAAAAATCCAAAAAAATAAAGATGACAAATTAAGGATGACAATTTGGTATATTATCAAATATTGATATAAATTATTGTCTTTTAAGTGTGTCAGATTATATAACGAACTGATTGAGTTGATTGGGGTTGAGCTGTAAGAGCCCAAGCAATATTGTGTAGTGTAATTCATGTGGCGGGGACAATGTTGTTGACCATCTTGGAAAGAAGTAGTCAAAAGTCTGAAAGGCAGGACCCTAGCTTGCCCTTGGCTTTGGTTTGGTCTCTTTGCCCCTGGCCTCTGTCTCTTGCTTTCATGATTGCATTTCGACTGGTTAATTCGTTTTCGTGAAAAAAAAAAATTCTATTGCTGTAGAAAAATATAATTTCTATATAATTCTTACGGAGTGTTGGTGATGGACTGTCATCCTTCGTTCTTTCAAAATTTCCAGGATTAGAGAAATAATCTCTGAGGCGAGGCAATTCCCTGCCTGTTTCTACCAATTCAGTGTGCAATTCTAAAGCAGTTAGTATATAATTGTCCTTTAATAACTTTGATGCGATAGAGTCCCATGTTACATCCGTTGACTCGCGGTGTTCTGTCTTCAGAAATTTTTCTTTTTCTGGACTTTCAAATTCATTTTCTATTAGATCATCTTCGAAAGGGTTTGGACCGTCCGCCATTTTGTGGGTCACGTGGGATACACTTTTCCACAAAATAAAAACAATGACGAATACGAATTATTTATTGCAAATGTGTATGCATACATATTTGTTTTTATCTATAACAGAAAATACATGCATATTTTTACTTTTGTTTTTATCTTTACAGAAATAAATATTACCATTATTTTTATTTTGTCATGTGACCAATCGGCGCGAAAGTATGGTGTTCAAGATGGCGCAGTCAAAAGTCAATGAATATTTCGTTGCACGTAAAAAGACGAAGGGGACACAGCAGTCTAAGCGGAGAAGGGTTGAAGTGAGCCAGACCGATGACGATATATCCAATCTCAAATTAAATGTACGATCTGCACCATATTATGATTCCTCTACAACTGAGGAGAGTGCCAAAACCGTGACCACGAACAAAACAATAGCTGAATTCCCGTCCGTTTCTACCCCAACAACAAAGCAACAGCGGTCAAATTCGAAACATAAACAAACAACTACAGCAGCACCGAAACGCAGAGGTCGGTCAGCTAAAATTCTGACTATTCCTGGTGACCAACAACTGATAACAACTACATTTTCAGCAAAAGGAAGTCTTGATCTGATCAATACAAACTTTGCTACAGAAGATATATTTAATGACACTACCCAACTGACACGCCCATTGGTAGAAGAAAAGTCACAGCTCATAACTGTTAGTCAGATTGAAAATACTCCAAAAAAGCAAATACAAGTTCCAGATGAAAAAGCTGTAACTGTGCAGCCAAGACGAAGAAGAGAAAAGTTAGCAGATCCAGCACCAGTGACACCGGAAAATGTTCAGGTTCAAGAGGCCTATTCTAAATCGAAAAGCCTTGGTAGTGTTAGAAAACAGTTGAAGTTACCAAATAAAGAAAAGGTGTAATAAAAACAACATTGATCACTTTTTCATTGCACTCAGTACAGTGTATTAGGAAACAATGCCAGTTAACTTGTCCACAGGCTAACTTGTCGAACACAAAACGTCTAGTTAAGTTATCCACAAATATCAAAGTATATTGGTTGAATCGTCCACATGGCATTGGTTGACATGTCTACACACCCATGGTGACTAAGTTTATTATTGAGCAGCGAAAATTCCCCGCACTGTAGCCCAGAATGCCTTGAAATACAATGTATGGTGCCGCAGTTTAGCCGAAAAAACAGTAAATTAGATAATACCCGAAATGTGCAAGCTGATTATTCATAGGGAGTAGGTCCAGTAAGTTGCCATGTTCCAAATGAAGACAATCCAAGCAATGAAAATAAGCTGCCCTAGTTGTGGGATAGTAGAAATGGCATCGATGAAAGCAGGATACCAATTAAAGCTGATTAACTGATACTCTTGATGTTTTTGTATTATGTGCAAAGAAATCATATGGTTCTTTTGTGGATCCCTTGACAGTTGGAATTCGATATAAGAGTAGGCCGTAGTGCCCTGTCCGGGCAAAATTTCCTTCATAGCATACTGTATGGTATATGCCCGTCTTCATTAGCCCAGTTCGGAGCAGAACAGTAGGACATTAAACCCCATTTCATTTTATTTCCTTCATTTCTTTACTTTCATGGCAAGGCATGTTTAAAATACATTAGCATGTGAATACAGTACAGATTAAAACAGCTTTTTCTAATAATAATAATGTAAACTAACATAACACTACAATTCTCAAATCTAGGTTGAAGTTAATCACGATGAGAAAGAGAGCACCAAAGTACCATCACCCATATCAAGAATACTTGAGAAAGAATTGCTTCCACAAATATCGCCATTACCAAATACCCCCAACAATGAGATTCAGAAACAAAGTAAAGGTCCTAGTCTACCTATATCACCTAAAGTAAAAGCTGCTATGGAAAAGTGTAAAGAATTACAAGTAAAGGAAGATTCTTCAAAACCAAAGACTTTAGAGGAGGTGTGAAATAAACATACATTTTTATTTTGATATATTAATTACTGACACTTTAAAAAATGTGAACCATTTTGTCATTTTATTATGCACCAATTCATTTTTAAATGTTTTTTTTTTTAGAAAATGCAACCTGAGCAACTCAGAAGACAGCTGAGAAAATGTGGGAAACTGGAAGAATTAAAAGCGCAATTACTACAAATGAACAAATCCATATGTAAAGTAAAAAAAACGCCTAAGTTAAAGAAATTTGCTGATGTTAAAATTACATCACCCGTAAAAGTAGAGAAACCAAGGTATGTAAAACTCTTTTATTTATTCAATTGCAATTGTGTGATAGGAAATATATTTGGAGAGCTGTCATTTGTGTAGATTGGATGAAATTGATTAAAATTTTGATTGGTGTTTATGACAGATTAGATACAGTACCGCTTCAATTTAAACCCAGTGTGGATGTAGTCCCCAGCATTCCTGCTTTAGTGTTTTGTATTATTGGATTTGTGAAAAAATTTGCTTCAACCATACACATGATTATTTTGTATATATTTTACAGTTTGGTGGACAGTAAGAGTGCAGCTATACCAGCGTATGAGAAATACCATTCTTTAGCTACTCCGGCTGCTGCTACTCTAAAACTACCATTAAAATATCAGAAGTTAGCAGAGACATTCCGTTGCATGGACACAGTAGTTAGCATGATGCATAACCGCTATGAAATATGTACATATTCTAAGCTTAAGAATGCTGTTCAAGTCATGACTAAGAAGTGAGTAAATTTAAGTTTCTTGTTACCATAAATTTCAGGATGAATTGAAGTACGGTAGAAAACATCTCCTATTTAATGTTTGGAATACAGCAGAATCTATAACAATGTTATATGTTTTTAACTATCTATATATTTCAGAAACTTTGAAACACATCATGTAGGTCAAGTTAAGACAGTTCATCCAGCAGCATATCATCTCAAACAAGAAAAGGGACTTCCCCAATTTGGTAGTAAATGTAATGATTATCAACTAACTATTGAGGCTAATCTTCAATCAGCTAATGGTAAATACACATTGTCATATCCATTGCATTGAAATAATCTACCAAATTATGTGTTCCCTCATGCAGTCAAAAAATGGTAGCTCATTAATAGTTTACTTGTGGGTTTTACAATAATGGGCTTTGAGAATCCATCATAATAATTTATGCTAATTCGTTAGAGAAAATGTTACCCCCATTTGGTTTGGAAGTTTTCCTCTTTGTTCTTTTATGTACAATATTTTTTTGACAATTATTTAGTTTATTTCATGTCATATTTTTGTCACAATAGAAATGAAAGAAGATAAGTTAATAGGAAAACATGTACTGTTTTCTGCTAGTCATCTTTTAGAACGAAGAAATGTGTTTCATACAGAACTGATAAATCGTGTTAAATATCATCACAAGGTAAGATACCATTAGATATAGATATATAAAATGGAAGGCAAATACAGTGCACTCTGTCACATCACATACAATATGTCGGATTACGCAGAGTGTCAAAATACCCAGTTTTCTCAAAACCGGAAATATTGTAACTTCGAAAACCGGAAGGGGGGTTGGATGGCTGAATGGTTAGCGTGCGCGCGCTGTATCATAAAGTCTGTCATTGAGTCGACTGGCGTGGTTTCGAATCCCCGGTTGTACGTGGCAAGGAGTAGGGTCGCCTGTCCAACCTCGTGGGTTTTCTCCGGGTCCTCCGGTTTCCTCCCACTGCTAAAGACCCCTACGCGCAAGCGAATTATGTAAATAAAATTAAACCAAATGTTAGTCCCGAAATGACCTAGTTTGTGTCGAGTGGGCGTTAAACCCCATTTCTCTCTCTCGAAAACCGGAAGTATTATTATAATGTAGCTTCGAACATAGCACTTCGAATCACCAGAATGTTATTCCCTTTAAAAATGATAAACCTTTCTGTACATTCAAAATTTTACGTTCCGGAATTGAATTCTCTCAATCCCAAAAATAGTGGCAATCGAGTGAAAATTGGTACTTCGGGCTACAACGCATGCGTCAACTGAATTTATAAATATCTCCTCCAACCATGCAGCCGAAACCTGTTCGTCGTGTTTAATTACGTCACAATTCTACTCACACCACCTCCGTCGTCGGGACTGACAGAACTGTGACAGGACTGAATTCTGCGTCACTCGATTGCAATTCTGTGAAATCAGGACGTTCTGGACTGTGAATCGAGCATCCCCAGGTCGTCGTCACACGGTTCGAAGAGATCCGTAGGGTGACCAAACTTATAGGTTATTCAGGTTCAATGGGCATGCGCAGCAAATGTTTCCAACAGGTGCTAGGAATATTTTTACGACTGTGAATTCGGGGGAATATTCGTGGATATTCTTGAGTATTTGTCACAACTGTCGTACAAGAGATTAAAATTATCAAAGTAATCAACAAAGACCCACGGTAGCGAGTTTTATTCTCACAGATAATTGCTTGGTGATTGCTTGTTAATCTTTTGTGGCTTCACACCCATCCAGTTTTAATCTCACAGATAATTGATCGGTAAATGTTTGCTTCACACCCACCGATTGAAGGCCGGATTATAGTGTTGATTCAATGGAAATCGTATGACGGGACGGCTGATAGATGTTGTAATCCGGAACGTACAGAGGTCGAATTACCCAGAGATTTTTTGGCTGAAGTAATAAGGAAATAAGTCGGGACATGAAAATGGTGTCGGATGTAACAGAGTGCCGGCGTGATCAGAGGTCGAATGTGACAGAGTGCACTGTATAGAATAAAAAAAACAATATTTTTACAAAAAAAATAAGTTATTAAAATCAGACAATCATAACTTGAAATTATAGTCATATATACTATTCAAAAAAAGTAGGGGATATTTGATTTTGGGGGCATAATACTAAAATATGCAAATGACTACGAAAAAAGTCACTATAGAACCTAACAGAAGAAACATTTCCAGTTACATGTGACGCCCAAACGCACCAATAGCTACCGCATGGAATGCAGGTGATGCTTGGGATCATCATGGGGGTCCAACCCAAGATTTGCACGACTCTGACTTTGAATGTTACAGTCATTGTGGCATTGAATTCCAGGGTGGAAACATCAGTTTAATTGTTTTAGTGACCAGAAAACAAATTTTGATATGCGTCGGCTTACCCAAAATGAAAGGTTACGTGCCCTTGGCATGCTACAGATCGGCACAACACAGGCGGTTGTGGCGCGGACGATGAATGTTTCTCAGTCTGTCATAAGCAGGCTATGGTCCAGATACCGTGATACACAATCTGTACAGGACAGACCACGCTCAGGTCGACCAAGGGCGACAACTCAAGCCCAGGATCGATTTATCCGTACCTTGGCCTTGAGAAATCGTGTCATCACAGCAAATCAGATCAGCGCTCGTCTTCAAACAGACACTGGTGTGAGAGTGAGTGGCCAGACGATTCGGAATCGACTGCATAGGGGTCACCTTCGCGCTCGACGTCCTCGCGTGATCCCTTGTTTGAGAGATCATCACATTCAGGCAAGACGTCGTTGGTGTAGGGATCGTCAACACTGGGATAATCGACGCTGGAGCAATGTGATGTTTTCAGATGAGTCAAGGTTCACTGTTGATTTTTTGGACAGACGTAGGAGGGTGTGGCGTCGTCGAAACGAGCGCTTCCAAGACGTTAACGTCATCAGACATGATCGATTTGGGGGTGGTTCTGTTATGGTGTGGGAAGGCATCACTGTTGCTGGAAGAACGGCTTTACATGTTGTTGCAGGGCGTGTTACAGGCCAGTACTACCGGGACAACATCTTGGCAGTCCATGTTGTGCCGTTCGCACGACGTCATGGCCGCCGTTTCATCTTCCAGGATGACAACGCAAGATGTCACAGGGCCAGGATCGTTACAGGTTACCTCCAACAACAGAACATCACCACATTACCTTGGCCAGCACTGAGTCCCGACCTCTCCCCCATCGAGCATGTCTGGGACATGCTTGGACAGAGGTTACGTCAACGTCAACAACGTCCTGCCAATGTCCAAGAACTTGCTGCTGCGTTGCAACAGGAATGGGACAATCTGGACCAAAATGACCTTAGACGTCTCATTAGGAGTATGCCACGTCGGATCAATGCTTGTTTGGCAAACAGAGGAGGATTTACCCGTTACTGACTTGGTTGTGATGCTGTGGTAACTTTGCTGTTTGACCCCGGGTATCATTTTACCCTTATAATGGTCAGTCTGTGCCTTACTTAGTCTAACGATCATTTGGAATAAATCGATGAATGTGAACTTCATTTCATTTTGTCATTTGTTTCTTCGTCAGTTTCATTAGGTGGCTTTAATAACACTTAAAAATCAAATATCCCCTACTTTTTTTGAATAGTATATTTAAATGTTACTTTATATTGATTTACAACTATCTTTTATTTCTTTTATAAGTGTCTGTGGATGTCACATCAGTCAGTGAGCAAGATTTGTTACCATATGCCTACATGTTTGATTCAATCTGATTAAAACACAGATCCTATTTCGTTTCATTTTTTATAGTTCAAAATTTCATTTTTCTTGTCTTTACTACACTTGGATCTGGAAGAGTTGTTATATTACCTGTGTTTTTGTTAAATTGAGGGATTAGCCAATGAAATGGTCTGTTACGGTGAGCTTTTCGTGTGAGGTGCACAGAACCGTGGGTAATCCACTGGAAATATCAATGCTGATTGGTTAATCAAATGTCTGCTTTCATATGGTCAAAAGCCACTCGTATGATCTCCCAAAATAACTGGTCAGATCTTCATGTAGTGTAGGCCATCGAAAGTATAAAGAAACAAAACGAAATATAGATCTGTATTTCAATCAGATTGTGTTTCATTTTCACTGGCTGGGTATTGCATCATCATGTTCTTGTTCACTGTGGGGGTTTTCTGTGTCCTCCATCTTTCTACCACTGCTGAATAACCCTAAGCGCAAGCAAATTATTGCAAGAATTTGTCGGCCAGACAAATGATGTTAAAATAAAGATTTATTTTTTTATATATATATATATATATATTTATTCTTAGAGTAAATCAATTGTGTTCTATCTGCAGAATTTTTTGGACAACTTAGACAAACCGTTGTCCATTCCTGATGATAAGATAACCCGTTGGCATCCAGCGTTTCCATTAGATCAAGTTGCTGATATAGAAGCTGCAGAGTTACCTCAACCACCAGTAGTTAATAAATATCACTCCGCTAAAGATGTTCTGGATGAAAGAAGAGGAAAACTGACACCTAAAGTATGTTTTCATTGAATTATCTAAGCGTTTAAAACATAATGTTAATGGCTTCAAATTAAATACATATTTTGTCCCTATCACTATTTTGTGCTCAGTTGTCACTGTTATATTGTTGTGTGTGCAGCTTTTCCATAATTAAAGTTATCAATATTTTTTGTAGGTACCGGGTAAGGGGTTTGTGACAAAAGCAAAGTTATTCAAGCATCCACCTCATATGACACTGGCAGTTTAAGTTGTTTTTGTCAAGTCCCAAATTGTTAACAAGGAGACCATCATACCTCAATCTGAAATTTGATAAGATTTCCCATTATAAAAGAGACAGAAATGCAAACAATTACTGTTTTATTCTGCTTTATTTACAATTATAAAATATGATACATTGTATATAAACATTCATAAATGTTTGGTGTTAAAGGTGGAAGAAGCATTAGAGAATGTAGCATCTTTAAATATAAAAAACGAGAAGAAAGACATTAAGGAAGAACCATCTGTAACTGTACCTAATAATGCTGCCTATAGAGGAATACCTGCTTCTTTATTAGAAAAGGTAAAAACTTATTCAGAATATATATTTTAAAAAAAACAACCTACTTTGTTGATTCGATAATATAACTGTGCAGTTATTTACGTGTAAATCAGTAGTCCATCCCATGGGTTTCAGGTTGACCGAAATATCTTTTTTCGAAACCCCATTTTCCAACATGGCTTCAATCGACCTTCGCCGTGTAACTATAAATTTCCAGGGCCTGTACAGATATTGCACCTGTATCGTAGCCACATTATCTCAGGATTGGTGTTATAGAGTTGATGATAATTAAGGATGGATGTCTGGTAGTAGAACAATCGCAGTTAATTGTTATCTTGGAATCTTATTAATGATAAAAAGCGATCGATCGTTAGTTATTGTCTGTTTGAGCACCCACGTATTGTCAATGAGTCATAAGAATTTACTAGAACAAAGCAGCTATACCTCTATTACGACACACAGTGTAAAAGACATTAATTTAATCAAGGCGATCAGATATGGAATACGGTTTGTAAAGTCCAACCAATTGTGGTATTAAAAAAAGAACATAGAAATTATGTAAATCGTTAACAATGCGTTGGAAGAAAATTTCAGAAGAAAGGTATGCAGAGGTGTTACGGTCTTGCAGACTAGTCAACTTGCTTACTGAAAAATTAAGAAAATTACTTATTCCAGTGCTACCTTACATGTATATATAGCAGTAGTGATAATCCATGTGTTCCACAAGTACTGAAGTAGTATAAATGTCTACTATTATTTATGCACAACTAGGCGGCGCTGTGCTAGCATGAAGTTAGCTTGTCATTGGAATTGGTTATCAGTATTCAATATTTGGATAGGTCACAATTCTGTGTGCAGTAATGCTGCAAGAGATGGTGTGAAACCGATCAAAGTGATAAATATGTCGTGGATAATTATATAGACATATTGTTTAATATTGCTTTTACTTTTAGATAATAGTTTTGTATCTATGTAAATTCTTCTAATAGCTTTATTTTTAAAAAAAAACGATCAAAGTGATAAATATGTCGTGGATAATTATATAGACATATTTTTTTAATATTGCTTTTACTTTTAGATAATAGTTTTGTATCTATGTAAATTCTTCTAATAGCTATATTTTTAAAAAAAAATTTAAATCTATATCTTATCTATTTCGTTTTGTTTTTATAGTTCAAAATTTCGTTTTACTTGTCTTTACTGCATTAAGATCTGGAAGAGTTGTTATATTACTGGCATTTTGATTAAAGTGAGGGATTAGTCAATAAAACGGTCTGTTATGGCGAATTCTTGGCATTCCTTGCACGGAACTGTGGGTAAACCACTAGAAACGTCAACGCTGTTTGATTAATCAATGTCTGAAGTCATAGGGTCAAAATTAAAATTAAATTAAACCCCCCCAATGAAATATGAATTTAATTTGCAAAGTTCCATGCATTATCAAAAATGACCGACAATGAAAATTTTAAAGTGTAAGCCCCTATTATTTAAATGGGGTATACCCTTCTATTTCCACTCGTTTTTCACATATCACTACTTATAGCTAATAATTAAAAAAACATCATCCTGCCTTTTTTATTTACTTTAGATTCGGGCTAAAGAAGCTAAGAAACTAGAGTTAGCAATGACTAGAGACCCTGAAGAAGAGAAGAAGACCGTAATGATGAGCAGACTGCCAGATCTGATCAGAATAATCAGAACGTATCCTTACACAGTTTGAAGTAATGATCTTGTAATGAGAAATAGAACATTTAAAATGTAATAAGATTGATTTTTTCAGCTTATTGCATTTATTTAAAAATGAAATGGGTTTAATATCCTACTGTTCTGTACCGAATGGGCTAATGAAGACAGGAATTCAAAAGGGAGTGTTCTCAGTATTCAGGTGTCAACAATGTCATATCCCTATGTCTTCTACAGAACTGTAGATGTACTACTCACCTTAAATGTTGCCTTGTGAAAGTCACATATTATACCCCAGGTCTGCACCATAAAACCATGATTTTCAGTGTTCCCATTCTGTCAAATTCTTATTATTAGTGTTTGTAAGAATTAAACGATGGTGCGCTTACACGATACTGGCATGTTATTGTCATGATCTGATGTTACAGGATTGCAAGATAAAGGTGTATCTCGCAAAATAGATTTACAATCATCTACTGTGTGAACCATCGTAAATTTTAAACGGATTTCTTCGATTATGAACAAACTACTTAACTTTGGTTATTATAAACTTACCTGTGTGTTTGTAATGAACTCCCGTTCGATAAAATCCATTGCACAACTAATTATCACAACGATGAGAACAAGTTCTCTCTTGAAAAATTTGAAAATTTATTTGTAATTTCGACAGAGTCGATGTCAACAATGTCTTCGTGACGTATTGGTCGAATCCAATATACCTGTTGCGGGGGTTGGTTAACATTGAAAGATAGTTTGACAGCGCGATCATTTTGATCGTATATGGGTTTGGGCAACGAAAAATATCAATTGAAGGCAATTACATAGGAGATTTATATGGAAACCATTGATCGCCAGTCTATCAAATTTTCTTCACAATTAAAATATCACTGATTGCACGGATACTCGTAAAAATAAAGTCATGTATAAACTATAAATATCCTATCTTCTTTATGTTATAAATAATTTAACAAGGATCATGAAGCTTACCTCCGAATTCTCTGAGTGTATTTTTAATTTTATACGCATTCTTTCGATCGAATAATAACAGCTTCAGTAACATCTTTAAGTGTGTTGCGGCAGCCCTCAGCGTGTCTATTGGGTGCCCGGGTGGGTATATAATGCTACTAAGCTCGTATGACCCCGTAAGAAGCGGAACATTAATTCTCGATTCGACAGTTTTGACCGAAGTGTGATAAAGCCCGTAAAACGAATGTATAGTTGTGTTTGTGCGGCATGCGTGTTCAAAAGTAAATAATCCCATCCGAGTCACTAATCAAATAATTAGAACAAAATATTTCAAAAAGTAAAGCTATAAAATTTGCAGAGATTTTACTAGAATGTAAAAGACGGTAACTAAATACAGGAATGCGGGTAGTTATGTGTGCGAACGCTCAAACTCAATGCCAATTGTCGTAGGTATCCAGACCACTCGGACCAAGACCAGTCAGACCAAAACAAGACCAGTCGGACCAATTAAATTATATTATAAGGCTAGACAATATGCTATTTATTTATTATTAAATCACAATACAAAGAAGCAAATAATTCTTATACGGAATTCTTATATTTAGAGTTGTTTGGTTCAATTTTGTGTACGGAAAATAAATCAACGATTAGTTTTAAAATTAATTAATAATGGTGCCAAAAAAAAATATCAATCTAATTTTTCTTTGGAGAGACACGTTTTCAAGTTATCCGCCCTTGATGCGTTAATATAAACAGCACATAATAATACCAAGACCGGACGTTTATATGCCCCTTTTTAAACGTGACTACAAGTGTGGTTCTCGATATTTTGCGATTTGGAATACAATTATCAATTTATTCAAACAACACGTTATTATTAGTTCGAGTAGTCATATTAAAACACACACAATTAGCAATTTATTCAAATAACACTTTATTATTGGTTCGAGTAGTCATATTAAAATAAACACAATTATCAATTTATTAAAATAACACTTTATTATTGGTTCGAGTAATCATATTAAAACAAACGCAATTATCAATTTATTAAAACAACACTTTATTATTGGTCCGAGTCGTCTTTCTGTTGGGTCCGAATAGTCTTTTTGTATGGTCCGAGTAGTCTATTTGTTTGGGCTGAGTGGTCTATCAGTTGGTCCGACTGGTCTTAAACCGAGTGGTCTTTGGTCCGAGTGGTCATGGATTCTTGTCGTAATTGTACTTGAATTTCCTATCATGCTGTCACCCCTAATACGAAATGATATCTTCCGCAGAGTGACGTAACCATCTTCCATATTGGTATTTTTCTCTGGGAAAAGTTTGTGATATTTCCATTTTTCAAGAGAGAACTTGTTTTCATCGTTGTGATAATTAGTTGTGCAATGGATTTTATCGAACGGGAGTTCATTACAAACACACAGGTATGTTTATAATAACCAAAGTTAAGTAGTTTGTTCATAATCGAAGAAATCCGTTTAAAATTTACCAAGACTCAGACAGTAAGTGCATTTCCATTGTGTTTCAGTATATTTTGCATTCAACTTTTTTACAGTGGACTCTGTCACATCCGACATCGTGCGGGATCGTTACAATAATTCGGATCACACAGCGTTTCGGAATTCCGAGTTTTCTCCAAAACCGGAAATACTGTAACTTCCAAAACCGGAAGTATTTATATATTGTAGCTTCGAATCACCAGAATGCTATTCCCTTTATAAATGATAAACTTTTCTGTACTTTCAAAATTTTATTATATTAAATAATTAACAATAACAATGCATGCGTACAATATATTCATAAATCGTTTACATGTAATATCAATGCATGTGTACAATATATTTATAAATATCAATGCATGTAATCGTTTAAAGTAGTTTGCTTGGTTAACATTACCGGAAGCATATCGTAAGGCGGAGTCCTGGGCAACATCTTCTAACAATAAACAAATGAATTGTTGCGATCATCTTTTCGTCCTTAATCTGTGCGAAGTGTTTAATGTCGTTGAGCATGCGTAGGAATTTTGAATAGGTCAAGTCTGTCGTTAATGTATATTCTTCATCGTCCCCGTCTTCAGTCAATTGTCATTTATAATCTGTCGTTCTATGTCCAGTTTTTCAAGCCAATCAAAGTAAACGGCACCTGTCATCCAAGCTTTGCGATTGGCCGACCAATTGACTGGCAGGTAGATCTTGTCCACTCCCTTAAAACAACTCGGGCTCACTGCTTTACCGATCAAAGTAATCAACACAGTTTTAATCTCACCGATAATTGATTGGTGATTACTTGTTAATCTTTTATGGCTTCACACCCATTGAGTTTTAATCTCACCGATAATTGGATGCTTCACACCCACCGTTTGAAGTACGGATTATACGGTGTCGATTCAATGGAAATTATGTGACGGGACAGCTGATTGATTTCGGAATCCGGAACATACAGAATTCGGATTTACCAGCGATTTTTTGGCTGAAGTAAAAAGGAAAAAATTTGGGACATGAAAATCATACCGGATGTCACAGCAATCCGGAGTGATCAGAGATCGGATGTGACAGAGTCCACTGTATTTAAAAAAAAATGTTAACATAGCTTTATTATTAGCCTTAACAAGATGAAGACATTTTGTTACAGAAAAGAAACCTGCACTGCCTATAGATTCGGTTGTTAAAAAACTAGCTGACAGTACAAAATCAAATTTGTCAATTAGTAAGTTTGATTTATTGATGAATGTTTCGTGATATATACATGAATTATAAAGTTTACTGAATTTTAAGTGAAATTTAAAAGACGTATCAACTGATTAAACTACTAATGTAATTTTAAAATACCATTTTATAAAGAAGAAAACGATGCTTAGATATCATGAAGTATTCTATTGTAAAGACGAAGGCAGGCAATTATTGAGGAATATTTTTGACATGAACTTGGAAGCTAGTACGGGAATTAAGTATGAAAAATAGTGAGGACCATCTTAGTTTTATAAATCAGAAAAACATTCAGAACATGAAGGATATCCTTCATAAGAAATGTGTTTAGTTGAAATCATTAAAGGAAATGTAAACGACCAACTCTTATGTGCTTGAGTAGACTTGATTTTTGGGGTTATGTCCTAAGTATGTACAATAAATGAAAGCAAGACAAGTGATCACTTTCTATAATGTTCTCATGCTCATACAATTTTCAGCAATAGCCAAATTGTTTTTGTCACTATCCCCTTCTAGATATTCAGCTGTAAGTTGCCTGAGAAACAGGACATTTATTTTGTGTGGCCTAATGTAAATAATCATAGTGGCAATATTTCAAACTACTCTGATAAAGTTGTCATTGAAACTCCAGTTAATATCTTTCTTTTACATTTCAGCTGATGTACACAATCATTTAAAGCTTCTCTTAAATATTTTACCAGAGTGGATATCAATGGTAGAGATTAAAAAAGGAAAATATTTAAAAATTGGAAGAAATATGGATATACATGACATGAGTAATAAAATAACCAGTTTAATTAAAGCTAGGAAGTAGATATATCATATGTTTGAAATTTTTATTATAAAAGGGACTCCACAATCTATGAGGATTTATTCTATAAAGAAAAGAAGGCATGCATTTCTAATTTTTATACGCCCACATTTTCATGTGGGCCTATATTGTCGTCGCCCCTGTCCGTCCACAATTTGTTTGTGAACTCTCTACAGGTCACAATTTTTATCTGATTTCGACAAAACTTGTAATTGTCAATCTTGGCTTTAATAATGTACTGATTGCTGTGATAGGCAACAGCTTCATGGTTTTTGGACCAATAAACATATCAGAAGCATATATATAGCAGTGACAAATATTGATCAAAACCAATTCTTCATTCATTCTAGTTTACAATTCATATTAGTGAACCATTTTGCCAATTATCTCAAAATGACTGTTCTAGACCCATATGGACAACATGTAACCAGGATATTAAGTTGACATTAAGCCAAATTTGAATCCGAATAGCCATGCCATTATCAGTTACAATGTATATTTAGGTAATTTTCTTTTGCTCTGGCCTGTAAATTCCATTCAAGATTGTTGAGTCTTTTTAGTACATAAGCTTCAAAAATCAAACTTTGCATTATTTTGAAACCTGTTTTTGTAATTTAATTCTGTTATATTTTTTTTTATAATAATTATATTTTTAAAAATTAGTAGTTAGTTACGCCATTTTTAAATTGTTACTTTTGATTATAATTTTCAGTTTGCAATAATATCTAAGAATTGACTAATTAAGATATTTTAGATCCCCAAGTTCATTGGATATTTCAATAATTTACAGTGTTTTTAGGATAAGTTTATTCATGTTGTGACAGAATTGCAATCATAAATTAAAATAACACAAGCCAGATTCAAAGTTTTACAGAGTTAAAGAAGCATTAAGTAAGATTTAGATAAAGAACTTGCCACTCTTGCTATAATAGGCTACTTCAAAAACAGATAATGCAAAATGAATACATTTAAAATTTTATTCAAATTACTTTATTCTTACCGAATTTATCAATATAGTTTTGACAAGATGTGTGCATTGATTGTTTATTATCGAAGTTAATTAATAAATGTCTAATTAAAAATACATTATGTAAAATTTAGATAAAGAACTAGCCATTCTTGCTATGATAGTTCGAAAGTAGATGATGTAAAATGAATAATTGGAAAATTCCATTCAAATTACTCTATTGCAAGCGAAGATATTAGCCTTTGAAGGTTTGACAGACGTGTGCAATAATTTCAACCACCGTACTGGTTGATCAAAGCTAAGTCTCGGTCCTCACTATTTGATTAAATCAAAGTATCGCTGAACCATTCTAATCTATATCGGAGAAATCTGATGCCATCGAGAGTTGATTAAGGCCTGGATCAGTTAATTAATGTCTAATTAATACTTTAGAAAACATTTCAGGCCTAAAGAAAGACCTGCAATAGGCAGATTTAGCTCTTGCATAATGCATGTTTAATAGTATAGATTTAACACCTAAAGAAAGGCCTGCAATAGGCAGATTTAACTCTTGAAAAATGCCTGTTTAAGTAAGAAGAAACTAAATTTGAACAGTTATCTGCAATGGACACACTTTTGTATAATGAACTTTTCGTTTATAATGTCATATCACAATATTAGAATTGATTTATTTATTATTTGTATATTTTCCATGTTTGCTTTATAATAAGCCATTCCTCAGCATGATGGAAATATTTTTTCTCATTATTTTTATACCAAACCAATAATGATAGTTTTATCTGGAATATTTAGAAATTCATTTTTAGAGATAATTTTTAATATCTATGTGCAACATATACATCCTACACCCATGTAAATTTTCAAAGAATGTACAAGAAATGTATGTATGTAAAATTGTCAGAAAAATGTGTTAAAATCCATTTAAATTTTATTTTCTTACTAATCCATTGATAATGACAATAGGAGGAGCATTTCACATAAGCTTAGTCTGTTCTCAAAATCCCTGTATCTGGATTATCATAAGTCATCATCTGTGAACAGTGAACATTTGGAAACCTCTCAGGTGGGGTCTTTTGTCTAAAAGTTTCCCAGGGCCGACACAGAAATATCTGACAATCCTCGCCAACACCTTACAATAATTGCAACAAAACATAAAGTTAAGGTAGATCTGAAATTTTTTTTTTGGGGGGGGGGGGGGGGAAAGCAATCACAAGATTATACAAGTGCGCACCTTGTTAAAATTCAATAGGCTTACTAATCTGAACAGTGCTTATCAATTTAAATTTCAAGCAGACCAGACAATTTTTATACGCCCACATTAAAATGTGGTCGTATATTGTTGCCCACATCCGTGGGCACTCTAGATAATTAGACAAAGAAGCCTAATGATTTTTAACGATTTCCGATAATTACTGCCATAGTTATGGCCCTTGATCATTTTGAAAAATCTTGTGGGCGCTCTAGAGGTTAAAGTTAATATCCGATTGACTTTAAACTTATACATAGTATTTAAAGTCATCAGACGAAGAATCTTATTGTTTTCAACAATAAATAAATATAATTGTACACTCTTCCACACAATTCACACATGTTTTTACACAATTCACACATGTTTTTACTTAATTCACACATGTTTTTACATAAGTTAAATGAGAGAAACCATATTAATAGTTCTATAAATAAATTACAGCTATTTCCACAAATTGATACACTGATTCACAAATTAAATGAAACTTAGGCTACACAAAATAAATGTCTTGTTTCTCGGGCAACTGACAGCTGAAACTATAGGGGGGGAGGGCGGGTTATTTTTTTTTTTTACCTCATTTCTGGCTAGAGGATGGTGCAAAATAAAATTTGGCTATTGTTGAAAATTGTTGGGGCGGGAGGGCGGCCTTGTATTTTTTTAATTTTTTTTTTAATGAGAAAGTCATTACTCGTCTACGGTTTTGCTTTCAGTTATATATTATACATACTTAGAACATAAACCCAAAAATCAAGTCTACTCAAACACTGAACACTGACTGAAAGGAAAATAATTTTCCATATTTAATTCACGTAATGTAGCTTACTAATGGTAATGGTGACAACCATAATTAAAATTGGTTTAAAATAAAATTCCGTACAACTATTAATAGACGTCCATAATAACGACAATATTTTAAAGAGTAAGCCTCTGTCAGCATGTGTATCAAAAATAATCATCACGGTAAACGACACTTAGATCTAAATCTAGTATCGCTGGTTTATAATGATTGACCTAATTCCAACCAATGCATGTCACGTGTCATCGGGATTCGGTAAATGACTGTTTCTCAGGATATTCGGTGTGTTTCTCAGGATATTCAGTGTTCTATCTGGGGTTTATATCGAATGACTATTTAAATTTAACTAACAACTGGTCAGTAAAACCATCAAATCTGTAATCAAATTATTATTTTCCGGATTATCAAAACTACCGTTAAATGTGCTAATGACCCAGATTCCGACTAAGGTATGGTGACTATCATCGTATCGTATCGTATTCGTAGCCACAAGTTATAATAATTAACCTGTTCTACGATTCATTGTTTTATAAGTAGGATTTTTTCAAACATGGACCGACTGAAGCCGGCAATAATGAGCCGATTAAGATCGAATGATTGAAATACATTGCATTGTTGTCAATGACTTTCGGTGTTTAACGCGAATCAAATTCTAGTTCACAAGGGGAGGTAATTAAAATCACGTGATACAAAAATGGAGGTTCTTTCGATATCAATAAAAAAGACCCGTAAATGAGCGTTTGCATCTAAATCAGTTTAATACATTTGAATGGATATTCACGTATGGGGCATGTAGATACATGCGGCATATTCTTTTTATGACTTGCTTATCGATGTTCGGGCGGGCGTTACATATTTTTTATTTTTCATCAAGACTATTAAATAGGCCGCACGCGCAACCAATTTTGCGTGCGGGCGGTGCCCGAGAAACAACTTATTTTATTTGTCTTGCCTTATGTATGTGAAACGTGTCTAGGCATGAACACATCAGTTTAGAATTAGTTCGTCAGAGACTCTTGGGAGGAATATTCCTCTTGCGCAATTAAGGTCTGATTTGGATCTCCTGATATGTACATATTCCATAATTTTTCATGTCTTTTCTTTAATTTGATTTAGTGCTAGGGTCTTTACGAAAGGATTTTGTGACCTGGATTGGACTGGAAGTGTTGGGCAACTGCTGATTTTGCTGTAGAGGACTTTAAATGATCTTGGGCCAGTCTTTTGGATAGGGTCTGTCGGGTTTCAACAATATATGTGCTGTCACATGAACAACTTCATAAACACATCCCTTAGGTGGCAGTGAAATGGTTGGAGTTTACCATTCGTTTTCAGGCGATCTTTGAGTTTGTGTCCCCTAAAGAAAATGACTTGGAAACCTGTCGTAGTTAGTCTTCTGATGTGGTATGATAATTTTCCATGAAAATTGATAGTTATTCGTATAGGTGGTTTGTCTGGCTTCAGTTGTTTCCTTCATGGTATTCCTAACTAACTGGGACAGCTAGTTGTTCAGATTAGTAAGGATGCTTTCCATGTGGTTGAGTTCATTGGGAAATTGTTGTCACATTTATTGTTAAAAAAGACTGGTCTCATACTAGGCAAACACATGAAACGCCACTAATTTGATCATTTTACACCTTTTTCATACATTGGTCCGTGGGAGAAGAACTCAGATCATTGTCAGAATTTCTATATAATGCGTCACTTACTGACATATTTATAAGGAGTAATTGGAAATAGCAACTTATTTCATCAGTCATAAAAAATGAACCAACTACTGGTATATGATTTTTACTAAATCTGCAAAAGATATAGTTAAGCTTAAAACAAAATGAAGCATAAAGTACTTAAACATTTGACTAGGTAGTGGTATACAAACATAAAACATCCAAATAGGTAATGGTACACAAATATAAAACATCCACCATCCCACTAGGTAGTGGTACACAACATAAAATCAATTTCTCTGTTTTGTTGTCTTTACAGAAGACTGCTAATAGAAAACTCCCATTTATACAATACAAACTACTGGAATTAAGGATCTCTCATCCATGATTATTAAAACTTCATAAATATCTTCTATTTAAATTTCATTCACTCTGTAGTGTTTAAAAAAATATCTACACATTTCACACATTGATCCCATATTTAGTGCGTTTTACAATCAATACCGTAATACATATTGTCTTGATCATGGCCTATTTTAACGTGTCTCTTGATAAAAAATCCAAGCTTTAAAAATCTGCTATGTATCCCTGTGAATCTGGCAACATTGTAGGGGAAACTTAGCTATCATTATGATCATCAACCGCTTTCGATTTCTAAGTCAAAAGATATCATTTTATCGAAAGTCAAATTCTGGAAATTTTCACAGAACCCCAAAACACCAGAAATTGTGCTTTGCTTCAGCAACAAAACCTTAAAAAAGGCCCTGGTCATAAATGCAACAATGGGGTATCATGCTGGACCTCGTAAAATACGTGGTGTGTAAGATTCATATTCCTTGATCATTTCTTCCTTTTCAAATTCCCCATTCAATACCTGAAAAATAGCAATGTTTTAATAAGGTAACCCTTTGTTTTATCAAGCATGTTGCGATTATTATATGTCCACATTTTCTGTGGACATATATGGTCATCCACAATTTGTTTGTGGATACTCTACAGGTCACAATTTTTATAGGTCTATCTTCCAAAGATCTTGGCATGTATAGAACCATAACTTCATGGATTATGGCCTCTGATTGTATGAAAAATCACATTATTAGGTTGTAACTTCCTGGTTTATTGCCCCTGATCGTAGGAGGTCACAATTTTTATCCGATTTAAAAAAAAACATTTGAATTTATCACTAGTTACACCATAATGTTGATTGAGTTGGAACATCGTGGAAATCAGAACGAAACTGTTACAGAAGTCAGTTTCTGTCATATGCAGTTGTCACTATCGACTAAATCCTGACATAGATATCAGCAAGATCAGCATAGCAGTGATACCCTTAAAATCTATGAGAAGAATTTCAAAATAAAATAATGCAAAAATTATACATACCAAAACAGGTGCTGGTAGTGGAAACTTCTTCTTAATTAACCAGTCTTCATGTAAATTGTGAAGAGTTTCAAGATATTCCTGTCGAAGTAATAAAAACTATTTATTTCATCTGTGTCATGTGCGATAAGCATCCCGCTGATACCTCCCCTACTCTTCGTTAATTTAATCATTCAGTATATTTCCCTAAACTTTCAGTACATATTTTGTCTCAATGTTTAATAAGCACCAATAATTAAATTATACTCACTAATGGAATTTGTTTTTCTTCAGGTCGACATCTCTCTTTTATTCTTCTTAAGACTGTTTCTGGCTTTGTTTTTAAATATACTGCAATGGAAATTAACAAATTAATTATATACATTGGCACAGATCCTATCCTTGTAAAATAAAAACATTATATTAAAGGTTAGGTCAGGGTCATTCAAAAGTCTCCACATGTCAAGTCTTTTGTTATGTAAGTACATCTGAGATTTAAAAATAAAATACATGTAGCATGGGCTACCTTGTACAGAAAAAGATAGCACAAGTAAGTAAACTAAATTTGTCAATATAGAAACCCATGTTTACTTAATATGGCAATAACTTATATACCGTAAGTTAGATCAATTTGAATATTTTGTACCAAAATGTTTTAAAATAAAAGTGCTTCTGATTGTGTGTAACATTAAACACTATATTCAACCTTTATTCTGGCATGCATTTTTAGGAAGCACATAAGGACTTGACATACTGTTGCATCTTTACATTTAAAGATATGATTATTTATTAATATACTTCATAGAAATCATGGTTTCAGATCAGTTCTAGTTAGTGAAACAAAAGATATTTTAACGAATAAAGTACCTATTAAATCAACTTTGATGTCTTGAGTTTTGAGTAGAAAATCAAACCACTCCGTTAAAACTGTGTATTCTATTTCAGGCATTTTCCCACTGAAAATTAAAAATACTATTTATCATTATAATGAAACATTTAATTATTCCAATAGCAAAGTGCATTCCAAATCAGACAGAAGTCATGAAATAGTGTATACTAATAAATAATTGTCAAATAATAGAGAAAGTCTGTTTGTTCGCTAAAAGAAACTAACCAGTTAATTAAATAAACTTCTAAATTTCACTAAAATTCATAATAACCCATTTATCTACAAGAAATTTAACGGTGCTATTTATTCTGCATTTAATGCAATTGACAGTTAATAACATTATTATTATGGATTTTATAAAAATAGAGGTATTTTAACCTGTAACCAAACTATAGATCGGGGGTTCAGTACACAAGGGTGTCCATAAAATTGGCACAAAACCAGACCCAACTTTTCTATTGAAATATTTTACTGTAGAATACTAGAATACGATGGTGAGTGGTAATCAGTCCGCCGTTGGGGCGTTTTCGAAATATTCGGGGACAAGGGTTAAATGAGGTCATTTGCACTGAAAGTGAATGTGCAGCCATTCTTGTATCATGAAAATATGCTGAAAATGATCGAAAGTAATCACTCTTTCAATAAAAATGTAAAATTTGCTAATTTAACCTTTAGTCTTAGGTTTTTGCACTAGGAAGAATTAAAGCAAAAAAATGTCAGTGTAAAATATAACAACTAAAGCGAAACCTGTTTTTGCACTAAGAAGATTAAAAGCAATAAAATATCAGCGTAAAATATAAAAACTAAAGCGAAACCTGTTCTAATTTAAAGTAGGAACATTTAAAACTTATCTTTAGGTGGTCTTAGCACGGTACATTTACTTTGGAACGTCGAAAAATATCTTGCATAACAGAACCAACACACTTCTATACTTGTTTCAAAAATACGTAAAAACAGTCAAATCGAAATCTCCATGGTTTAATTTTACGATTGTTATACATAATGAAACTAGTTCTCCGAAAAACAATTGAATAGTTTCATGGTTGGACTCCAGCCTGCAGGCCACGTGGATTTCCGAGAATCCCAATCTGGGAAAACCGATGTTAATCTGTGATCGGAAAACATGTATCTGACAACGAGATTAAAAGTTCGCAAAGTTTTTATGAGTTTTCATGAATTTCACCAGAACATGGACACAGCTAAAACCGGCGGATGCATTGTACATAATAGCTCACAGAATATAATTGTCGTATTGGTAAATGTTACCGGGATAATGTTTGTCAGACTTTGTGATACGGCCTGCAGGCTGGAGTCCAGCCATGAAACTAAATTAAATTTCTGTGTGGCTGTCCATGACCCAATTAAACCTGATCCACATTTCAATATCATGTTGCTTTGTAGCTAAAAATAGCACCACTTTCTCCGCGTGAAAAATGACTGGCTGGGAAAATTTTGAAGTGGAAGCCCTGCTCTAACCCTCCTCGTAATGTCTTGGAATTGTGATGAATTAATCACTAATGTGTCAACATACTGTTCACAAAAAATTGCTATGATCCATTTAGTAAGTCGTTTTCTAGAATGATTTGATTAAAGTGCCTCTCTGATTTTGAAATCGTACTGACGTTTCTTTTGCTGTTAAGTATATATTCCCTACCTTTGATAAAGATTTTCTACAAAACAATATTTAGCACTGTATATCGATCTCTCCATCATTTTCACTCTTTGTACCTTGGATATAAAATTAATATATCAAATATAACAATACATCCAATATGTCATTCCAGTCTATCAGAATTCACATTTTTATTTTCATATGACTGCTAAAAATAATTTCAAGCAAATTTCATATGTAATTTTACCATTTATTCAGTTATGTTAGAAGTTAGCTTTTACTGTAGAAAGGGGTCAAATAATAGGCTTTATAGAAGTTAGATTTTACTGTAGAAAGAGGTCAAATAATAGGCTTTATATAGAAGTTAGATTTTACTGTAGAAAGAGGTCAAACGTAGGCTTTGTTAGAATTTAGGTTTTACTGTAGAAAGAGGTTAAATACGCCATTGTTAGAACTTAGGTTTATATGCAGAAAGAGGTTAGGCTACACAAAATAAATGTCTTGTTTCTCGGGCAACTGACAGCTGAAACTGTAGGGGGGGAGGGCGGTTTATTTTTTTTTTTACCTCATTTCTGGCTAGAGGATGGTGCAAAATAAAATTTGGCTATTGTTGAAAATTGTTGGGGCGGGAGGGCGGCCTTGTATTTTTTTTTTTTTAATGAGAAAGTCATTACTTGTCTACAGTTTTGCTTTCAGTTATATATTATACATACTTAGAACATAAACCCAAAAATCAAGTCTACTCAAACACTGAACACTGACTGTAATGAAAATAATTTTCCATATTTAATTCACGTAATGTAGCTTACTAATGGTAATGGTGACATCTATAATTGAAATTGGTTTAAAATAAAATTCCGTACGACTATTAATAGCCGTCCATAATAATGACAATATTTTAAAGAGTAAGCCACTGTCAGCATGTGTATCAAAAATAATCATCACGGTAAACGACACTTAGATCTAAATCTAGTATCGCTGGTTTATAAGATAAGATAAGATTTTATTGCATCGAAACATCCATTTAGAACAGCATACAATATAAACGTGTACATAAAGATTATAACGATATGACAATTATTACACAAGACACACAATATTGCATCGGAACCTCCCTTGAGGACAACATACAATATACAAAATACACAGGTGCAAAAAAATGGGACGGATACACAAATATGGACGGACATAAATTTAAAGCACTCATAAATAAACAGTATGAAACCTGCATATGGAACAAAATGTACAAAGTATTAAATCACATAACTCGACAGTATAAGACCCACATACAGGGTACATAATATATCAAAATACAAAACAAAGCTTGCGCACATAAAAGAAAATAAAATATCATGCATATTTAACAGATGTCTCTCCTAAGAAAAGAGAAGTAGACAAAGGCTGCGACACTTGTGGCTATAATACTCGGTGGGTCGAATAGGTTTTCAAATGAAAAGGTTAGACCAGTATTGTCAAGGGTTTGATATATATATTGTTTTCTTAAATCTTCATAATTTTGGCATTCCATAAGAAAATGTTTTTCAGATTCAATTTTGCCTGGATTGCATTTTTTACAGAAACGATCCTGGAGTGGTATCTTAAGATATCTACCCCTTTCAATGGCAAGCTGGTGAGTACTTAATCGTAGGGTAGACATCGCAATTTTGAACTTCTTATTATTAACAACCTCTAGATATTTTGGAGTGTTATTGAATTTCTTTTTGAATAATCCGAAGGTTCTGAGTTTATGGTTCGGCCCGCAAGATTCAGCAAGGAGATCGTTAAACTTACTTTCTATTGAACTTTTAATATTCTGTCTCGAAATTGTTGTTGGAGGAATGTCATATTTTTTGAAGATATTTTGGATAGCCGCATACCAGGAGAGTTTTGGGTTTGATTGCGAAATTTTTATGTCTTCCTGGTATGCAGAATTCAGTAATGAGTTACTTAAGTTATTGCTATTTTCGTTTAGTCTTTTATAGTACATAGCCATTCTTTGGAATATATCGATATTAACAGGAAAAATTTTCCTAATTCGGCCAAGCAGCCTATATTTGATGATTTTAATGGCTGTGTAAGAATAGATTTACATATTTTAATGGTCATTTTATTCGTATTTATTTTATCCCAATTTTCTATCTCAAAGTTCTTACTGAACACTAAATTATCCCCCCAAACCTCTGAACCATATAAAGCTATTTGTTTCACGACTGATTCATAAAGTTTTATCAGAACATGTGTTGGAAGGCGATTAGATGTACAGACTTTATGTCTTAAGCCAAACCAGGCTCTCCTAGCCTTCTTTTCCAAATTCACAATAGCTGATTTAAAAGATCCGTTATCATTTATGAAAATGCCTAGGTAAAGATAAGATTTTACAATATCTAACTTGACGTGGCCAAAGACAAATTTTTTTGTTGTTTTTTTCTTATTGTTTTTAAAGATCATAACTTTGCTTTTATCTTTATTGAGGTCAAGTTTCCAGTCATCACAGAAACGTTTTAGATTATCAAGGTTGTTCTGTAATCCTATTTCAGTAGCTGACATCAGCACAAGATCGTCAGCAAAGAGCAGATGGGATAGACCAGTAGTATTTAATATAGGATAATTATCACTGTCTGTAGAATTGTCTAAGTATTGGTTTAAATCATTGATGTAAATATTAAAAAATGTAGGACTTAAAACACATCCTTGCTTAACTCCCATGGTAGAATCAATATTATTTGAAATGGAGTTTTTGTGTTTTACCACATAGGATGTATTTTTATACATAGATTTAATCAATTCAAATATTTTCCCATTAATGTCATGTTTCAATAATTTAAGAAGGAGACCTTTGCGCCAAACTGAATCAAATGCTTTTGAGAAATCAACAAAGCATAAATATAGAGGCCTCTTAAGTTTCTTGTATTTGTTGATTAAAGTCTTAAGAATGAAAACATTATCCACCGTCCTACGGCCCGCTCGGAATCCGCTTTGTGCTTGGTCAAAAGGTTATTATATTCAATATATTTAGATATACGGTTATTTAAAATGGATAAAAAGCATTTACTCAAGCAGCTGGCTAGCACAATTCCGCGATAGTTACAAGCGTCCTCTATGCTCCCCTTCTTATGTATTGGGACTATGAACGATTCGCGCCACTGTTCGGGAAAGCTCCCAGATTCAAGAATTAGATTGAAGAATTTTATATACACATCAATCATGTACTCACATGATGCAAGAAGCATCTCATTTAGTATTAAGTCGGGCCCACTAGACTTATTCCTCTTTAGTCCCGTAAAAGCTTTTCGAACTTCAATTGCAGTTATCTTTGAGTTTATTTCCTTATTAGTTTTGTTTGATTCTAGAAGTAAATTGATAGCATCATCTGTTTCTTCACATTGTTTGTTTGACATGGTTTTATCTTCAAATAGAGTTTTAAAGTGTCTTTCCCAACTATCAATGGATATGCCCTCATTCTTATCATCCCCGGGGTTTTCTTTAATTAACGAGTTTATTAGTTTCCAGTATTCTTTCGGGTTTTGACTCTGAATTTCATTAAGTTTTTCTAAAATACTATTTTTGGCTTGGCGACTTTTAAATTTGGTAATTCTCTTGTACAGTTTTTTCCTACTATAGTAAATCTTTCTTAATATTTTGTCAGTTGGGTTATCGTTTAGTTTAATTTGTGCGGTCATCATATCATGTCTTAATCGTTCGCAATCACGGTCAAACCATTTATTTTTTTTTCGCCGTTTCTTTATGGTTACTAATTTAACACAGGCCCTACTGGCATTAATAAGAATATTATTGATATTGGAGGTTGCCAGCTGTATGTCATCTTGATTAGGTTTTAGATCCGTCACCATGAATTGGTTAATAGATGTACAGGAGTTTGGTTTATGTAGCTCAATCAAGAAGGCTTGATCTGAGTTTTCCTGCCAGACCAATTTTTTAACTAACTTCTTTTTCCCTATTATATAATCTTGCTTTTTGGGAGAAATAGGTTTATTCACTTTCGGTTTAACCTCGGTTGGACGGATATTATTAGTTTTAATTTTGCACGAAACAAAACAGTGGTCAGACAAATATGTTAGTGGCGATACCTGCATACTTGAAATTTGGTCGAAGTTCGATACGCCAGTTAGAATGTAATCAACCGCACTACACCCGTTGTAGTTTACGCAAGTGTATGCTCCAAGTAAATCCCCGACGCACCTGCCATTTAAAATACACGTGTTAGTACTATTGCATAAATTGATCAGATGTCTACCCCATAGATTAGTTTTTTTGTCATTGTTATTTCTAATTTTGAGAAAATTGACGTTGGAGTTTTCGTTGATTATGTTTGGGTATGGTAGATTCAGGTTAGATGAATTACTGTCAGAAAACACAATGTCTTCAACATTATATGTACGGGCATTGAAATCTCCCCCAAGAAGGGTATCACCAAGAACTTGGTATTTTGAGATATCTTGCTCAAGAATGTCAAATGGGTTGTAGTTTTTACTCAGCCATATTTTGGAATTTTGGGGAGGAATGTACACAGTTGCTATGTAAAGATCCTTGGGTAAATTTGCAATATCTTTTGGTACTTTAATCCAGATAATGTCCCCATCTTTTTGGTCTAGTAATTGGATTTTGTTTTTAAGATAGGTTTTAACAAAAATAGCACAGCCCCCCCTTGAAACTGTTGACCCTATCCCTGTTATTTTCCTACTAAAGGTTAGACCTGAATATCCTTTGAAAGCACTATCGAAAACTCCAACATCAGTTTGTTCAAAGTTGGTCCATGTTTCTACAAAACATACTATGTCTAAATTTTTTATCATTTGAAATAGATCATTATGCGTTTTGTCATTATTTAACTTCGACAAGAGGCCATTGATGTTCCAGAACCCTACACTTAACACCATGACTAGTTCATTCAACAATAATAATAAAGACAAATAATAATGATAAACTGGCATGCACTTACATGTAGTAACAGAATGTAAATCTAAAAACTCACTACTTCTAATACAGCAGAGGCTAAGTCATGTGACAAGACAATTAACAAAATGGGCTATAATAATACAAGCAATGCCCAGTATAGATTAGACCAATAGCTTGGCAACACTTCAGATTAAGGATAAAAAAAAGTAGAACAAAAACAAACAAAAATTCACATATAAACAAGGAAATGTATATAACTTATGGTAAGTGATATGGTGCGAAAACAAATCAAAATCTGTTTGGACACGCAAAGTGCCAACAAGTTTATGTATAATAAACACTGGGAACTATAATACCTATAGATAACTAAATGGAAGAGAAATGGGGAATAAAAGACTAAGCATATGAGTAAGGGGAGGGATGTGTTCGCAATAAATCTAGATCTAATGGCATTTGACTCCTGTTAGAGATATCTACAAGCTTATATTATGTGGTAATATAATTATTATAATAAACAAACAATGGGAACAATAATCACAATAGATTGTGGGAGTGAATGGGCTAAGCAAAGGCGTGAGGGAAGGGAAGTGATTCAAAGCTGCAGAATAGGAAAACTTATAAGCTTATATTATGCGCATAGAAATGGCCGGATCATTTACAAGCTGTAGCATAAAGGTTAGGGTGAGAATATCACAGTAAATAAATATATGTTCAACAGAAGACATAGTTTTTTTAAAAAATAAAATAAAATTGTACATTAGAATGCAGTATAGGTACATGTATTGTGTAACCCTGGTTGTGGGCTATGCAGAAGAGAGGTTTGAGCAGAGAGTATAATTAGATAAAACTATTGCTTTAAATATAAAGTGCTCAATTTTGTGTTTGTACAATACATGGGAGATAACTCCATTCCTAGGCGATTCAAATTCATAATACAATGGAAATTATTTTAGAGCCACACTGGTGGTTATCTTGTATTTCTTCATGCAGATTCAAGGCTAAATAAAAATCTTTGAAATAATGTAATGACTAATATAGCATGCATTGGTACTGTACATGTAGTTTACTGTATAAGCTTACTACATGTACTTTCAATAAATAATGATGCAATGATTAAGAATAGGGTGCAGTTGAGCGATGGGTTTTCCAGCACTTTTGGACTTTGTTTCTTCTTCTTGTAATGTCTACATGCAACCTGAGATACGAGCAAAAATTATTAGCACTACAAAACATGAATTTACACAAGCACTGCTGATTGGATCACAGAAATAAATCACAATAAACTAGACACTGTTTGAGGTGTATTCACTTTTCTTCATGTATCAACAATTAGTTTGACACATATCACTTTTCTGGTTGTACCAGTTCGGTATTACAGATCTTGCACTTGCTAAATTCTTGCTAGAAGGAGGGCCATTTCTACTTGGATTCTGACGGAATAAGTTTCTATATGGCGGTGGCGAATAATACCCAGCATTTGGGGCTGGAGGACACACAGTATGTGAAAGCCAATTATCATCCGATCTTATGTGTCTATGTATTCTGGAGGGGCTGGGTCTTGGTAAGTTTAAGGCCTTTTTTAGCAGAATTGCTAGGTTTGATGTTCCTTTAAAATTAAGGTGTGTTCCATCTTTCTTAGAAAAAAGATAACTTTTAATTTCCCCCTTTGAATCACCAAAGAATGTCTGAGAATTTATTACACTGATATTGTTCTCTTTGCACACTTTTTGTAGTATCTTATTAATCATTTTAATGCCAGTGTTTTCAGTTGAATCTTTTCTTGGCAGCAGTTCTATGAATCTGATGTAGGCATTTGGGTACTTTTCCGTAATAAATTGGATAAGCTTTCCGTACCAGTCATATATTGTCTGCTCACAGCTAGTATCTGATGAATTATTTGAACCTATTAGTACAATGAGATTTTTGACGTCGTGTGACACTCGGCATCGGTTTATGTAGTACCACAGATCCTGTATACTGGCTCCTCTTAGTGTCCGTATCTCTGTATTATTTTTTGTAATCTAGTCTCTTTCCATTCAGATGTTTTAAAATTGATGAGCCTACAATAAGATTTGGTAGACCATCCGGCAACAGTTTGGATTCAAACTTGGTTGGTGCGGCGGCAGTCGTCTCAGTGGGCATACATGTACTAGGTGCAGTTGTGTTTGTATCCACTCTTAATCTGTCGGTCTCAGTTTGAGTTGTTGCGTTGTCTGTCTGATTAGCATTTACCAGGAGCGGTTTTGTCTGTGTGTTCATGTTCTTTGACACTGCCTGTGTTTGGGTGGTTGAGTTTTTAGCTGTATTTTCTGTTTGGGAAGATGAAACTTTATGCTTCATATTGTCAGTCTGGGTTGTCTTGTTACAGTTCTGATTTTGTTTTGAATACTCAGCTGGTGCTAAATTTGTAAGTTTTTTTAGTTCTGCCATTTCAAGGACTGATATTGTTGTTTGAAGACTTACTTTCTCTTCCTCTAATCTTTGAACTTTACTGGAGAGATCATGGTTTTCACTTGATAAGGCATTACACTTATCCCTTTCTTCTGTGAGTTTTTCTGCCATATCAAGCAGACGGGATTCTAGGGTTTTTTTTGTCATGTTCAGGTTCATAGCTTCATCTACAGTAGGCCTATGCTCACTAGTACTGGCTGCCCTAGTTGGTTTGTTTCTTGTTTTTATTTTGTTGGCTAGTAACCTGGCCCTGGGGTTAGTTGGCGCTTTGATCAGGTTTAATCTATGTGGTAACTGCTTGCTGGTTCCACTGGTAACTGGGGTGTCAGTTTCATCTAAATCTGTGTACGTACATGTATCTTCGTCAGTAGATATACTGGTGCTTACTTCTAAATGTAAACAGGAGTCATTTACGTAGCTGGTGTCTGGGGTGTGATAATTTAGTAAGCTGATATCTGTGTTTTTTGTAGGATTTTCTTTCTCACTACAATAGCCTGCATTATAACTCTCATGTTCTTCTATGTGGTTTTTCGTCATTTTGGTGTGACTTTTCTCGTTTCGTTTGTTCAAATTTACAGGTGTAGACTGGATGGGCGATGGAACATGATGTGCAATATTGGTCATCGATTGAGAGTGTGTGAGTGGTGATGTTTGTTTAGAGCTGATAAAGGTCTTCTTCAGTGTATACTGTACTGCATTATTTAGGATATTTGCTCTATTTACATCTGTTAGTTCTAGAATTTCTGGCAAGTGCTCATTTAGAAATTTACTTAGACCATTACCATTGACTAATGCACTTGCTTTGGTGTGGTATAGATTGATTGTATACCCCCAACTGGCTTGTCTCTTCATTGCCCAGACTCTAATTGTAGCGGATTCTCTGGCTTTGGATGTTTTGGATACATTTTCAGTTATTTCAAAGCCCACCTCTTCACTCTTCTTCATAGTTTTATAGTATGATACTCTACGAAATTCTGCATAATGACCAGCGTTCCAATAGATTCGCAGACCCCCACCTGTCTGATTCATTTCCATCTCTACCCTATACGTAGCAGCTAACTGCTTTGCCAAACACTTGCTAACATTAAGATCATGTCTGAGGTGCCTCAAACTCTGTCTGCGGACGGGTTCGGCTTCATTTTCTACACGTATTTCATCATTTGTCTTCGATTTGGCGCTTCGCGCTTCGTTGTCGGCCATCTTGAGAAAAGTTGGAAACGGCGTTGGTTTGTAGCACGATCAAGAAAGGTTCTTTTTCTTCTTACCTTACTTTTAATAAAGAGTTTTTTTGCGTAGAGCTGGTTCCTTGAATCCTCAGCTAAGGTTACGTATTTACAAAAAGAACATTTTGTTACCTATAGGTATTTAAAACAGCATTATTTACCGCTCCTGTGAGTCATGACTTGACAGTTCGCGCATGTTAAAGATCAATATGATTGACCTAATTCCAACCAATGCATGTCACGTGTCATCGGGATTCGGGAAATGACTGTTTCTCAGGATATTCGGTGTGTTTCTCAGGATATTCGGTGTTCTATCTGGGGTTTATATCGAATGACTATTTAAATTTAACTAACAACTGGTCAGTAAAACCATCAAATGTGTAATCCAATTATTAGTTTCCGGATTATCAAAACTACCGTTAATGTGCTAATGACCCAGATTCTGACTAAGGTATGGTGACTATCATCGTTTCGTATTCGTAGCCTTAAGTTATAATAATTAACCTGTTCTACGATTCATTGTTTTATAAGTAGGATTTTTTCAAACAAGGACCGACTGAAGCCGGCAATGATGAGCCGATTAAGATCGAATGATTGAAATACAATGCATTGTTGTCAATGACTTTCGGTGTTTAACACGAATCAAATTCTAGTTCACAAGGGGAGGTAATTAAAATCACGTGATACAAAAATGGAGGTTCTTTCGATATCAATAAAAAAAGACCCGTAAATGAGCATTTACACCTAAATCAGTTTAATACATTTGAATGGATATTCACGTATGGGGCATGTAGATACATGCGGCATATTCTTTTTATGACTTGCTTATCGATGTTCGGGCGGGCGTTACATATTTTTTATTTTTCATCAAGACTAATAAATAGGCCGCACACGCAACCAATTTTGCGTGCGGGCGGTGCCCGAGAAACAACTTATTTTATTTGTGTTGCCTTAAATATAGACTTTGTTAGAACTTAGATTTTACTGTAGAAAGATGTTAAATAAGCTATTGTGAGTACCGTAGACGTCTCAGAAAACTATGTTTACCTGTGGTTGTGTGTGTATCTCTAACATAGTTAGCTGAACATAAGTTTGAAATGTCAAACCCCATCTTGACGCATCCTTGTACATATATTCCTGAAATATCAATTTATATGTTTTATTTTTAAAAAAAGATGTCCTAAATTGTAAAAAATGACACTGTACTGTAACTGATGGAATTAAACACAAACAGCCCTTCTGAAAATACAAACTGTAGGATGTAGGCATGATCTTATGGCTATAAAATTTAGACTAAGTATTATTACATACCAGTGCATTCATTCCTTTAATGTTTCTCCATTTATCAACTGGTTCTTTTGTTACCTGAAATAAGTTATTCAATTTTATATATCATTGTATAAGTTGTATAGATGCACGACTGAGTCATGATAATCAGAACATAATCTGTTAAAAGTTGGTTCAAATTAGTATTGTTGAAAAGTTTGCCGTAAAAATATATATGTTCCCTTTAAAATTTAAAAACAAACTGTAATAATTTTGTGTGAGATTAAGGCTCTCAGCTGTGTCCGTAATGAATAGCTGGAATCCAAATTTAAACTCTGCTTCAAACTAATAACTGAATCAGGGTGTACTTTGAAGATTTGTTAACAACAGTAACCTACCTGTGTATATGGATAAGTTGAAAAATATTCAAGTAGTGTTGTTTTACCACTTCCAATATTTCCTTCTACACACACCTTTAAAGATAGAATGAAAACTTATTATGTTAGAATCTCAGAATAAAGTATTTTAAAACAAAAACAAATTGGCCTTGACTCTAGATAACATGTCCTGTTATTCTCCTAATACAGAAAACAAATTAATTGCATTTTAGATAAACACATACAAAACGTTATTATTCATATAGCATAAATCCCCTAACTATATTACTACATTAGTTAAGCAGTCTATTTCTTTTGCCACATTTTTTTCTTCTCATTATAGTAAAAGAAAACATTATCATAAAAGCATAAAGATGAAAAAGTAATCTATTCAAATCTATTACTTGCTCATTTATTGAGCAATCCTTTACCACTCTGCTTAACCGTAGCAGATATTGCTCATTGTAGACCATAGTCATGGAATTATTGTAAGATATTCATCATTCTCACTCAATTACATTGTAGGCCTACCTGGAAAATTCTATCATCACACTTAGTAAATGCATTCACCTAACGAACACCTAAACCAAGGGGGCCACAGAGGCTAAGTGGGTAAAACGCTGGCTCGCTAGCCTGGAGGTCGGGTGTTCGATCCCTGCATTGGCCGAGAAAGTTATCCGGCCAATATTTCACTCATAGCACACTGTAGCACACCTAAACCAAGTTTGAACACTTTAACTTATTTACAAGCAGAGCTATTGTGTCCCAACAAGTGAGTCGGACAGACAGAAGGAGAAATATATTTTAATAGTCACTTCTTTCCCTTGAAAAGTGGAAGACAAAAAAAAAATGTACAAACTGAATAAATTTGAATGGTTCAAAACTGGACAATTTTGACAAAATGTTGTGTCACTTTTAAAATCCTTCATACCTCAAATTATTTGTTAACGTATTCATGAATAGTCTGTTGTATTTGCATTTGATAATACATACTCAGTTGTATATAATAATATTCCGTAGCATTTGGCTATTTGCTAGGTTTGGGTTGGGAGAACTCTGATTAGGACATTGCCAATCACATTTGAAGGACCTTTTCCGTGATTTAGCTCATTTTTATATGCCCACATTTTTATGTTGACGTATTATGCCGTCACCCCTGTTTGTCTGTTTGGACGTCTGTTCACCATTTGTTTGTGGACACTCTACAGCTCGCAATTTTTATCTGATTTCGACGAAACTTAAAATTTATTCTATTGCTCCCAAAGATCTCGGTTCCTTTCGATATTGGCATATATCGGACGATGACTTCATGGATTATGGCCCCTGATCGTACGAAAAATCACATTTTTAGCTTGTGGACACTCAATCTGATTAAAATACAGATCTATATTTCGTTTCGTTTTTTTATACTTTCGATGGCCTACACTACATGAAGATCTGACAAGTTATAGCGATAGGTCACGTCAGGGGTCAAAAGACAGACTTATGACCCTATGATGTCAGACATTTGATAAACCAATCAGCATTGATGTTACTAGTGGATTACCCACAGTTCCGTGCAAAACACGCCTAAAGCTTGCCGTGACAGACCGTTTCATTGGCTTATCCCTGACACCATTCAGAACATGAGTTAAATAACAACTCTTCCAGATCCAAGTGTAGTAAAGACAAGTAAAACGAAATTTTGAACTATAAAAACGAAACGAAATAGGATCTGTGTTTTAACCAGATTGGTGGACACTCTAGAGGTCACAATTTTCATCTGATTTTGATGAAACTTGAAATGCATGTTTATAACTCAAAGATCTTGGTTCCTTTCGATATTTGTGCATATTGGATTGTAACTTCCTGAATTATGGCCCCTGATTGTACGAAAAATCGCGTTTTTAGCTTGCCGTCCCTCTAGAGGTCACAATTATTATCCGATTTAAAAAAAGGTGTGAATATTTCACCGTTACACCCTAATGATGGTTGAGTTCGAATTTCGAATTAGTGTATATATGCTCCAAAATACAATGAAAGCATACATTATATTCTTATCAAAACAAATTACATCACATACGTCTCGGTTTTTGGGGTCCTTTCTACTATCACGTTCCGATGCCTCTCACGTACCTAAATGTCCCAGTTTTTAAATCAAGTGTTTTTCAATTGAAAACACAAAACACATAAACTAGTGATTAATATATACTGCTGTTGCTACAAACACTCATGCTTCATCTCACCAATTCTGATCTAAATATAGTTCAGTGCATAATATAGGCCTAAAACTGTAATTGCAATGCGATTAGCTATACAGAAATTGACACATGCCTTTGGGAATAATTTTATTTGTTTACTCAGTCTGTTCTTCCAGACTAAATAAATAAACAAATACAAAATATAATGCCCCCAAACCCCCCTACTTAATTCAAGCCTTAGGCGCTCAATATATATCGCACCCTTTGGGCTCAATTTTGATTTTGCCTGATTATAATAAAAATGTCCCGGTTTCATCTACGAATAATCTGGTAACCCTAATATCAATATCAGAAACTCACCGTATGTTTTTCTGTTTTCCCATCTGTACCAAAATGACGTCCACTAATTGCATTCATGATACCTTTAGAACAAAAGTAACTGAATATTAAAATCAAATTCTGTTTATTTTTATACACCCACATTGAAATGTGATCATATATTGTCATCACCCCCATCCGTCTGTCATCTACAATTGCTTGTGGAGTGTGGACGCTCTAGAGGCTAAAGTTAATATCCAATTGACTATATATTTATATACACAGTGTTTATGGTCATTAGATGAAGACGTTTATAGATTTTCAACGATTTCCAATAAATTTACCTTTTTACATGCTAACATTAAAATTTGGTCATGTATTGTTGCCTGAGGACACTCTAGAGGCTCAAGTTAATATCTGATTCACTTTAAATTATACACATTGTTTAAGGTTATGAGATGAGGAAGCCTACTGATTTACAACGTTTTCTGATAATTACTGCCAGAGTTATGGCCCTTGATCACTTTGAAAAATTTTGTGGATGCTCTAGAGGCTAAAGTTAATAGGATCATTCCATGTCTAGTGAGTCAACTTTTTAAAAAGTTGGGAAATCGACCCGTTTGAAAACATCTGAAAAAAATACATGTTATTGTACATGTAACAAGAGCATCGCTAATGCTACACTATACGTCCAGATTCCTGTTTGGATTGATATGGTACTTTTTAAAATGATGAGAATGACTGCAATGACTGTAATATGACAAGAGGCAAAGAAGGCTAGGCATTTGTTTTGCCAAAATTACAGACTAAATATTAACAAAAAATGGGTGTCACACCGCCCCAGGGGGTTGGGGCATGCTCCAAAATAAACAGTTGCTGTCTTTATGATATAAGGAATAAATATGCATAGTTCCAAGATGATCCATGCAGAATTGCAGTCTGTAAATGATAAATACAAAAATTGGGTGTGGCTCTGCCCCTGAAGGATGGATATGGAACAATATAAATAGGTACCACTCTGTTATTGAAATGATTAATATGTTGAATTTGAACCAAATCTGTTAATTATTGCAACCTGTAGAGTATTTACAGACAAAAAATTAACTGTAAGTGATGTGGTACTACATCCCTGGGGGTTGGGGCATGCACCAAAATAAATAGTTGCTATTGATTCAGAATTGTTGCCTGTAGGCAACACACAGACCAAAAAACAATAGGGATCATCCTTAGGGTATAAGGAATAAGTATGTACAGTTTCAAGATGATCAGTAAAGAATTGCGGATTATCGTTTAATCAGCTTTAATTATCCCACTTTGATCGTTGCCATTTGTAATATTTTCCAAAAAGAGTTTTCTTTGTACGCACTAATTTATCGATTGGTACTGCTATCTACAGCAAGTTTGTCGATGAAGGCATGTCAACGTGTACCTTACAGATTACCATTAACAATTTCTAGGGGCTTGTAGAAACAGTGCATGTCGAGTAAATGTTTACTTTTGTTTTTTGTATAGGTCATTTTGAAATACAGCATATTATTCTTTTTTTTAAAAAAAATAAATTACTTTTATGGGAAACGTTGATAATGAACCGTAAGTGCAACTTTGTCATTTCATAAACATTCAACATTGAAAATTTTGCAGTTCCCTGACAGATCTATACGGTGCGTGATCCACGATTCCATGTGCTGTACTTCATTGAGAGCTGTAAATTTTACCTGCATGTTATTTTTTTCTAAAATTGCTTTTGGCTTATTATAGATTGATTTGACAGTTGTGTACAACCGTTCTTTTCAACTTATTCGCGAGTCCGAAATGTCACCTACCCGAGTCCGAAATATCACCTACCCAAGTCCGAAATGTCACCTACACGAGTCCGAAATGTCATGTACTATGATATATTTTTTTGAGTCCCAAATGTAAGTCAGCAATGACGCGGGACCGAAATGACATGTAATTCCCCCCCCCCCCCAAAGCTGCTACGTTGTTAGTTTATGTTAGTTGTATTTTATGTCCGCTTCCACCGAGGTGATATCACAGACAAGAAAAAAAAAGCTGCTACGGGCCTGCCATCCCTCAAGAGTGGGTGGTAGATGGGGTGTATTTTGTTTTAAAATATTTTCAAAAGGCTTTACGCTGACAAAATTGACCTACATAGCTGTAACTTTGTGACATTTTTCCCATATTATGGGAAGTGACGGTCACCTGTGAAACCCGTCAACACTGCATCGCATCGCAGTTCTTGTTTTAGTTTTTTATACATACATCATAAAACATTGTTATGAAACTGATAGTGATAGTGATAGCGCATCGATAAGATTTTATAATTTCATTATCATTTACACATCCTAAGTACCTTGCCAACGGACATAGGCGTACGAGCTGGGGGGGCTGGGGGGGCGGCCGCCCCCCCCATTTTGGGCACCAAATGCTGGGAAAATTTGGGCACACAATTGTACTTTGTAAAAGTTGTATAAAATAATATTGCGTTCTTGAATGTGTCCAATTTAACAGCGAATTTATTATTATTATGTAACATACTAAGAACCTAACTACATTTTTTGGGCACCAACCACCACCGCCCCCCCAGTCAAAAATTTCCCCGTACGCCTATAGATGCCAACGGATGTGTTGAAATAAAAGATCATTGCAAACTTATTACCTTTAACCTGCTTTTGAACATTCAGTAGGTTGGTTGTTTTTCTCCAAGAGCTAAACATTGACTTAACGCGTACGGTATTTGGCAAGAAAATTACACTGCTCATTAATGACTGAACTGATGTCCATCACCCCTAAGTACCACTAGAATTTCCAGTCAACTAACTCGGTCGATGGTTGGGCTAAAATTTGGGAATAGTTTGTTTGACTGAAATAAAAAACGCACTAACTCAAATATGATTACAGTAGAATATGCATTAAGCAGCCACCCAAGGGAATTTTCACAACTGACCGCTTAACGGGAGTGGCCTCTTAATAAAATCTCGTTGCTTTTTGTGCCGACATAAATTAAATATTACGCTTGGATGCATTGGAAGCCGTAAATTTGGCCGTCGCTGAATCTTGCGCCGAACGAAAATTCTTTACTCAAATCTCGGACATAACTTAACGGGATCATGTCCTGAAGAAAAATTCAAGCCGTATATTGTAACGAATCAGCAAAAGCTATTGTACCATTTTAACAGTGCACGTAAAACATAAAGTTGAATTCAAAGGTATTTCATTGATTCATTCATTATATTCAGCATAGCCGAATGACCCAACTAAGTTTCAAATGAGATGCTCAAATGGGAAAAGACCGCTTGTTGCGGGTAAGAACTTGAAGAAGACCGTCGGTCACGGTCATAGACTTGAATGCCAATGAAATGAATAGCAGGACAAAGCCTCTTTGGCAGATGCATTAAAACTGAAGACGGCACCATGTATAGGGACGTGTGGGATTGAGCGACTTGTTTGATCGACTGCTGTAAGATAGTCACAAATAAGTCAAAATATTGTTAAAAAATTGACTTTTCCCCCTCTTAGCTTTCCTGTGATACTTTGACCCTAAAAAATGGCATGCTATAGCCTATTCTGATACAATTGTACATTAGTTTTGTTTTTATTGAAGTCTGTCCTTTATCTAATTACAGGTTATTCTGTTCTACCATGCCATTTAGTATGTCCCACTGTAAGTGAAAAACGGAGAGGTCATTACCATTGTTTGTGTGGAAAGATTGTTTCGAGAAGGAACTATTTTGTTGAGCATATCAGATTTAATAAGTGTGTAAAAAACCCTAAACATGAAGCAGCTGAAGAGAAACATAAATCTTCCACAACAGCAGAGCATAAAATAAAATGCCCTCACTGTCAGAACAACTACTCTAAGTCAAATTTAAATAAACACATAAAAAAGTGTATTTCGAAAACAAAAAGCTTGTCTAATGCCGTAATCGACCCAGCATCTAGCATTTTTTTGGTAACAAAGGGACATGGTGGGGCATATCACCCCATTCATGTGCAGGAGTCAGCAACTGGAGAAAAACAATCTTTACATTGTTCAGAGGAAAAGTGTAATGACACATCTCATGCATTTTCTCGTGGTGGAATTGGGGCATTTGCGTGTCAACATATATTAAGTGTTCTAAATGCTCCAAGTTTCCCACAACCCCAAAGACAAATCAATGTTGAAGACATTGAAAAGGTTATTGGACAAAACGTCATCAAACGGAACAGTAGAGCTGCTATTCTGGATGTTATAGCTAAATGTGTTGGTGAAATTCCATTGGCAGTTTGGTGGAATCCATCTGTGCTAGAGAAATTAAGTGGATATTATTACATATCAGTTTTTACAGCTACGGACAAATTTTACACTAATTTTCAAAGAGTCATAGTGAGATTCAATGCTGAATCGGGACAATTTGATTGCCCGTGTTCAAAAGGGGGTTTGAAGGGATGTGTACATAAATCTATATCAAAAATCCATATGTGTATCAACCGCCCAGATTTGATAACTGAGAAAGCTGGGAAAAATGAAGAAAAATCTGAGAAACTAGAAAATGATAAATCTATACTGGAAAACACAGAATATCGAAATAGATATAAAAAAATACCAATTGACATTCAAGATTATCTGAATGTGAACATTGATTTAATCGAAATGGTGAAACTGTATGAAGAAACTTGTGTGTTTTGTGAGGTACCATTGTTCCAGTATAAACAACCAGCAAAAGCTAAAATATACGCTAGTATAGAACCAAACACGATAAGTCTTGACAGGTTTAATAGTTGAATATACTTAGAGGAAATAGGATACGATCAGGACCCGTAAAAATACTTCCAAGTGTCTTACCTTAAATCGGTATTCAGGGTCTACTGTATTTTACATACACTTGGCTATGTGAAAACTGCAGACTTGAAATATGGAATACCAACACTAGCCAAAAAGCATGAATGGAATAACCTCCACTGCCAAAAATCACTATACTCTATCAAAATCATAGTTGTTATTACTAGGAAAATATTTGTGGAAATATATTGTAACCGAAAATGGTATGACTATAATGTATGATAAAAATTATGATAGTACGCATTTCTTGCCGGAACAGCTGGTTTCGTAGATGTTTTTCAATAGTGGGAGAAAAATGATGGATATTGTAAACTTTATTATTTTTACAATTTAAAACGAATATAAAGAATCATATTAGCAATACACAGGGCTATTCGGGGTTGTTTATCAATCATTTGAGAAATTCATAGAAATTGTGTCAGTTGCTACATTTTAGAATCCCAGATTCCTGGCCATTACCTAGGCAATCGGTAACTCAAGAAATTATTTGTGAACCATTGGTGGCACGGTTCGGTCAGCATATTTGTAAATTTATACAAACTAAGACAAAAACATGTAGCAATCAAAACTACAATGGAATATCATTGCAATGTGAAATTTACAAATAAATTTAAAGCATCAAACTTTATTATATGACAGTCGTGATGATAGATGATTGGGGAAAAAACATGACCATTTCGGTTGTAGTAACCTAACACTATTACCTCTCTACAAAATCAAAGCTGATGATCAAAAAATAAAAACATTTGATGCCAGTTATGCTCAGCGACATTGTCCTTTGTTTAAATCTCACTTAACTTTAAGGTACCTCCCATGGATTTTTCCCACTTAAACTGGCCTTTGAATACCACTAAAAGGCGGCTTAAGTTTAAGGGAAAATTCGATACTTAACACCACATTTGAATACCACTTACCAATTTAACTTACAAAATGAAATGAAATGGGGTTTAACGTCCTACTGTTCTGCGCCTAACCTGGGCTAATGAAGTTACATATATTTGAACTCTAGTAGTTAAGTGACTATAATCTTAGACTTAGATCCTTTGAATACGGATCCTGATCTTCAAATCACAGTGAAAGCAATTGTACCTAGTTGACTTACATTTATCATCTGATTCTTTTGAAATTGTTGTCGTAAATGACTTCCAGAGTTAATGCCCTTGATAAGTTTGTAGAACCTTGTGAACTGTGAAACGACGAATATTATAATACAATGTAAATGTCCGCAAACACATACAAAAGAATATGCATCAACCCAAGGTTGTTGTCCACTGGCTGACGCTTTAGTTGCTGTGGGCGTATGTTTTGTTGCCCGGCAACCTATCTTTGGGTGGAATTATAAAAGGTATAGAATAATTCATTTAATCACAAGTGTTTATTAAAGTTGTTGTCATAATCATTAGAGCATAAAGATGTTTTATTCAATTTTTTACAGGAGTAACTGTCTATGTAAAAGAATGCCCTGATTGTAGTTTTCAGTTTAGGTATAATGAATACAAAGATGGCTTGCACATGTACAATAATACTACAATAGTAACTCTACAATTATGTTTACTTTTGAGAACTGGTGTACAGGTATGGTTAAAATTTATAACAACTGGTACTATGGCTTACTTTTGTAACATTTGAAAAGGAGTAATCCATTTAAACATTGACTCGCCATGTTATTTAATGGTCTGTTTTATTTTGGAGTGGGTGTCACTGTTTCAATTAATCTTTGAATTTGAAACATGGTGGGGATTTGATGATATACAATTTTAGAATGTGATAATTAAAGATATGGCACAACCCACACAAAATGACAGTACTGTAACAAACATAATATACCCACCCACATTCAAGAGCTATTTATTTTTTTATTGACTTGTCGTATATGGAATGGAAGTGAAGAGGGTCAATATTGTTTATCGTGCTTTTCCATTTCCAATAGTAATTTCATAATTAGCATTGTCCAAAATGTTTATTTTTATTTTCCAGAAACATGTTGCTGTTGGTCGAATGTGTTCCATATTGGAGGAAGCATATAAGGGTGTCCAATTCCCTCAGCATATATTAGATGCTTATATTCATTTTGAGTCATTAACCGACCATTCATATGACTTCAATTGTATTCGATGTGGCCATTATCCCCCAATTATAATTTTAGATGCAAATAGAAAATCAAGCTTTTCTTTACAAGGTAATGCAAATTCTTAAGTCAGAGCATGTATGAAAATTAAGTTTTATGGTTTAGTGGTATTTCACAATAAAATAAAAATCTTTAATAATATCTGTACAGAGTACAAGTTTAACATAAATATAAAGACACAAAACGGCCAATTTAATAATTTAATTAATCATCCTCTACAGTCACACTGTATTAGTACTGGTAGGAAATTGCAGGTATTTTACAATTTTACTGTGACTAAGATAATAATATTTGTTTATGCAATTGGGTGTGTGTTGCTTTATATATTTTTTATTGTGCCCCACTTTTCGAAGAAAGCATGGGACTATGAAAATGGGTTCCTCTATCTGTCTGTCTATCCGTCACACTTTTTGGGACACAATAACTCTTTTTCTAATTGAGCTAGAATGTTCACACTTGGTGTACATGTAGGTGCTTATTAGGTCAATGCCAAGATGAGCATTTTCTGCTTAGGGTAAGCGGAGATAAGAAATTCGATTGGTTGATGCTTTGGGACACAATAACTTTAGTTCTAATTAAGTGAGAGTGATGAAACTTGTTTTCATTATATCATTACCTTGACTAAGTTCGATAATGAGCATTTTCTATTCAGGGTAAGCAGGGCGATAAGCAATTTGATTGGTCAAAACTTTGGAGCACAATAACTCTTCTTCTAGTTGAGGTAGAATGTTCAAACTTGGTGTAGGCATTCATTAGGTGAATGCCTTGATGGAGTTTGATGATAAACTTGTCTGCTTACGGTAAGCAGAGATAAGCCATCTGATTAGTTGATGCTTTAGGGCCAATAACTTTATATCATGATGATGAGAATTTTCTGCTTAGGCTAAGGATTGATAAGTAATTTGATTGGTCAAGACTTCAGAACATGTTTAAACTTGATGTTGATGTTCATTAGGTGACTGAGTTCAATGATTAACATATCACGCTAAAGCTAAACAGCTAAGCAATTTTATTGGTGGATGCTTTGGGACCAGATAACTTTGATTCTATCTGAACTTGATTATTTTTTTTGATTACTTGATACTTTTGAAAAAAATAAATGTGAGATTAATTAATATGTGTCATCTATTTATTTGGGGATTTCGGCGGGGGACATCAGCCTCACTGTTGGCTTGTTTAGAGCTCTAGCCCATTTACCTACTAATTAACATATGTACATATAATAAAAATGATTTTTTCTTAGATCATTGCAGGGCTCTAATAGTTTTGCTTCAACATACTAATTTATTTGTTTATAGGTGAATCTATTAGGGAGCCAGATACACATATAGAGAATGCTGCACAAATGGATAAATTTTGGAAACAAGTTACAGATAACATTGTTGCATCGCCTATGTGTTCCAAAGGTATGTACATGTACATACATCTTTCCATATATAAAATATACAAAACATAATTTGCATAAATTATAATTCAAACTGGGCATGTTATATGCAAAAATGAATTATGTTGAATAGCCAACTGTAATTTACAGGTAAATATCTAACACATGTGATGTCCTCAGCATTGGCTTATATTAGCACTTACAAATGTGACAACCAAAATATGCAACAATATATTAAATTTGCAATATATGTTTTCTTTTTCTCATTTATGATGTCTGTTTAATTTTCTAGATATTTTGAATCCATACAAAGTTGATGTACAGTACCAAAATTGGTCACAATGGATGGCACCAGATAGTGTATTTCCCTCCGGAGTTGTAAATACAGAACATAAAAAGGTACCTTTTACAAAGAATCCCAATGATGAAAATCCCACTGTATTAACAGACGAATACATTGATACACTTTTGTGTGAAGGCAGTGTAAGTATATTTCCACTTTCATTTCCCTAAAATGTTCTATTATGATAAAAATTCAAATCCCGATCAATCCAATCACAATAGGAAATGGAATGAAATAAAATGGGGTTTAACATCCTATTATTCTGCTCTGACTGGAAGTAATGATGGGCAATAATTTGCTACTATCATATGCGTTGAAGTTCCGATAGGGTTAAAAAAAAGTTCCCCACTCGATTTCTTTTTTATCGCAGACTTGGCAATTTATCTAATACCAAATGTACTCTTTGACATTCAATTTAATGCTGAAGGAAGCAGTCTTACGATAATCAGAAATAAAAACAAAGACTTGTATTCTGGTTAATATTAGCTTGATGTGGGTTTTGAATTTCAAAAGGCATACAGACCTGCCTGAAATACAAAGTTAAAATAATGCCAATGTTGACAGCATCTACCTTATGTAAGGTTTACGAATGGCAGCTAATGCCCTGGTCATAATAGTCAGCAGTTCGGAGGTTTGACAAATGACTACTCCTTATCACATGCAAATGTGGAATCAAAACCATGGCACTCAATGACGCATTAACCATTCTGCCATCCAAGATCCCATACCAAATCTACCTTTACACAAATTTTTTTGTAGGCAAAATTAGTTAAAGATATTGCTAAAGATGTTGGGGTTGACAGTAGTGGTTCCAAGATGGATATAATTGTTAGACTACAGCATAAGGCCAAAAAGAAAAGTCTTTTCAAAAAGATTTTTACCAAACTCTGGGGACGATCTGGTAAGTAATATAGAAATAGATGAATCATTTATCTGGTTATCAGGAATCTCATGCCAGTACATTGGTACACATATGGAATAGCCCTTAGTCTATAAATTTCATGTCCTGGTATGTAATTTTTTATTCTTACTATAAAGGAAGTCTTGGTTAATTGGACTTTCTAGAAAGTTGATGATGCATTTCTGTCATGTGGATATGTCTTAATAACAATTTATATAATGTGCAAATAACAGATTTAGCTGGAACATAGTGTATGTTTTATTGAGGGTCACTTTTGAATTGTTAGCATCATTGCTGCCGGGTTATGGCTCTTGATAGAAATTTTATGGCCAACTATTTATGTAGAGCTTAAGTGTGTAATATAGACTTTCTCATGTGTGGGGGGCATTATGCTTTATCAGACCAAATTACAAACATTGCACACTGATTGGCATCTGAAATTAGCCAGAGAAATGGTCCACTAGCCACATATTAAACACATTAAATTTTTTATGTTTTTGTCATCTACATTATTTATTTTATTAGGTGGAATTTTGGTTATGGCATGCCCCCATGGTATATGCTATGGTATTAAGCACTTAATTAGAGCAGAAAGTGTGCGTGACCATATTGACATGATCTTGTCAATGAAACATCAACCAACAATTGTGATCAATGACTTGTCAAATATTTCTGCGGCGCACGGAAACAACCGAAAAAAGAATATGTTTGCACCACATAAAGGCCGCGTTGTAGATTCCAGTATAGAAAATTTGAATCTCCTAGAAAGGAAACAATTGGATAGAGATATGCCATGTTTTAATTCATTTCATCAAAAATATCATGTTGAACCACTGTAGACCATAACTTTGGAACTGATTTTCATCCTGTGACTCACACAAGTGAGCATCTAATGCTATCGGATTCATTCCATTTAAAAAATCTTGGCCCGGGATTTGATCAATTAAGAGATCTATCACTAATTAGACAGCTAAGAGGAAAAATAAACACACAGATCGTGGAACAAATTATCAGTGAACTTAATAAAAATTTATATTTTGTGAATCAAATGACTATTCCCCATCACCTATTTATAAGTAGACTACACTTACATTTGATGAATGTAAAAAAAAATGAATCCATTTTGAAGACAATGAAAAAAAACATTCCGCACGGTGTAGAAGAATTTCTAGCTGCAGATGGAAGAAAAATGTTTGTTTATCCAAATGTTAATAAAACTGAAGCACACATCATTGATGATGAGGGTTCAAAACCCAATGTAGATAATATACCGTCTAATGTCAATTTTCATTGGCAAGGTCCAGGTTAGTAACATATAGCTCATCCGCTAAATGTCTTATTGGTTATAGTAATTTTTAAAAATTTTGATGACCTTATTCTACATGGTATTTGTGATGGAATTGAATTATATATTCTTAAATCTAGAAATATTACATGGGTTGCTAATGTGATTTGTGTAATTGATAAAAGCTATTTAAAGTAATAACTTTTGAATAAAAAAAAATCTATATGTGTGTGCTGGGAGTTTCATAACTATTAAATGATATCTGTATTAAAAAATTGCTATTTCCTATATTATGAACCATTGGTTATTTGGTTTAATGATATATTGTAGAATACAGAGGAATATTGAATTCACACCAAAATTGTTGGTTAAATAGCTCCTTTCAAGCAATTAATAGAATTTTACGGGGTAAGTTTTATTGTGTTTGAAATTGTGTTATCTACTCATTGTGCATTGAGCATGTTTTGGATTGATTGGTTGTGATATTTTGATTGGGTTAATGCTTTGGGACACAATGACTTTGATTGGAACATAACAACTCTGCTTTTAATTGATGTAGATGTTCAAAAGGTGCATGCCATGACTGCGTTCAATGATTAGCATTTCCTGCTAAAGCTAACCAGAGTTAAGCTATTTCATTGGTCGATGCTTATAGTTTGATTGCTTGATACTTTTGAAAAAGATAAACGTGCAATTAATTCATGTACGTGTCATCTATTTATTTCGGTTTTTTTGGCAGGGGACATCAGTCTCACTGTTTGCTTGTAATTATGGACATATTTTTACTGATCTAAAACATTGACAAATATGGATATATTTTAAACATTAAAGGGAACGGTATTGTATGTAATTTGCTTCATGATATATCACTTTTAATGCAGCATCACATGGTTGATGTAATGGTTCTCGGGCAGTTATTTATTTAACTACGTACTTCAGGGTTGACACGGGAAAGTCTGCATTTGCTTTAAATTAAGCATGAGACACACTCGTTCTAGAAAATGAAATATTTGTTAACAAAACGTGTGCCTAATCCACGGAAGAATACAGTACTTGTCAATATTACTTACTACTTCTGGTATTTTATTTAAATCTAGGCCATTACTCTGAAAGAGTATAGTATGAATTTATTGATATTAAAAATATGAAATATATGTTAATGTTTTAATATAAGTGTATAACATTTGTTTGAAGGTTTATTATAACTTTAATGATGATACTTTACATACATCAGCATTGATATAAATACATAACATTAATACATAAACTGTCCATTCAATCTTTTGTTAGACCCTGGTAACATTCCAGAGACCAATATGCCAGAAATATCACAATTTTTAAGGAGTTGGCATCATTGAACAGGGAATCAATAGACCCAAATGAAGTTTTGGTTAGTATATTTTCCTAAATTTATATACTACTTATTGGAAGTGTACTGGGGACTTAAAACTGCTCCTGAACACTGGAATTCGATTGATGTTTTGCATTTGATTTTTAAAAAGTGTATTACAAAAAATAACTTATTTATGAACATTTCAAAATTTTTCACAGTCAGTACATTTGTTATTCCCTTAGTTATTTAATGCCCTGTGAGCAGTACACTACCCCTTTCTTGTGAATTGTTGTCATCAAATTTTAAAGACAAATAAAGAGATATGAAAAGACACATACACACACATACTTTTCTCTAATTACAGGTCTTGTTGTCATCAACTGGATTTACATATAATCAGCAACAAGATGCCCATGAGTTTTTAACATTGATCATGTTTCCTGAGCTACATAATTTAGGATTGTGTGAGCCAACTGTCATCCAGAATAAAAGAGATTGTTTAACTTGTGGCGATTCAAAGGTAAAATTATTAAGATTATACAAAAACAAGAAAATGTCACCAACATTTATTTTTTAGTCATTAGTAAACAAATTCATTTTATAAACTGAAAATGAAATAAGAACTGTTGCTTTACAAAATGATTGTTACTGTTTATAACATAGTATTTGGTTTGTCTACAGGCTGGAAATCTGAATGGATCATCTTGGAACTTGGCATATTTATTCCAAGGATAGCAGCTATTTATATTCTTCCATATACAAACCCCTGGGGCTGAGCCACACCCAGTTTTTGTGTGTTTATCATCTGTAGGCTGGAATTCTGAATGGATCATCTTGGAACTTGGCATATTTATTCCAAGGATAGCAGCTATCTATATTGTTCCATATACAAATCCCTGGGGCTGAGCCACACCCAGTTTTTGTGGATCATCTTGGAACTTGGCATATTTATTCCTTATACCGTAAAAACTGCAACTATTTATTTTTGGTGCATGCCCGACAACTTTTTTGTTAATAATTAATCTGTCAATTTTGGCAAAACAAACCAAACACCTAGCCTTCTTAGCCTGTATTATATTACAGTCGTTGCACCAATTTCATATTTCATTCTCTTCATTTTAAAATGTACCATATCAGTGAAAGCAGGAATGTAGACGTATATTAATTAACGGTAGCAATGCTCTTGCTTTATTTGGTAGATGGATGTGCCAGAAGAACATTTTTTAATTAGTGTATCTGTAGGGCGGAACATACAAAAGAGCCTGGATAAATATTTTCGACCATTTCAGCACCACCAGGAAAGGTACTTTTAATATATTTTTAATAATCTGTTTGTTCCTTTCTGTAAAATATGTGACCAGACGAGAAGTATCATTTTCTGAGTTGTTATATTAAGTAAGGGGACATTCACGGCAAGATTGGTTGCTTACATTGGATTTTCACGAGTATTATGAACAAAATAATGAGATATTAACTGGTGAACCAAGTTTTCTTGATTTCTCTGTACTATTTATAATAACATGTGGGTACTGTGATGATATTACTTATAAAATAACGTCATAAATTCAAATTATGGCTTTCAAATATATTTCTTATTTCCATCAAAAATAGAATTTTGGCGTTTGTGTACAATATTTATATATGTATTTTAAACTTATATTATTGATACAGTGTTTAAATTATGTTGTTATAAAGCATAACATTTTGAAAAAAATTTATTTTAGTAACTGTACTAAATGTGGTTCAGAATCTATAAAACTCGAACAACATAGACTAAAGAATTTTCCAATGGTTTTATCTATTCATCTGCAAAGATTCAATCAGATACATTTGCCTGGAAATAGTGGTTTGATGTTGACTAAAAATGATACTAACGTTGATGTCGAAAGGTAATAATGTATTAAAATTGTTTATAAATTTTACTGTATGATAAATATTGAAATAGTAAGTGTTGTAATTTTTGTGGCACACTCACAAATCCAATTATTTATTTAATTTATAAAATCCAATTTTACAAATTGGACCACCTTTTTCATAATTTTACCACCCAAAAGCACAATTTATGCATCCTAGTTGTCACTTGGGCCATTTAACCTCGTTAGTCATCCCATCTTTATTTGGTGTATCAAACACTGAATTAACTATGCAACTTTATTACTCCTATAAATTTGCAAAGAGATAGATGTGTATATTGATGAAATTGGACAAATTGCTACTTATAGATTAGCTTCAATGATAGTAAGTATTTAATTAATAACATTTAGAAAATGATGCATTAAAAATATGTAATAAAATAAGTATAATTTAATTTATGTGATGTGTGTTTTGATTTAGGTAATCACAGTTAAAAAGATTATTAAATCGTGCCAGCGTCCACAATTACTTATGGATGCTTTAGAGGCTAAAGTTAATATCCGATTGACTGTCTAAGGTTTACGATAATTGATTATTTTGAAATATTTTGTGGACATTCATTGACTTTAAATTTATAGGCACTGTTTATGGTGTAGTAGGACAGGGTTCGGATACTGGATGCAGCGGCAGCTAATGTCATGAAAAAAACAATAAACAAGATATAATTTGATACTTTTTTTTATAAATGTTTCAAATGATTGATTTGCCCGAAATACTAAACAGAAATCATGATCTTTTTACGCCAATGTCTATTTCTCAAACTACGGAATGAATTAACTCACTGTGGTGAATCGATTCATCGATCCTGTACAGCCCGTTAACCCACTATTAAAAACGAAATCACCGAATTCTCCCTCACGAATCAAGTGAAAAGGCCGCAATGCCTATATCTCCAGTGTCTGACAGTAGAACGCAATTTCTAAACTACTAGAACACCATTAAAAACGAAATCACCGAATTCTTCCTCACGAATCAAGTGAAAAGGCCGCAATGCCTATATCTCCAGTGTCTGGCAGTAGAACGCAATGTCTAAACTACTAGAACACCATTAAAAACGAAATCACCAAATTCTTCCTCACGAATCAAGTGACCAAATTCCAATATGGTTTAGTACGTGGATCGATTCAGCGATCCCCACAGCGAAGCCACAAGTAGATCCAAATTATACTATTGTCCCCCAAATCAGAACTATTATCTAAGAGTAAGAAATGAGCTCAAACAATCTAGCCCAAATATAAAAGAAATGGAAATCAACACAATCTGGTTGATATGAGGCGATTATCGACTCTGACAACCCATCTGTGTCTTATATATGATAAGGTTACCTTACCTCGGGAGTTACTAACTGAAACTCCCCTCGGGAGTTACTAACTGAAACTCTCCTCGGGAGTTACCAACTGAAACTCCCCCAGATGAATGATACGCATCCAGTTTTATAGTCGAAGCATGCACGTGCACGATAGTTGATTGGCTCGCATACGCCAAGCAAGTAGACAAATGGATGAGTTTGGGCGACTGGTTTGAAATTCTTTATGCACATCAGGCGACACTACCACAATGGTCATGAGGCAAAGAAGCCCATTGAGAAGCCCAAAAATTATTCCAGGGTTATGGCACTTGGCCTCTTTAAAAAGTCTTGGAGAAGCTCTTGGGGTAAACTTAATTTTGACTTAAACTTATACACAGTGTTTACAGTCATGAGACAAAGAAGCCTATTCATTTTCAAGGATTTCCATAAGTAAAAAATCTTGTGAATGCTCTCGAGGCTAAAGTTATAAATAATGAGACAAACAAATTGTAATGATTTCGGATAATTACTACATGGGTTATTACTAGTGTGTTGTAAATGTTTTCATTACTGACAACCCTTGTTGACTGCCCAGACGACCTGTTGGCATATGTTTCATTGCCTGTCAACCTTTTGTAGTATGTTACTGTATAATATTAAAAAATACCTTCTGTTCATATTTTTCAGTGTCATCAAGGTACTCTACAAGCTGGTCATTGTGAGTGTTACTAACTATAATATACATATAAGATGTATTGCATTTAATTATTAAGATACAAAGTGAAACATAAGGATCATCAGTCAACGGGTGACATCATGTGTGTATACTATCTGCCTGTAATGAATAAATTAAGCAATTACACAATTTTGACAGACAAAAATGCCTATAGCAGTGTGTTTTTACCTCATACAACTCCATTTAGTAGCAATTTCAGTTTATTAATTAGGTTTTTATATTTTTTTTAATAGACTATACAGTGAATACATCGGTTATCGATAATGAAACATTTGTTTGTTTAAATGATGCGGAAATATTTACAACAAAATCTTTGCAGATAAATGACCAGTTAGACACAAAGGTACACTTTATATTACATGTTATTTTCATGCTAAACAGAGATTGTTGGTGAAAAATTTCATGGCTTCCAACAATTAGCAAGTGGTGGTACGATTTTTAGTGCTGAATCCCTTTCTAAAAAGCACACATGGAATGTGATGGCATATTGTTGTTGCCCATGTCGGTCGGTCATCCACCATTTCTTGTGAACACTCTTCAAACTGAATTTATCATGTGATTGTTTTGAAATTGATATATGTTTACATTAGTGATATGAAGAAGCCTATTACATTTAAATAATTTCCATGAATTTTTCCTGGAGTTATGGCCCTTGTTTCACTATGAAGTTTATTTGCATCCTTTCAGTTAGTAAAACGAAGAAGCCTATTAAATTTCAGCAATTAAATATGTGACAACCCTTTTTGAGCACAAATTAGCTGCTGTGGATGTTTTTTAATTGTCTGGCAACCCATCTTTTCCATTATGGTCCTTTATAGTTAAGATAAATATAGTTGACAATTTATATTCTTTATTTTAACAGAGGAGCTGTTACATACTTTTTTATGAAAAAATAGAAGTTGCGAGCTTTCAAATGGACGAAAATGTTCCTGAAACTTATGTTGATGATGATGAGGTTCCTAATACTCATAGTGGGGACATTGATAGTGAAATTCCTGAAAATATTAGTGATGATACTCACAGTTCCGAGACACTCAGTGTGGAAAATGATGTTCAGGAGACTCAAGATATACATGAAGACAAATCTGAAATTTATCATGTAGATACTGAAATGCCTGTTGAAATAAGTTCAAGCTCATCAAATGCATCATGTGTTCTATCGCTGAAAGCTGAATCAAGCAGCCCATTACCAGATCTTTTTGAGGATTCAGATGCTCATGTTTTTAAAAGCAAATTGAACAAGGTAACTTTTTGTAATTAGTAACACACATTGTATAATCTTGGTTGTAGATTCATTCCATTATGACATCTACTTAAATTTAGTTAAATACAGGTACTTCACTATGTCACGCTTTTCATATAAAATATACACAATATAGTATTATGGGTATTATTTTGAGATATATTTTTATTTATTGTAGCCTAATTATTCAGCAGTGAAGAAAGAAAAGTTATACTGTATATGCCAGAAGCCAGATGATGGAAGGTATGATTTATATCTTATATATTTCTCAATATATGTATTGTCAAAAATAACTAACTTATCATTGTTCAGATTTTAGAACAGTAGTTGTAAATACAAACAGGTGTAAATTATTCATCAAGTTAGTCATGAAAAAATGGTTGCACTGATATATTTATGAATGTTTATTTATTGTATAAAATGTCAAATTTATTATATTGAAAAAGGATTTTTCAAATCATTGATTATTAAAATTGTCCTTGCCTTTATTGTTTTGTAGACTGTATGTGAATTGCATAGTTTGTAAAAAGTGGTTTCATCCTTCATGTCTGGAACAACCAAACAGCATTGCTGAAATTCCTTATTTTGCATGTAATACCTGTGTATATAATTCAAAGTAATTTCTAATACCCCCACATTGACATTGCCCCTTTTCCATTGTCCACAATTTCTTGTGAACACTCTACAGACTACATTAATCGTCTGATTGTTTTGAAATTGATAAATGTTTACTATAGTGAGACGAATCCTATTGAATAATCAATATTTTCTGGTAATTCCTTCTGGAGTTATGGTCCTTGTTTCACTTTATTTCACTTTGTGAAAAGAAAAAGTCTATTGACTAATGGTCTTTGTTTGGCTATGTTGAACCCTGTGAATGACAACAGTTATCATCTGATCTGTATGGGCATCATTTGAATAAGTGAAACGAAGAAGTCTATTGAATTTCCCCAATTTTCATCAATTCCATCTTTAGCCCTTGTTTTACTCGCTGAACATTGAATGCTCAAAGTGATCATCTGATCTGTATGGAATTTATATGCCTTGTTTGAATTAGTAAAACGGAAAAGGCCCTTGTTTAAGTTTGTAGCACCCTGTGAACCATCAAAGGAAGAGAAAAATTGTAATCTGATTTGTTATATTAAATTGTTTTGTAAATGCCTGTTACCTACAAGGGATTATTTATGTGATACCCCTTTTGGCTGCTCTGACAGTTTAACTGCTGTGGGCGTATGTTTCATTGCCTGGCAGCCTATATTATTTAATGTATCCAATAAGTTAGTTTTAAAGTATATTATCGTCAAGCATATTCAGTAAATAAATACAAGCTAAAAATTATTACAGGTTAATTCAGAACAGAAAACTGTTTTGGTCTTGCTCATTTCTCTTGCCAGTACAGAAATTATATGATTCTAATTTAAAAACTGCTTAGACAGGTGAGAGGTTACATTTATAAACTACTAATAATTCATAACACCCCAATTTACAATTTTTAATGCATTTTTACTTACAGAATGACACTTGCTAATTTCAGATAATACAAAATGGTAATAAGCAAGAGCCATCAATGAAATACTATGATCCAGCTGGTCATCCTCCTAGGAACCTAGATAAGCTAATGTAAGTGTGTTAAGTTTATTAAAAATCATATTCAATTGAAGGCTTGATCTTATTAAGCTCTTCACGTAATAGCCTGCCACTAATTTTGATTGGGTACAAGCCCAGCTTGAGAGCCTATAAGATTCCGCATTCATAGCGAATACCAAGTCTCGCGCTATTCAGCTAAAATGTTTCCCTGTGATAATCGAGTTTCAAAGTTCAAGGTTAGTTCAGTGTCAAGGTTTTCATGGAGTTCAAAAATCAATTGAATATATCAAGATTTGTATAATTTGACTTGTATCAGGATAATGTCATATTTTTCATTTTACCAGTTATATGAGAGAAAAAATGATTTTTGTCCCCTACCTTTCGAAGAATGCAGGGGACTATTAAAATGGGTTCATCTGTCTGTCTACCTTGACTAAGTTCGATGAGGAGAATTTCCTGTTTAGACTAAGGAGCAATAGGCAATTTGATTGGTCAAGACTTTGGAACATAACTCAACTTTTAATTGAGGTAGAATGTTTAAACTTGATGTAGACGTTCTTTAGGTAAAGGTCTTGAAGCAATTTCATTGGTCTATGTTTTGGGACAAGATGAAACTTAGTGTATAGATGTAGTTGATAATCAGTTTGATTGCTTGATAAATCTGCGATTAATTAATATGTGTCATCTATTTATTTTGTGATTTTGGCAGGGGACATCAGCCTCACTGTTGGCTTGTTATGTAAAGGATGGGAGTGAGGATATTAAATATTTTTATTATGTACACATGTATTATTAAATATAATATTATGGTGCTTGAAAGGGTTATGTACATGTATATTGACATGTCCTTAAAATTGTTTTGTAATGAACTCAAAAAGCATAAAGTAAATAATTAGTCAACATATACTGCAAGTTTAATTCCTTATGTATTGATTTTTTTTAAAATTCAGAGAATATCTATCTATTTGCTGCATAAAGCTGTCGGCTAGAACTGTAACAATTGAAAAGGGACCATACCAGTTAGATGGAATGGCATGCGGGGTGATGGTGTGTCAGGTTAGTACTTTTAATAATTTAAAAAAATTTATTTCAATTTCAATGTTTGATAGCTTTTATGCGATTTTAAGGACACACCACATATCTGACAAATAGCAGAATAGTTTCAATACATGATGTTTTCATCAAGATGATTAAATACAGATATGACAAATGTGTACACAGTTTAATGACTTGCTTCTTTTTTGTTTGTTTAGAGGTTGTTATATGAACTTTTTGAGGAAAAGTTTCCAAAGCAAACTGTGCATGACATCTTAAATTTTAGATACATAATAATTTGTACAATCTTGTTACAAGGTGAAACTGCCAAGTTTGAAGAAGAATCGGTAATATATATATTTATTTTTATTGTTAAGTATGGATTTGTGTAAATGTTGTTAATTTTATAAAAACAGCTGTATTCTGAAATTGTAACATTGCAATATTTCTATCTTCCTTGCTCTCCTTCTCTTTGCTCTGCTCTGTATGTCCATCTGTCTTTCTGTCTCTCCCTTGTCTCGTTTGCTCTGCTTTGTATTGTCCCTCTCTTCCTTGCTTTCTCTTTCTTTTATTCTGCTCTGAACATCCTACTTTTTGCTGTCTGTATGTCCATTTAGTTGCCTGTCTTTATTCTTTTTTGAATTTGTATTGCAGGGAGTTTCAAAAGTTAAAAAAAGAAAAACAGCACCAATAGACTTGTAAGTCATGCTTTTTAATCGCCCACAATGAAATGTGGTTGTATATTGTCAATCTATGGTGTTGAGGATGTGTTAAACAAGCATATATTTACACAACATGAATACCAGTGTGTTACCCAAACACTAACTTATACCTGAGACCCCCCAGTTTGTCTATTTTCAATATCAATTTCCCGATTATATTATTTCTAATTACATAATATTTGTTAAATAAAAGTCATTTATTACAACACTGGTGTGAAACAGCAGACAGCAAAAGGGAATTCATTTAAAGCTTTTAGATTTAGTTTTAAAGCTTAAAATGATTTTGTTAAACCCATATATGGCCAAAAAATCAGACACAACCTTAACACAAGTGTAACCCAAGACTTGAATTGACCTAATATGTCAACTGGCGTGGTTTCGATTCCCTGGTTGTTGGTGAGAAGGGGTAGGGTGGCCTGTCTAAAATGGAGGGTCTTCTCCCAGTCATACGGTTTCCTCCCACTGCTAAAGAACCCTACATGCAAGCAAATTATTGAAATAAAATTGAATCGTTTGTTAGTCCCGAAATGACTTAGCTTTCGGCGAGTGGACATTAAACCACATTTCTCTCGCTCCATTGCTTTAGGATATATACCTGAGTTTGATTACTAAATGGTATAATTCAATATTATACCTGTTTTATTTTTGTAGATCCAAACCATGTACCGAAACCGATGCTGAGAAAAGCGATTCTTCAAGTTATAATGTAAAATCTGTTCCAAGGTAAATATTTTATGGTGTTAGGTCAACCATTTAATACAGTATTAAGCAAAATGTTCAAATTGCAACCGCAAGAGAAGCAGCAGTTACAATCATTTATATTAGTAATAGTTCGCTCTGAGGTTTAATTCTTGTATATTTTCATATGGGCCACAAGACACAAGATTTACTCAAAGACAGTGGAATTCGGTTGTCTTTAGTGACGAATCTCGATTCACTTTGAGATTTGGCGATGGCAGGGCCTGAGTGTACCGAAGACGAGGTGAACGTTACGAGCAAGTATGCGTCAGAGAAGCTGACCGATTTGGTGGTGGCAGCGTCATGGTTTGGGGTTCTTTTTGTGCATAGGGACATTCTCCTCTTGTTGTTGTCCAAGGGAACTTAAATGCTGTCCAGTACAGGGATCAAATTTTGCAACCTGTTCTTCTTCCGTTTATGCAGAGACATGGGCCTGGACTAACGTTTCAACAAGACAATGCTCGACCCCATACAGCAATTGCTACCCAGAATTTTTGAAGAAATGCCGGTGTCCAAGTCCTGGATTGGCCGTCGCTTAGCCCCGACCTTAATCCTATTGAATACATCTAGGACGAACTGGGTCGACGTGTTCGTCAGCAAGTGAATCCACCACTGACGTTGCAAGACCTTCAACATGCTCTTGCTGAGCAGTAGCGACGTCTTCCTCGGGTAGTGTTTACTAATGTTCTGAGATCCATGAGAAGACGTTGTGTGGCAGTACGAGACGCTAGAGGAGGCCACAACCGTTAATAAACACTTTATTCCGATTGTTCTCCAAGTCTGTGAATTTCATTTTGGGGGGTACTGTGACATCACGAACGTTATCAATGTGAAGGACTTTCAGCGAGACGTATCTTTGCTTTCTGCTGATGTCAAGGTCGTCTGTGCACAACATAACACTAAAATAGTTGCCTTAAAACAAATATTTAAAATCTAGTCCCAAAAATCCCGGGTTTTTAATTTGGCTGAGTATATTAGCATATGTAGCATTCGAAAGAAAACAGCTTAAGACCAGGATTCCCCTTATCTCAGCAAATGCGCCATCAATTTGAGTATTTTTATGGTATGTGTATCTGTAAGGATACCTTAGACTATATTGAGAATGTGAATGAAATAATAAGCAATAAAAGCAATTTTCATAATGTTCAATGTTTAGTATAAAATGTATTTTAATTTTTAATTTTCATAACAATTTTTGGGGTATCTTTAGCGTAATTTTATTATATTGTTTCTCCTTTTTTATCCAGAAAGAAAACCTGATAACATTCATAAAAGAAATATGTTTGAATACTGAATGGTACGTGTACTTATAAGTTATTTGCGAAACAACGGTTAAGTTGCATATTTCTTTCTTTAGCCTTGATATATGTATGGGACAGAGGGAACGCTGTTTTATGCCTATATATCACAAAGATCTTGTGCATATTGGATTATGGCTACTGATTGTTTCAAAAATCGCGTTGTTAGCTTGTGGACCCTCTAGAAGTCACAATTTGAATTCAATTTAAAGAAAACATTTAAATATATCACCGTTACACATCAATCAAATTTCGTAAAACTAATGGACAAAATGGCCACTAAATGTTCGCACACAGTGTAAACGTATGTAATACCAAGGTTGTGGACACAATTTTTATCCCATTTTGATGAAAATTGAAATGTATGATTATAATCACAAGATCTTGGTTCCTTTGTGAATATCGGGCTGTAACTTCCTGGTTATGGCCTCTGATTGGACGAAAAATCAGGTTTTTAACTTGTGGTATCAATTTTTATCCGATTTTAAAAAGCTTTTATATGTATCACAGTTACACCCGAATGACGGTTGAGATGTTGAAAACCGTACCGAAACTGCCTGACAAAATGGTCGATCCTTGTACGCCTAGTATAAAAGTATGTAATACTAAGGTTATGGACTCTATAGATTTTGAAGAAACTTAAAATATATCTTTATATCCCAAATATATCAGTCCATTTCGATATTCGCACATTTCAGACCATAACTTCTTGGATTATGACCCCTTGTTGTTAGCTTGTTCTCAATCCATCTCTTGCAAAATGTGGGTGTATCTTGCCTTGCAACTGTTGGTGTATTATTATTATTTATAACTTGTACTGATTTAAATTCTGGTAATCCAAATTATGCAAATTATATATTTATAGATTTTGGTTATGCTCATTACTTCAACCCTTCTTTGTAAAACCAGTTCTAATATGAAATATATGCATTTGTAGAAACAGACCTGAACTGAAAAGAATTCATGCTTTATTGTTTGGAAAGCAAACCAGAAAAAAAATTGGGTTTGGACAGAAAGTACTCCATCAGAAGGTAAAACCATTTAGATTTTTGTTACCTATTAGCTTCATGAATTAGGCACTGATTAATAAAAAGACAAATAACAAAAGGAGGTTGTATTATTATTAAACTTTAGAAAGTCAAAGTTCATATTATTATAATAAAATAAATGGTTTCAGTACGTGGTTAATGTGATAAACTTATGTATTATTCACCTTTCAGAATTACACTACCAGACTACCAAATTTACTGCTTAAAGAACTTGTGAAGACCAAAAAAAGAAAATCAAAAATCTTCGCAAGACAAATTCCTTTTTTCAATTTTAAAATCAGCCCCTACTTGGAACAATACTTTGCCGACTTTGGGAAACATTCAATATACACATTTATTTTTGATATTATATGTAAAGAGGCTGTAATATTCATTTTAAAATTCAAGCAAAACCTAAGCTACATGGAAGCCAATAATGTATGCATTTCAACGGAAAAATCAAGTAAAAATTAAGTGGTGGAACATTTAAATAGATGAAAATGGTTCTAAAAGCACAATATTGTAATATGAATGTGGTTGTATATTGCCATCGCCCCTGACAGTCTATCCATCCGGTTTCCACAAAGTTAATATGAGATAAAGAAACTTATTGATTTTCAACAATTTTCGATTATTTCTGCCAGAGTTATGGCCCTTGATGATTTTGAAAATTCCTAAATCCGATTGACTTTAAATTTACACACATTAAAAAAGGTCATGAGATTAAGCAGCCTATTGATTTTCAATGATATCTGATAATTACTGCCAGAGTTATGGCCCTTGATCACTTTGAAAACTCTTTGTGGATACTCTAGAGGCTGAGTTATTATCCAATTATTACAGTTATTACTATGAGACAAAAAAGGCTATTGATTTTCAACAATTTATGATAATTACTGAAAAATCTTGTTACAGCTCTAGAGGCTAAAGATAATATATGATTGTTTCCAGTGTCATAGTAATCGTTTGTGTAGGCCAGAACTATTAGAAGCTAAACAAATTCTAATAAATGATTTCTAATAATTAGTTAATGAGTTGTTATTCAGAATAAGATTTTAATGTCTTGTAAAAATTTTAATTACTTGCAAAAAAAAACATGTGACAATGCTTGTTGACTGCTGGACGACGAAGCTGCTGCATGCTTATGTTTCATTGCCTGGCAGCCTATCTTTGAAAAAATATTGTAATTTGTAACCAATTATGTTTAGTTAAATATGCGAACAGCTCAAAATGAATGCACATTGTTTTTGACTGTTTAGTGCATCCTACACGTTTTTTAAAATTATTATTTTGTTGTTTGTGAATTACTTCCACATTGTGTTATAGGATATGTTTTTGTGTGTACCATTACAAAATTGTACCCCAAGCCATAGGGTACATGACTCACGTACACTACTGATTATAAAATATTAATTGTGTCTTCAATATTGGATATTAGGATCCTATATTTTCCGGCAAGAATGAAATTGGTCAATATTGAATTCCAATTCATGTTTTTAATTTAAATATATGTAAGAAAATGTCTGCTATAAAGTTTTTTTAATTAAATTTTAATAAAAACCCTCTGTAATAATGTTTTGTATAACTTAAGTGGTGGTGGGTAAAAGATTATGTTGTCCAGTGAATAATAAGTTGACTCAAAATTTTATATGTAACATTTGTATCTTAAGATTTGTTATATTTTCATTTTCATAAATTATAATTCTATATTAATTCCTATACTATATTTGAACTATGTAATGTTTGTATCTTTAAGATTTGTTATATTTTTATTTTCATGAAGTATAATTCCTATACTATATTTTAACTGTGTACTTCACATAGATAAATTTCATACTGTAAATTTATTTCAGTAATTTCTATAGCTCGGGACAAAGTGAAAATAATGTCCTTGTGTTTTTGGAACATGTTTTTTTAAATTTAAATTATTATTTTGTTATTTGTGAATGAGTCTTTACTAATTACTTGTACCTGGTGTTGTAGGATATGTTTTTATTTGTTCATTACAAAATGAAACCATTGGATAAATATTGGATAGTAGGATCATATCTTTTTACATCAATATTGCTTGAAATTGATCAATATTGAATTTAAGTTGTGTTTTTAATTTCGAAATACAGATTTACAATATCATTGTAAAATTGTAATGTTTGTGGTTATTTTGTTTACAAATGTGCTAATTTTAGTACATTGTTTGTCGTATTTAAATTTTGTATAATTGTTGGGGTTTTGTACTATATAATTTTAATTTAAATTCCCAATAATAAGTGCCAGAGTAATGGCCCTTAATATCTTCTAGAGGCTATAGTTAATGTCTTCTAGAGGCCAAAGTTAATATCCGATTGACCTTAAATTTATATGCACTGTTTAAGGTCATGAGATGAAGAAGCCTATTTGCGATAATTACTACAGAATGTAGTGGACGCTCTAAAGGCTAAAAGTCCATTTCATTCATTCATTCACTAATATAAATTGTCATGAGACAATCAATCGAAACAAATTCAAATGTTTTCTGATAATTACTTCATTGGTTATTACTCGTAATCAGATTTTCATGTGTTGTAAATTTCGTTGCCTGGAACCTATCGTTAAGTATTATAGTTAGAACTGCCAGTTCTTTATCTTATCTTCCATAATGTATCTTTAAGTTTTATGCTGT